TCGCGTGAGCTTCAATGGCTTCATTTGGCAAGGACCACTTACTAAGGTCCCCGTCCATCATGGTCCCTGCGTGTATTGATTGCTTGAGAGCAAGCATTGCTAATGCAATTCCGCTCCAGACTGTTGAGCAATGTGAGTGAGTGATATGGATGACCCTGGCAAAGTGAAAGTGCACGACATCATACTGTGTAAACCTCGGCTTCTGGTTCACCTTGAACGCTTCGGCAATTGCCTGGGCTCCGGCATCGCCAATCTGATTGTCTCCCAACCTGTTCGTTCCATCCATCAGTTAGTTCTCTGCGCCAAGTGGAACTTTGAGGGATAGCGGCCGTACAAGAGCACAATCAGCGTCGTGTTCACTTTGAGAGCCTCAGCAATCGCCTGCGCTCCAGCATTGCCAATCTCATTCTCATTCAAACTAGTCCTCACGATCAGTAAGCATTGGCCACTGAATCATCCACTCACAAGCATCAGTCAAAGTGCGATGCCTTACAAGAGCACAATTAGCCCTGTGTTGTTGACCTTGAGTGCTTCAGCAATTGCATGCGCTCCAGCATCACCAATCTGATTCTGTTGGAGCCTGTCCATTCTCTCCATTAGTGAGCACTCTGAATTCGTTTGCTGGATCACACCTGCACAAGCATCAGTGGAAAGTGATGTGACTTACACGAGACACGGCAAAGTCGTGTTCACTTTGAGCGCCTCAGCAATGGCCTGCGCTCCAGCATCGCCAATCTGATTCTCACTTAGACTGTACATCTCTCCATCAGTGAGCATTTGAATGTCATCTGCTGAATCAGTCACTTGTATGCTTCAGTCAAAGAAAGATGCTTTACTTGAGCCAAGTCAGGGTCTTGTTCACTTTGAGTGCCTCAGCGATCGCCAGCGCTCCAGCATTGCCAATCTGATTGTTATCCAGGCTGTTCATCCGTGAGCACTCTGAAAACCATCTGCTGACATCACTCATTTACAAACATCAGTGAACGTGAGTTGCCTTACCTGAGCGAAGTTAGCATCTTGTTCACTTTGAGCATCTCAGCAATCGCAGTCGCTCCAGCATCGCCAAGCTTATTATTGTGCAAACTGTTCAGTCATCAGTAAGCATTCTGAGCACCTCTGCTGACTCACATCAAAGTGAGATGACTTACCCGAGGTTAGCGAGCGTCGTGTTGACTTTGAGCGTTTCAGCAATCGCCTGTGCTCCAGCATCGCCAATCTGATTCCCATTCAGACTGTACATCCCCTCCATCAATGAGCACTCTAAATGCCTCCTGTTGAGTGAAAGTGACACCCCTTACTCGATCTTGATCAACGTCTTGTTCACTTTGAGTGCCGCAGAAAGTGCATGGGCACCAGCATCGCCAATCTGATTCTTCCATAGCCTGTCCGTCCATCAGTGAGCACTCTAAATGTCCTCTGCTGACATCACCCACTCACACGCATCAATCGAAGCGAATTGCCTTACCCAAGGTCGGTCACTGTCGTGTTCACTCTGAGTGTCTCAGCAATCGCCCGCGCTCCAGCATCACCAATCTGATTCTCAGTCAGACTTGTCCGTCCCATTCGCCACTGAGCACTCTGAATGCCTCTGCTGAAACCACCCACTCACATGCACTAGTCAATGTGAGACGACTTACTTGATTTTAGTCAGTGTCGTGTTCACTTTGAGTGTCTCAGCAATCGCCCGCGCACCATCTTCGCCAATTTGATTGTCGTGCAGACTGTGCATTCCGTCCTTCCGTGAGCACTCTAAATGCCCTCTGCTGACATCACCCACTTGTCGTCCAATATTTCCGGCTTTTTCTTACCTGAACCATTCACGCGCATTCTTGACTTTGTCGTACAACTCGCGCTGTCTCGCGCTCATATTTTGATACGACAGCATGGCTGACTTTCAATCTATCGGAACAACGCGGTTGTTTCAGTCAGTCTCATTGGTTGGGCTTTCACATATCATCTCTCAAACACAGAGTGCAGAGCCAAACGCACGAAAAGTGCGGCAGCGACGCAAACAAAGAAAAAAAAAACAAAAACAAAAGCGCCGCCACAACAACAACGAACAATGACTAACATCAAGAAGGCTGAAAAACACAACAACTCAACAAGGGCATAGACGAGGATGACAAGTACGGACGCCGACTTGAAACATGAAGGAGAGGGAAAACAAAAACAAAAAAACAAAACATTGCCCAAAACGAAGCTGCTCGGACCTTGGCGCACACACCGATACGAACTGCTCATTGTGGACAAGAAGCACGACCACTCCCGCTCGTGTCTGACCATCTTGTTCCACCTGGCCCGATGGACACTCTGGACGTCGCGGTGCCACGCCTGCTTCAACCACACAACAATCCACTCGGCCCACGCTATTGCGCACTTCCGAAGCCTCGTCCTCAATCGCGCGAGGCAAAACACTCCACATGCCGCACGAACAAAGCACTCAAGACTAGCCCAGGCTTCCATAAGCTCTGGGGCAACGCCCTCGCAATCGACCCTCCAAAGATGATTCTCGGCCGCTGTGACGACCAAAATGTTGTGTTAGCATCCCAGACACCAAATCTGGGCTGCAAATGTTTGACTAGAGCTGCGTACGCCAATTCCAGCGGCGCATCTCAGCGAACTTTTGTTGTTACGACGGTGTGAGTACTGTTAAATACAAATACACATCGGTTTGAAAAAAAAAAAAAAACAAAAAAAAAAACAAGTGAGGTGAAAGTTTGAAAGCGAAAGAATGAATCGACCGAACAGAACACATCGGTTGTCAAAAATACGAAACACACACACACACACACACACACACACACACACACACACACACACACACACACACACACACACACACACACACACACACACACACACACACACAAAAAAAAAAAAAAAAAAAACACCATCCGCCTTCAAACCAGTCCACGACAATGCTGATGCGCGCTAGTGCATCCAAGCTGGTGATCTTGCCACAAGACAAGTGTATAGGAAATATGATTGCCCATCTATTTGAGGCATCGGAGTCAGAATATCCCACACTTCTCGAAAGTCCTCGTCGCTTTCAATTTGGGCGACTTGTGTAGAGCTGTATAGGCCTTCGTGTCGTTGTAAAATTCATTTCCGTTCGAGATTGCACATTACGACTTGTGAAGATTTTTGTTTATTAGTAAGAATTGGAGCCATATGGCTTGAAAAGCACTCGTTCCCAAAAATCAAGAATTTGTGCGCTCTTGCAGTCATTGGTTAGTGCTTGATTTGCCAAATCTGCACTCGCGGCCACTAGCGATTTTGTTTCGGCTGAACGGACTCGACTCTAGGACCCGACAACGATCCGCAGCGAACTCTTTGTCAGGACCCGAGTTTGCGTCCGTCCAGCCGGCGAGGTTAGCCGGTGGTAGTTAATGAGGATTTAGCATATTCTGGTGTACTATCCCGATCATTAAATTTCGACCCCCCCTCTTTTTTTCACTTTTTCGCCCTCCCTGGGACCTGTGTTGCTTTCCGTCTCGCCCGCGGAATGTTCATTCATGGTACGGTGTACCGAACGTCTGATGAACACCGGGAGCGGGGGTTGTGAGTCATATCAGAGCAGCAGCGAGCAAAATAAAAAATATAAGGAAACTCAAAAAATTCACTTTTCCCGCCCAAATTTTGGTTTGGGTTCAGTCTTTTTGTGCGCATGACTCGCACACGCAGTCAGTCCACGTCCCGCGTGGCTCCCAGACAGCCCCCGGTATGGCTGCGTCCAACTTCACCAAAAAGACCCGCTGCCCGTGCTGGACAAGATGCCCAGGGAGGTCGTCCGCGGTCAAGTGCTCGCGTTGCGAAATGCTGGCCTCTCCTACAACAAGATCGCCACCCAGCTTCACCTCCCACGTTCTACAGTGATCAGCATCACCCAACGTTTCTCGGGAAGGGCGACGACGAGCGACAGCCCCCGCCCCGGTCGCCCCAGCAAGCTCAAGTCATTTCACCGCAACAACATTGTAGCACAGATCCTCCTCGATGAGTCCGACACCGCACCCGAAGTGGCCGCCACTATGCGCACATTGTCCAAAGTTCGTGTCTCTCCATGCACGATAAGAAGGGTGCTGCATGGTGCAGGACTTGTCAACGGAGCGAAGGTCAAAAAAGCCCTCTTGAAAGAGACACACAAAGAGCGACGCTTGGCCTTTGCACTCGCTCATCAGCATTGGACCGTCGATGACTGGCTGAGGGTCGTCTTCTCCGACGAGACTGCTCTCTATCTCTACAGGAACAACAACGGTGGTCGTGTATGGCGTCTGGTTGGCGAAACGTTGACCGATCGATGCGTGCAGGGCACGGTCAAGTTCGGCGGTGGCCATATCAATGTTTGGGGCGCCATCTCTCGTTTCGGAATTTCGCTTTTCTGCGAGGTCGGCGACGTCATGAACGGCGACACCTACCTCTCAGTTTTGGAGAGCGAGTTGCTAGCAAGCATTCGCGTGTGGAACAACAAAAACGAGATGATTTTCATGCATGACAATGCCCCTTGTCACAAAAGAAAAGATGTGGCGAAGTGGTTCGAAACCAATCAGATCACCGTCCTGGACTGGCCTGCGAACTCTCCCGACCTCAACCCCATCGAAAATGCGTGGAACATGGTCAAGAACAAGATCTACCAGGAGAGGGAGATCAAGAGCAAGGCCGCGTTGTGGGAACGCTTCCAAGCGGTCTACGAAGAAGTGCTCACGCCAGAGGTCTGCCGCGATCTCATTTCATCGATGCCGCGCCGCATTCAAGCTGTGATAGATGCCAATGGTGGTTATACCAAGTACTGAAGTGGAGCGAAGGCGCTGCGACACGTTGTTTGTGTGCCATGTAATGCTTTGTGAAAATTGGGCAAAAAAGCCGCTCTTTTTCTGTTTTTTTGAGTTTTCATTTTTGTCTGTTCTCGCTTCGAATCTTAACTCCCAGCCCGCTGCTTCACTTCTAAAATGTGTCTGGTACACTGTACCATGAATGAACATTCCGCGGGCGAGACGGAAAGCAACACAGGTCCCAGGGAGGGCGAAAAAGTGAAAAAACGAGGGGGGGTCGAAATTTAATGATCGGGATAGTATTTGGATGCTTTTGGATAGTTGTCATTGCGCATTTTGTATCAATCAATCGACGTTACCTGGCCAATAGCTCTAAGCCCCAACCCGTGGGAATCGGAGTCTCACACTCTTCTGGCTATAAAAACTCAAGGACTCCCAATCAGAAGCACAGCGGAGGCCAACGAAGACAGCAGGACTGCGGTGACTGCCCAGTGTCGCAACCGACAACACGTTCGCCTCCTCTCCCTCCCTTTGGCATGAATTCTCACTATCTATGGGATGCTAACATTTGATGGTGCTATTGGGGAGCTTAGGTCCACAGAGATTGGAGGGCTCCAATGACCACAGTCATGCCCCCCCCCAAGAAAAAAAAAACCCTCAGAACATCGCAATCTGGTGCAAATGATTTGTTCGAACAACATAACCCATAAGCCAAGACAGAGCGGTTAAAAGTATTGTTGCAACGATTCGCCAAGGTGAGACTCGATCGTGGCAATGACCTCTTGAGCCAGCTTTTCGACCTCCACGTTCTCGTCTGCAAGGAGCCAAAAATCAAAGTTCAGACAAAAAACAAAAAAAGTCAGAATACAATCTCAAAGTCAAAATACATTCGAGAGAAAGCCATCCTGCAGCGTTTCGAATGTTGCTACAGACCTTCCATGAGCTCGGCAAGGTACGGGATTGTTTCAGGAACCAGAATGAGGAACTCGTCACCAAGACGAGCGTAAAACTCTTGCTGCACTTTGAGGGCGGCAAAGCGAACCTATGAGCACAACAACGACGAAATCGGTGAGCAAGCACAAGAAAAACAACACAAGAAAAAAAAAACCAAACCACCACACACACAAACCCCGCCCCACAAACAAGGCCCCCAAATCCACAACAGGTCAAAACACAAGTCCAGTTCACACATACCGCGGGGGAAGTGTCTCGCGAGTACGACATGACTTGATGGTTGAGCAACTTCCAGAGACTATCGTCGGCAACAGTCACTGCGAGCTGACCAATGCAGGGAACCAGGATGGATGAAACGCGCTCGCGATGTGACTGGGCACCACCAACACGGCATCCGATCTGAGCAGCGAGCGGAGGCACAATGGCATTAAACCGCTCCTTGTCCACGAACTTGTCGCTATCGAACAAGAAGCACTTGTGCAACGCGACGAGAGCTGCATCCAGCAACTCCGAAGCAGCGCGATCAGAGCGTAGCTCTTGCGAGGCAAAGAGTTGGTTGTCGAGAACCTTGACAAGATCCGTCCACACCAGGCCAAAGAAGGGAGTGAAGAGGTTTCGCAAGCGCTCCGACAGTGCGGTCATCAGGCGGTACAGCGTAATGCGGCGGGCGACAACGGCAAGAGTGACGGCTGCAGGAGTGACAAGGGCCCATTCGACAACTTGCACAAGGACGGGGCGGAATTGGCTTTCGCTCAGCTTCAACGCAAGGCTGGCGAACGCCTGGATGAGAGAATCCTCCGCAATGACGAGCTGATGGTGCGCGACGGCATCGGCAGAGGTGGCAGGTTGGACCAACGCTCGCCAGTTGAAGGCCGTCAGGAAGAATCGCGAGAGAGGTTTGATTTGGGCATGCAGCTCGTCGCGCGGAATTCCAGGAAGCGCGATAGACAGCATACGGCAAACTGCAGCAAAGGCGTGACCGTGGGACAGCACGGTGGCGGGAGACGCTGAAGTGAGCGTCATTGGTTGCTGACCTGCAGCCAGCAGTGCAGGAAGGAGAATGCGCGTCGGAACGGTTGCTGGCATAATCTTGACCAGCTCCTCCACTTTCATCACGATGCGGTTGCAGGTCCGCGCGACGCCCGCTGGGGTGCCGGAGGCAGCCAATCCAGGAGCTGCTGCCGACGCCACTGCGGCACTTTCGAGTTTGGCGTGCGAGAGAACGGCAATCAGCTTGCCCATGAACGGACTGAGGAACTGAGCCAAGGAGCCAAGCGCACTTTGCAACACACCCAAACAGCTCAGCACGAGCAAAGTGGGTGCACTGTCCGTGTGAGACAGCGAAGACGACACAGTGTCAAGCACGAGTCGCAAGCGATCCAGCACGAGACCCATAATTTGGTTGACATGGGGCATCATGCGAACGCCAAGTTCGCTGACAAAGGTTGCAACGCAGACAAAAGCACTGGCACTGAGGCTCAGTTGGGCCGCCTTTTGCTTTCCACTGGCACCAGCCGGCGGCGCCGTGCTAGCCGCTTCAAGCACTGCCGGGATTGCAGACAGGAAGCTGTCCGGGTGGCTGCGCGCAAAGCGTTTGGCAAGCGAGTCCAAGCACAAAAGGGCCGTTTGCGGAATTGCAGCAGCATCGTCGGCAAGGGAGCCCTTGTTGTTCTTGACGGTGGAAACAAGCTCCACAAGATGGCCAGCCGTCCCAACAAAGATTGCAACGTCAGCATTGTCCATTTTGAAGGAGACGCGCTCGTTGAAAATCTGCAGAGTCTTGCGACGCACGTTGGCGTCCTTGTGAGTCAAGAGGCCACGTGCCGCGGCAACAAAGGACGCGACTGGAAGGAGGGCCACAATCGTGTCCAGCAGGTCGTAAGCCGCTCCGAGCACCGCCTTCCAAAACTTGAGCGAAAGGGATGCAGAGGACGGCTTGCCGGCTTGCTCGCCCGAGTGCAACTCTTGCATGTGGCTACCCAGCTGCGTGGCAAACTTGAGAACAGCATCGACGCTGTGCATGAACTGGTCTTGCAAGGCATTCTTGTTTTGCGCTTGCAGTTGTGCCAGTCGACCCAGGAATGGTTTGCTAGCCAGAAGCGATGCAGCCGTCGACACCACAGCCTGCTTGAAGATGCGAAGCTGGCGAGACGAGCGAACACACACCAACTCTGCCAGCATGGCCGAGTGCGTCTCGACAGCAGCACTCTGGCGGGCGCTCTGCTTGGATCCCTTGCCAGCCTTGGGTGCGGCAGCTGGGGCAGAGCTGCCGTTGCTGCCAGTGGAAGACACCTCGAACGGCAGGGTGGTGGCTGTTTCGAGCATTTCTGCCAACGCGTCAAGCTGCGCAGCGCAGTCAAACTGCTGCAGCAGGGTTTGCGCAAACTCGAACGTGTCCCGCGTCGACAGATTGGCAATCGAGGGCGAGAACAGCAGAGGAGAGGGCGGCGGCATGCCCGAGGCTGGGCTGGCAGTGGCGACGGCCGCATTGCCTCCTGGCGTAGCAGTGGAAAGCGCAGTGTTGGTGCTGCTGCGCTGATCCAGCAGGAGAAGGCAGACGGCAGCAAGATAGCGCTCACCAAGCGTGGCCACCAGCTGTGTGAAGAGACGGAGCCGGCGGTGGTCGGGAATGTGCGTCACAGCACCCACAAAGACCTTGATGACCGAGATGGCAGTGCTGGACGAGGTGCTGTCCACAAGCGGAGGGATGACGGCCTCCAATGTCTGCTGGAGAATTTGGAAAGATTGGCTGTCATCCTGCCGAACAACATTTGCGCTCATGAAAGTGAAAAGCGGCATAATGTCCTGCAAAACCAGTTGCGGATGTGGGCGAGCAACGGCTGCGAGCAGCTGGAGAGCCTGATGCTGTGTCTGAGGATTGGACGTGGTGCGAATACACTGCACGACCAAATCAACACGGAACAGCTTGGCATGCAGGCCCGATGGATGGAGCGGTTGGTTGCGAAGCTGCAGAGAAAGCGCCGACGCGCGGGGATCCTCATCAGCGTCATCTTCTTCGCCATCCACGTCCACCTCCATGTCGTCCTGCGCGGCGGACGGTTTGGCGCTGGCAAGGACGTCCAAGGTGATCTTGGAGAGCGCGCCGAGCACGAGCTGCTTCAAGTACTCGAGCGACATGTGATCCAACATTTCCAACGTCATGCTCTCTTCAAGCAAGTCAAACAGCGGCTGCACAAGCCGTTGCGGCTTGGCCACAGATTTGAACTGGAGAGACTCGACAGCAGCAGTGACACGATGCAGCACAACCAGAACAGACGGCGCTCCCGTCAAGGGTGCTCGCGAGCCGTCCTCGTCAGTGCGGGCGCGCTTGTTGCTGCTCTGGACTGCTGGGGCGGGCGAAGGCGCGACCACTTGCGAGGATGATTGTTGGCGGACTGCGCCAAGAGCCTCAAGCTCGTTTGCAAACAGCGAGGCAGAGATGGGCAGCTCGCGAATGAATTGCTTGGCGCTGTCGCCCACCAGATCGCTGCCAGACGACACGATGGCGTCCAACGCGATGGTCAAAATCAATCGCTGGCAAGTCGTTGGCATCGAGGCATACATGCTGCGTGCAATCAACTGCTGCAGAGCGGCTGCCTTGACCGCCACCAAGGGGCAGCAGAGGGCGATGAAGAAAGCAATGGAAGGACTGTCGGTTTGCCCCTTGTTCCACGCAGCCAAGGCGGAGGTCGCCACCAGCCGAGGCACGTCCGAGGTTGTCTCCACAGCGACAGCAACGTTGGCATCCCAGAGCTGAGCAGCAGCACCAAACGGAACGCCAAACGAGGATGACAGAATGAGCGACGCAAGCTGCTCGAGTGCGTGTCGGAGAGCGGCCGCATCTGGCAGTAGTCGACCAGCTTCTTGCACAACACGAACGAGCAGAGGAGCCAACATGACTGCCTTTTGTGGGTGCTCCACGCTTGCCACCGACTTGATGAGAAGACTGGTGGAAGCAACACCAGCAAGGCTGGTCAAGTCAAAAACATTGACAGCGCGCTCGAGGACGTAGGCAAGAATGAGAGGACCAGTTGCAGAGTCGCCGGAGGAACCAGCAGCAGGACGCTTTGAGGAGGATCCCTTGGACGAGGAGCGCACGTCGCGCAGGGAAGCAGATTCGACCAAGTCGAGCTGGACGCACGAGGCAACAAACGCAAGAACGTGGCTGGGATCGTTGACAAACTCTTCCCGCTGCGCAAGAAGCTGAGCAAGCGTGGCCACATACTGCTCAGCAGTGAGGAAGTGGCGCAGCTGCGACGACGACTCGGCTTCGTACATTCGCCAGAACTTGAGCTCACGCGCCGCAGCAGCTCGTTCATCCAGCACGCGCAAACATTGCATGGCGGCGGCACGGACAATCCGCTCGGCGCTGGACAGCGCCACAAGCAGATGTGGCAAGTACGCCTGGAAATCGCACGCGGCACTTTGCTGGGTGGAGCTTGCAGCAGTCTCAATGAACGCACGCATCACATGCAGCGCACGAACTTGCAGCAAGGCGTTTGACTGAGAGCTCGCAGAGGCAAACAGGTCTGTGGTCCAGGTGGACGTCAAAAATGACATGGGCGAGGCCAAGTGCTGGCCCACGAGAGCGCGCATGGTGCGATGGAACAGGTTGATTGGGGCAGGATTGGAGGCCAAGAGCTGGAAGACTGTGCGCACAAATGCTTCCTCCGACGAGTGCTGCAAAGCACCTGACAAAAGATGGTCCAACGCATCGACCAGCGCAGGAAGCTGCGAGCCAGGCGCAGTCGAAAGCTCAAGACGTTTGCCAGAGTCGAGAAGCGCAAGTGCAGCGCCAAACACATCGGAAACCGCAAGACCGCTCTGTGTGTGACGGCCGGAGGCACCTGGGGCGCCATGGACGGCCAGCCACAGATCGGGAGTGAGCAAAAGCTCAGTGATGCGCAGCATGGCAGCATGCGTGGCGGACGAGTCGCCACTGGCTTCAACAAGCGCAACCAGGACACCGACTGCCGCAACAGCACGCTGCAGGAAGGCGGGCAGCGTCTCGGTTGACAAAGCGCGCGCAAGAGCACAGGCATCCATTGTAGCTTGGCCGCCGGCAACAAGCTGAACACACAGCTCAGCAAGCGTCTTCTGGTCCAACAAGGAGCTGCTCGTCGGTGATGCTCCCTTCTTGGCAGATCTGGGAGTAGCACTGACGGCTGAGGCAGGGGATGATGCACTCGCAACGGCTGCAAAAGCACGGCACACGCGCGACGAAAGCTGTGAGCGACGCTGAGCGTGCTCGGCACTGGATGCAAGCGTCGCCAGTGTGGCCGATGACAAGGCAGCAATGTCAGCGCTCAGATCAGCCGCGATTGCATCGAGCTCAACGAACAAGGCATCCACCAGCCTGAGTTCCTTGATGTGCGTGTGCACTGCACGCAACAAGCCCAACAGCACGGAGACAGAGCACGCAGTTGCAATCGAAAACGGCAATGCCATGGTCAGGGTGGCAATGAGGGATTCGGGAGCAGCGGGAAGCAGGCCGCCAAGCAAAACACCAAAGACAAGTTCGCTGCTGCGTTGAGCGCTTTGCGCATCCGATGACTTGCATGACGCCGATGCCACCTTTGAAAGGAGGCGGGCTAGCGAACCGAGCAAAGGCTGTTGTGGAACAGCGTTGACAAGACCACTTCCGAGCTCGAGAACGCGGTGGGCGATGGCGAGATTGTCGTCGCCAAGTCTTGCGAGCAAAGATCGGGCAATGAACGCATCGTCACGGCTGTCCGAGTCATCGTCGAGAATGGTCAGCGGCGGGGCATGGGTGCGCTTGGCAGCCAGAGTCAAAGTGGCCAGCTGTTCGACGGCCGCGAGGCGGATTTCGGGATTGGGACTTTCCAGAGACAGGAAGAGGGTGCCAGCACCATCGAGGACAATTTGGCGACGAGCCGTGGCACTGAATGAGGTTGACACAAGCTGCGCAAGCCATTGCTTGTCGGAAGGGGTTGTGGCCGCTGCGAGGAGGCGGCTGATGGCAGTGTCGACTACATCGGGATGCTTGCGCTCAAAAGCGACAAGAATCGAGGCAAAGTGGCGCTCTTGTTCGCTCATGTGTGCTTCGCTGGGCTGAGCGGTTGCGAGCTGCTTTTTGGACTTGGTGGTGGAGGGCAGTGTGGGCTGGTGCGCGCGACGAGCACTCACGAGCGCCTCAAGCACTCGCTGAACGATCAAGGAGACGTCCGAGTCAGCAAGCTCGACCTGAGCAACAAGTGCAGCAATCAGGCGAACAACGCGGTTGGCGCGCTGCGCGGAAACGGCTGTGGCATCGCCGGCATCCATGTCATTGGCTTCGTCACGAGCGGAAGAAGTGTCGTCCTGGACGGATGTAAGGACGGCGAGTGCGCCGGCGAGGAGTGCTTGGAGAAAAGCGGTCAGATCATGCGTGCTCGCAAGCGCCACAAGCTGCGCCTCGGCTGAATCGTACAGAGCCAAAGCAGCAACAACGGCGGGCGCGAGCGAAGCGGCGCGAGACTGAGATTGAAGGATGACGAGTGCTGGGAGCGCGCTGCTGACCAGGGCAATGCGCGCAACAGCCGACGTGTTTTTGAGCAGAGGGGCCTGGGCAACGCCAGTCACAAACGCAGAAATCAGAGCCGGGGAGAGCGGAGTGGCAACTGCCAGCTGGGTGGCCGTCATGATTGCAGCAATTCGGAACTCTGGATGCAAGCGAGACTTGAGAGCATCGCGAATGAAGGGCGCGACGAGCAGCACAAAGTCGTCCGTGATTTTGGGGCAGCTCTCAATCATGGCGATGGTCGTGGCGGCGTAAAAGGAGATGAGCGCTTTGGGCGCCTGCGACGCAGCAGCATGAGCGATTGCACGGTGCACAGTGGTGGCAATGAAGCGGTAAAGCGCAGGATCAGCCAGGCAGCGCTGGACGAGCGTTGGCCGGTCGATGGAGTGCGCACTCTTTTGCACAGCCCGAAGCCAAGTCCAGTCCATGCGCTGCGAAGCGTCTGCTGCCGTGGAGCCCGGAGCAGCACGTGCGCGCACAGAGTCGATGGCAGCTGTTTGTCGCAGCGGCAGAATCGCTGCTACGCGAGCAAAGAGATGCGTGTCGTGGTATGGCAGCACGGCAGCAACCAACTCGTCCATGTTGTACTCGTTGATTCGAAATCGTCGCACCAGCCACTCGAGGGCCTTCTGAGCAGGCTTGAGCATGACAAACGGCGACAAGTCGCGCAGGAAGCGGTCAATGTGCTCGTCCAGCCGAGCATTCTCCTCGGCCGTCTGCAGTGTGCGATCGCACGAAGGTGCAGCGGGGCCAAACAAGAGCTGGTACGCTTGGTCCTGGGTGCTAAAAGTATCTGGGCTGTAGCAGAGCGCAAAAAACAAACAAACAAACAAAAATCATGGTGCACGCGTTGTAGGAGTGAGTGAGTGTGCATAGAACAGTGGCAGTGCATTGGGGGTTGTGTTGGGTTTTGGTTGAACAAGCCGAGCCACCGCAGTTGCCCCCCCCCACTCAGACGCAATAATGCAATGCAAATGTAGCAATCCAAATGCACGGAGCTCATCCATGGTCGTGGTCATCGAGTGTGAGTGAGCACACACGGTCCCATGTGAGGCGCACATGTGGAACCGAAACCAAAGCGGCCGTTTCTTCCACTCGCTCCGATCTCGCTCTCTCTCTCTCTCTCTCTCTGCCATTGAAATCTTAATAGTGGGGGGGGGGTGGAGGCGTGCGATTCGCATTTGTGTGTGCATGGGGGGGGGCTCGCTTACCTCAGCTGGATCAGTTCAGCCATCCCGTTGACACCAGTGGCGTACACGAGCGCGTTCTCAGTCTCGGCCGCCTTGCGCGCGTCGTACAGAATGGAGGCGCGGCCAGTCGCGCGGGCTGCCGAGGCACTCTTGGCAGACGCAGCAACATCCACCTGAGCAGCCACCAGCGACGGCACCGCAATGCGCTTGAGCTGCGCAGCCAAAGACGACATTGTGAAACAGAAGCTAAAGTCAAAGAAAGAGAAGAAGAAGAAGAAGAAGAAGAAAAAAAAAAAAAAAAAACTGAATAATAAAAAAAAAAAAATCGAAAGAAAAAAAAAATAAAAAAAAAATCGAAAAAAATCAAACCAAAACAGGCGCCATTTACAACTCGTCCTCTCTTCCTTCAGCAATGGTATGAATCCGCTTCCCCAACACCCGCCGGCGCCGCAGAATCCGATGTCATACATGATTACAAGCACGATTGGGGCATGAGAGGCGGGGGATGCAATGGACGATGCGCGAGAACCGGCCTCGCAAAGTCCCGGGGGCAGCAACGCAACGAACGACTTTTCATCTGGCCGCTGTTTTCCCGTTTGTTTCGGCACGAGCGGCCTTGTCGACGTCCCTGCAGCACTCCCAGCGGCTTGAATCTGCACATTCACGTCGTTTTGCGTCGTCCTGGGGCTTTGCTGGAGCGGCCAGCGGTGTCTGGTGTCTAGGGCAGCAGGAAGGGCTGAAAGCGGTCGTTTTGGCTTTTGACCGCTCGTTGGTCGTTTTCGTTCGCCCCCACGACGCACGCTCGGTGTTGCAGGTGGATGATGCTAGGAGTGGTGTCGCCAATCCCAGTGCGCAGTCCGGAGACTTGGAGATGAGCAGCATTGCCAGCAGAAAATCCACCATCCTCGACGTCCTTGTGCTGTCTTTTTTTTTTTTTTTTTGTTTGCCTTGCATCGCCTTCAACGCTCACCTTCCCAACCTTCCCCACCCTCTTGTCTTCTTACAACCACGTAGACCAAGGGTACTTCCAGCTTTGGTGAGCGCCACACCAAGACGCACACTCTGTGCAGGCGCTGCGACCGCCGCGCGTTCCACATGCAGAAGCAGACGTGCGGTGCCTGCGGCTACCCCAGCCCCCGGCTGCGCAAGTGTAAGTCACAACAGCCGTCGAGCCAAGAGTCTAGTCGCATGATGGCTGTCGTAGCTCCGTTGTTGGAGACTTTGCGAGTGCGTGTTGGCTCATTTTTTTCCCACCCACTTTCCCACCCACTTTCGCAATCGACCGAAAGAACCTCCGCCGCAAGTCCGCCGCAAGACCACCGGCACTGGCCGCATGCGCTACCTCAAGGATGTCTACCGTCGCTTCAAGAACGGCTTCCGTGAGGGCCAGGTCGCCAAGCCCAAGGTTGCCGCTCAATAAGCAACTCGTCTTTTTCTCTGCCCCATTCCCTCCATCTGCGCTTCGCGTTGTTCTCGCGAATTCGTAGCTGATATGTTCCACCGTTGTTCTGGCTCGTCCGACCCATGTGTGCTGGATGGTGTACTTCAATTGTTTTATCTCAATAACGGAGGACTGTTGAAGCAATCATTTTTTTTTTTGGCGTTTCATGCATTGTTGTGGGTTGAAAGTTGCGTGAGGCGTGGTATTTCTCAGTCAAGGTATACAACAATAGCTATGCAACAATAGCTATGCAAACTGCCTGATTACGTCGCACAAGTGGTGGAGATGGCCGTTGTGGTGGAACGAAGGGCCCAGCCTCTGGCGAGCTTGCTCCAAGGCTTCGACCAACGATTCCCGTGAGCCATATCGTAGGCCTGTGATGGGGGCAGTACGACGAGTGAGAGACCCCAGACATAATAATGGTGGTCTCTGGCGGCTCATTTTTGCGAATTGACGCTTACCAATCATGGCAGCCTGAAGCACGTCGATGGCTGACTGATCAAGCTGGTTATTCTGACTGCTGATGGCACAGTCTACGATCCGAGCATCGTTGCACTTCACCGTGACGGTCTGCAACCGCAGAGATGATTGAACGTACATGTCAGCGTGAAAGTCGAGTCCTTACAAGAAGTTTGAGTTTTGCGCAACTCTTAGACCTTACAAAGTGATCGACTTGGCTGCGACGCACAACGTCGTCGCTTGTGAGAGTCTGTGTGAAGACCGGGGTTTGTCCAAACGTCCAGTCCCAGCTCTGCGAAAGACCAAATTCACGACGAGTATGAAAAGTGAGCTGTGCAGACGAAAAGACATCTGGACAGCACTTGCTCACCATACCTGTAATTCTTCACACATGGCAGTGATTCCGGGATATGCTACTTCGTCGATTGGATTGACCAGTTGGGGCTGCCACAAGTGCACGTGAGTTTTGAGCATCCCCAACGCGAAAAGAGTGTCAAAGCCAAAGTTTGGTGCAATCCGTACCTCCAATTCTAGCGCTGCACCGGTCTCGTGAAGAAACTGCTGCGAAATGACATCACAGACCGCCTCCACCGTGACGGGATGGCCAGAGCTGTGGAGCGACGTCACTGGCGACCGAACCGAATCGATGGCTCTCGTTTCAATCCGTTGCTGTGGGTTTTGTGCAGATAGTTCAGCAATCGACCAAAGAGCCGTGCACGACCGAGTTGAGTGACTTTGCGACTTAGCGTTACAAGTACGAAACCCAATCTACTTACCGCTGCGTGCTGAAGACTTTGCCGGAGGCTGGAAAGCTCCGTGGCCACGAGCAGTGTGCAATGATGGTAGGCGCTTCGACTGACAAGTCGGTAGGCTCTGTACATGGCAGATGTGCGAGCGAGTGAGTCAGAGCCGATCAGCGGTTCCAACAATCAGATGAACGCCAACTGGGTGGGTTTCTGGACTTACGACCCAGATATTTTCTTTTCGTTTAGAAACACGTCGTTGCGTGGAGTCAAGGATGCAGGAATTCCCAACCTCGAGTGCAACGTGCGCGCCACAAACAGAGAATTGCGTTGCTTGTTGAAACTTGTGCGATTGGTCAAGAAGGACAGATTAAGGTTTTGTTCGTCCTGGCAAATGCAGCACGCATGGTAGTAGGGAGTGAGTTTCAACGGTGACAGCACCCAGTGCCATCCTTTTTTTGTTGGAGCATTTCCTTGACATACATGGAAGACGGTGCCACCGCCGCTTTTCCGCCGCAGGAAGGCAATGTTATGTTCTGCAAGAAAGGCAGGGTTGCACTCTTTCCAAGGATTCTGACTTCGACCAATGACAACCTGTCGGATTGGAAAATGCCAAAAAAACCAAAAAAACAAAAAAACAAAAAAAAAAAAAACCAAGGTTCGAGGAGAAGAGCGCGCCTAACGTGAGCCTGGATCAAAAGCTTAGCTGCTGACCACAGACTAAAGCGCAGCGGTTGACTCACGCAAGGCGAGTTCCGATACAGGAACAATTGCTGGTGTGATGCACAATCGACATTTCTCGTAAACCTGTCCACGCCAAAGTACAGCATCAGCATCAGCTTGCATCATCAACAAACCTCATGTACCCCCTTCAATGGTGGCTCCTTGTGCACCGTACCACTCCTCGAGAGCAAGATTCCACCATGGATTGGTACTTGTTGAAATGTAGACTTGCGTGGATTGCAGTTGCAGCATTTCCATCGGATCTGCACGTCCAGTGTCGTTCATGTGCTCTGATCTTGTAGCATCTTGAGTTTGGGTCTGGGTCTGGGTCTGGGTCTGGGTCTGGGTCTGCGTTTGTGAGGACGATGCCTCGGTCACGTAGCTCCGACTCGCCATCCTCGTGTCCAACTTGAGCTCGAACTCTCCTCGTCCTGACGGTAGTTGTGAACCCTGTCGCACCCCTAGCAGCGTCGCCATAGACCTGGCATCGATATGCCCTCGCAGCGCAGTCCTGATCACCGCAGCTGGTCGTGCTGGATGGTCGCGATGGCCACACGCGCTCTGGATGGCCGTCATCATTCGCATTGGCTCCAGCCAGCGCAGCGGCGACGATCGCTGCAATCCCGCAAGCGCCATGGCAAAAGAGCAGATCTCAAATCCAAGAAACGACGAGAGAAAGCACAACAACCACTTGTTTATCAGGCGAAGAAGCGACAATGATGCTCAGAGCAAGCCAAAGTCAGTGCAATTGAGAACTGAGCCGATCAGTTTTAGGTGCTTTGCGTCGATCGAGTGTGACTGTGAGCTTTTCGTTCCATCCTTCTTCCGAGGACTCTACGCACTCTTTACTGATTTTTTTGTTTCTGATATTATTCCCCACTTTCTCAGAAACCCAGTCCCCCTTTGTTTCTCTCTTTTTCTTGTTATTCTACCCTTTTTTTCCAAATCATGCTGTCTTGCTTTCCAGGGTTGTCCATCCTGCCCTTCCTGATGGGCTTTGTCCTTGCGACCTGCTTCACCGTCACGTAATACTCGTCCCTTCTACAGCAATGATGCTTGTTGTGCTTCAGCCATTTGCTGGCTCTTCCGTTACTCCATCGTCTTCCCTTCCCTGTTCCCGTTCCCCCGCCCCCCGCCGCCTCCTCTTCTCCACAAGTGTCGCTCTCCTGTCTCCTTCTCTTTGAGCACTTCGTCCTCTGCGCGCTGTGCTCATCCCAATGCGTGACCGACCATCCCCATTCCCGCTTCTCCGATCCAATGGCTCCGCTCTCTACTCTCCGCACCCCTTACTCTCTCTCTTCCTCGCTCGTACCACACTCTCGCTTCCTTCACACACCACACACGCTCTCTCTCTGTCTCGCATTGCAAAGTGCACCTCGCGTTGTACCATCTTCCAATGCGACTCTCTCTCCTCGGTTCGGGCATTTGACCGTCAGCTGTTCCGCACTCTCTTCTTCATCACTCTCTCTCTCTCTCTCTCCACTCTCACTTCCAATCCACTTCGCTCTCATTCAGTCGGTGCTTCTTGTTTCTCACGTCCCTTCTTCTGCTGATTCAACTTCTTCAACGTCTTCAACTTGTTTTCCTTCATTCGTTGTGTTTGTTTGCTCACCAATTCTCACTTTTAATGTATTTTATTGTTTTGGTTTGTTCTGTATTTTTTTTTAACTTTTTATTATTTTGTCTGTCTTAGTTACGCTGTTGCTGTGGCCAAAAGCGACGTCTCTGCGCTCTTCCCTTACATCAGGTTAGCAATCTCAACAATAATAGAAAATCAGAAAAAAAAAAAAACACCCAAGCATCCTTGTTCCTCGATCCTCGATGCTTGTTGCTTGTCTTTGGTCCTTCGTTCGGCTTGAGCATTTTTGGGCCTTATTGGCTCACATCTCGGACTGTGACTTGTTATTTTTGGTTGACTTGGCCCATTTCTGGGCAAATCTGAGCTTTTTTTTTTTTTTTTTCGTTTCTCTTGTTCTTGTTTTTGTTGGATTGACTTTTTTTCTTGGTTTTGGCATTGCGCTCACGACCATTTCATTTTTGTTGTTTTGCGCCCGCAGTGACACTGGCGCCGAGCCGCCGCAGAGCTGCATCTTTACACTTTGCCTCAACATTGCCTCCTTCATTGGTACGTCCGTCTCGTTTTTGTCGTCGCATTTGCACTCGCGCGCAATCACTTGTCGAAACCATTTCTCCTACAAACTCTCATCTCTGCGTCCTGTTCCGACTGCTCTCGGCGGGCTTGCGTTCACAGGCATCATCATCATCTACATCCGTTACCGCATTGTTATCGACTACTCGCGAGACTATGACGGCGTCCGCACGCTCAACTTCCGCAGCCTGTTCCTCGGCTACATTGCAATGTTCGGCATGATGGTCGTTGGCGCCTTCCAGGTAAGACTTGACCTAACTGCAGCTTGTCGACCCATGATTTTTGCTTTTTCTCTACAACGCAGCACATTCACCAAATCGATTGTTGAACTTGACCCGCATTTTTGCAGGACACGGCCGTGCTCACGGTGCACCTCATTGGCGCTGGCATGGTGTTTGGATGCGGCTGCATTTACGCCATCATCCACTGCGTCATTTCTCGTCGCATGGGCGTTGCCGGCAACATTTTGCTCGTCCGACAGGTCTGCGCCATCCTCAGCGCTTGCGCGCTCGTGTCGTGCGTGTCTGCGGCCGCGTTTGCCTACTTTGAAGGTGATCGCCCCTCTGGCTCTGGCACGGCCATCTGGGACCAGGGCACGAAGGGCTTCACCGCCCATGTCGTGAGCACCTTCTCCGAGTGGATTATGGGCACCGCCTTCCTCATGTTCTTCATGACCTTCCATCGCGAGTTCAAGCCTCTGACGCTGGACGTCCTTGTCAAATCCATCGAAGGTCCTCACCACGCCGAGCTCAAGCCCGACAGCACCTACGAAGACGAGTCATATCGTCGACCGCTCATCAACCATTGATTGATTGATTGATTGATTTGCAATGCTTTGTTTTTTTTTTTTTCTTTTCTCGTTCGTTCCCAGTGTTGTGGTTTTTGTTTTCGCGGACAAACGACCGCACACACAAGAGCCTCATCCTTATGATTGTTTCTTGATCCATTGTTGTTGCTGAATGTCGATGTTGATGTTGTTACGGTGCTGTCGTGCTAATCTGTGTGCTTGACTTTAAGTTTTTTTTTTTTTTGCCATTGGAAATTGGTTTTGCAATTCCATTCTAACACATCAAACTACACTCAACAAAATAAAGCTCACTCTCACTTTGCACCTTGTTCTTTGTTCTTTGTTCTTTGAAAAGTCAGCTCGAGCGCGGTGGTGAGCAAATGTCGGACGTTGAGCTGGCTCGCCCAGACCAGTCCAACCGGCCACCGCCCACCCACCGTCCATGGCGCAACTGGGTAACTTTTGCATTGCGATACAAACACAAATCCAGAGCAAGCGAGAGAGAGAGAGAGAGAGAGACAGAGCTTCAATGACCGGGTAGGACTTGACCTGCTGATGACTAACTCACCTCATACATGACCCATCCCCGCCGACTTCTAGACTGCGTTCTTCCTCATGGGCATGATCAACAATCTCGGCTATGTGATTGTCAACGCCGCTGCCAAGTCCATCGCCGACTCGTTCGACGAGGACAACCTCATTGGCGCCGTGCCGTGGGCCAACGTTGCGTTTGGCTTTGTCGCGCGTGGACTGAACGGAGCCTTCATGAAGCACACGTCGCGGCGCTCGTACGCAGCACGCGTCTGGCTCAACGCGGCATTCATGGTCGTCGGGCTGATTGCGCTGGCGTTTGCGCCGTCGTTCGGACTGGCACTCGCTGCCATCTGCGTTGTCGGCATGAGCTCGTCCTTTGGCGAGAGTGTCATCCTGGGGTATCTCAGATTCTTCAAGAGCGAGCTTGTCAACTCGTGGTCGTCTGGCACTGGGTTTGCTGGCATTGCGGGTACCCTCACGTACATCTTGTTCAGTTACCTTGGCTTGTCCAACCGAGACACGTTTCTGATTACCCTGCCGTCCATCCTCATCTACCTGGGCGCGTTCTTTTTCGTGCTCGTCCCTCCGTCAAAGCTTGCATCCACACTGTCTGAATCCTCGAACGTTGAGCCGAGCGATCCGACGATGACAGCTCCCGACGCCATCGTCCCTTCCGCATCATCGACCTCCACCGCGTCCTCCGCGTCCACCTCGTCCGCCGGTACAAAGCGCAAGCCATCTCGACGAAAGCGCACCTCAAAGAACAGCGAAAAGCAGCAGCTGCTCGACGACGACGCTCGGCAAAGCGATTCCGACGACGACGGCGATGCTGATGCTGACGAGCCGCTGGCGCCTGGACGCGACCGTGGCGCAAGTCACACGAGCTACAGCAGCACCACAGCGACGGGCATTCTCCCTGGCGCGTCGGCACAGTCGGTGAACGCAGATCCGGACGGCGGGCTCAGCCTTCCTCCTCGCGAAACCTGGTTTGCGCAGTACTGGCGCTGCACCAAGATGGTCTGGTTTGTCTCGCTTCAGCTCTTGCTAGTCTACGTGTTCGAGTATGTCATCTCTGGCGGCGCCGCTGCAAAGGTGCTGACCAAGGCCGATCAAGATCGCGACAACTTTTGGTACGCCAATTCGTACGCCATTCTCGGCTTTTGCTACCAAGTCGGCGTCTTCATTTCACGCTCATCGCTCCAGGTCGTCAAGTTCCCGCGCGTTGAAATCCTCACCGTCCTTCAGGGCTTGAACCTCATCATCTGGGTCGTGGACGACGTGTACAAGTTCATCCCGCTCTGGGCGCTCCTGCCCATGATGATTTTCGTCGGTCTCCTGGGTGGTGCGTCCTACGTGAACGTCTTCCACCTCGTGCTCACCGACGAGAACATCCCGAACGAAGACCGCGAGCTGTGCATCAACCTGGTCGCCTTCGGCATCACCATTGGCATTACGCTGGGTTGCAGTCTAATTTTGATATTCGACAACACGTTCTTGTCAAACGCCTAATAGTTGTGAATCTGATAACAAGCAATACAAATAATGAAAGTCAAAAAGCCAAGCCATTTTGTTCAACGAGTTGCTTGCATTTGAACAAGATACGAGCGGTAAAATCACAGACGAAAGCAATAAAAATCAACACTGGCAGTACGACCAACACATGCACAACTCAAACGTTATGCCTTGCCGATCAGCGACGAGTGAAGCGTGGTCAGATTTCGGACCCACTTGTCGACCGCCACAAACTTTTGTGTGCCCTGGCGAAGGGACTGCTGGTCCAACACGAGCAGCTGATTGACCTGATCGATATGGCCAGCGATTTGCTGATCGAGAATGAGCGAGACGAGCAGGTGCTCCACCTCGGCCAAAGAAATGTTCAACTCTGAGCAGATGAATGGCAGGCCGATTCGCGTGTAGGGCTTGATGACCTTGATCAAGACTTGCGTTCGAATGTTTTTGAGCAAATCCTGCATCAATGCAAGGCAAACAACAGAGCAAAAAAAAAGCAAAACAAAGATTGCATGAGAAAAACTAGCAAGAAAACTGGTTAACCAAACCCTCACTGAAACACATTCACACTGTACCTCAACATAGGCACGAACGAATGGATCATCCATAATGTTCTTCTTGTTATCGCGCAGAATCTTTTCAAACTCGGCAATGTCGTTGCGCTGGTAGGCCGACACGAGGTTTGTCATTGCGAGAATTTCAGGATCGTTCTTGTAGGGCTTGGCTTCTTGCGAGTCGAAAGGGTTGATCTCGGACTGCATCAGCATGTTGGCCAGCACGAGGTACTTGAGGCACTGGATGCGGCGCGACGAGCCGGACTCGTCGTAGTTCTTGAAGGCCTCGAAAAAGTCTTGGTTGGCCTCAGCCCAAGCGCCTTCGCCGAGATGCATCTTGCCACCACACTCGCGGATGACGCCCATGATGAGCGGATGAGGGATGGCGGACTTGACGCGGAGCGAGCGCTCGTACAGCGCCTTGAGCTTTTTCGTGTTCTTCTGTGCAGTGTACATTTGGATTTCGAGGGCGTAAATCTCAAGAAGCTGAGTGCCCTTCTTTTGATCTTCCGAGCCATCTTCGTTCTGGCACGACTCGTGCAGCTGCTTGAGAATCTTGGTCAATCGCCCAAACTCCTCGCGGTCAAAGTACAGCTTGCCGAGCTTGAGGTTGGTCTTGAACCAGAGACGGTCGTTGCGCGCCTCTCGCAGTGTCTCCAGGGTGGTCTCGTAGAACTCTTGCAGCACGTCCATTTGGTTGGAGACGGAAATGTAGTCGAGAATCGAGTTGATGCTCTTCTCCGAGTAGTTTCGCGTCACGGCCGACTTGATGTAAGTCAGCAGCTGTCTGTACTTTTTCATCATGGCCTGGTGCTTGCCCAGCCGAAAGTTCAGCTTGACCATCTGCTTGAGCGCCTTGAAGCCCCACTCGCCCTGTGTGTCGCCCTCCAGCGTGAGCACCTGTTCGAACGACTCGAGCGCGTCCCTGGGTTCCGAGTCCTTCAACGCCTTCGAGTTGTAGTACCTGTGATTCAGATGTGTCCAACCGTCAGAGAGAGATGCATCGTGACAATATGGAAAGCTCAGACAAAGAATTCTCAGATTTTGGCTAAATTTTCAGACGATTGTTCCAAACCGCTCAGCTTTTCGCAATTTCTTGTTGTTGCTGTTTTTTTTTTATCACTCTGTGCCATATTTTCCACTGGGCAAAGTCTCCATAGTGACTGTCTTTTGGTTCCTGTTGAGTGCGGTGACGTTGGTGCTGAGATTGAATTTTCTCAATGCTCGTTCACTCTCGGTCTCTCGTTCGTACTCGACCCAAGCACGTCAGTCAGTCAAGCTGACACGAAGCAAAAGCCCGACTTCCACTCGAACAGCGAACAAGGCAACACGCGCGCGCAGAGACAGAGGACGGAGAGAGCGAGTCGAGATCTCGTCACTCGGTCGCAAAGAACGACAGAGCAGCCGAACTGACCAAGGGCCCCCCCCCTTCCCAAAACCCAAGCCCCAAACACCAACGCTGAGGGGATCTTCCTTGACCCCAAAAACCACCGCGACGTGCAGCGACAGTCGTCGGGTCGGGTTGTCGAACACTGTAGATTGGCGGGAAAGCGCCAGCCAAGACCATTGCAACTCAACTGGTTCTCAAGGTCGACGTCCGGCTCCGAGCCTTCGTCGCTCTCGTATTCCAAGCCGTAGTCCTCTTCGCCACCGTCGTCATCCATAAAGTCATCGTCGTCCATGGTTGCAAAGAACAAGAATCAAACAAAAAAAAAAAAAAAGGGACTGATTTTTTTTTCCAGTCATTCTCATTTAGGCTGGTTCATCGCAACTTATCGAGCTGTCCGTCACATGGAAACTATGATGTAGAAGTAGACAACAGTAAATCGAAAAAAGCATAATTGAGAGACAGGCTTTTCAAACGCCAGGACACACCAAGGAAAGAGCAGCTACAACCAAAAACCGAAACAACCTCGTTTAGAAGGTGAACGTCCACTCGGCACCAGCAGCACGGTCGCGGACTTGGGCGGGGGTCGGCAGCTGCTGGGTGCTGAGGAGCGAGGCAAAGCGAGCAACAACGGGGTCGGCGGCGAGACTTGCGGCAGCCACAATCGCACCGTCCTTGACGTAGAATGCGGCAAACTTGGGGGCGGAGAGGTCGCCATGGATGATGATTTCGTCTGGCTTGTCAGCGTAGCCGGCATAGCGAACAGACTTGCCATAGTGCGCCGTCCAGAAGAACGGCACCGTGTCAATCTCGGTGGCCTTGCCAGCAATGTTCTTGCCGACGATGCTGCCGAGGCGCTCGGCAACCTGGAAATGCTCGATGCGAACTGCAGCCGAGCCGCTGGCGCTGTACTTGTACGGGAAGCGGGCAACATCTCCGGCCACGTACAGACCGTTGCCAGCGTGGCCGAACTTGTCGACCGAAATCGAGCCATCCGGGTTGACAGTGACGCCAGCGCCAGCCTTGACAAACTGTGTGTTGAGTTGCACGCCAACGCCAAACAGCACAACCTGGCCAGGGAGAACAGTGCCATCGGCCAGCTCGACGCCAGTGATGCCACCGTCGGCGCCAGTGTTGATCGACTTGACGCCAGCGGCTGAGGTGACAATCTTGATGTTGTTGTCAGTGTGCAGCTTGGCGACGGCCGCGCCCACCTTCTCGCCAAACACGCGGGAGAAGGGCGCCTCGAGGCCCAGGACGGTCACGGACGCGGCCTTCTTGGCAATCGCGGCGGCAGCTTCCATGCCAATGAACGACGAGCCCACAATGACGACGTTCTTGTTCTCGGCGTCCGCAGCAAAGGCGGCGGAATCTTCGGGCGAGCGGAGGACGTGGACACCCTTGGAGGTGGAGCCGGGCACATTGAGGATGCGGGGGCTATTCAGAAATCAAACAAAACAAAACAAAACAAAACAAAACAATGGTGAGTGACAATTGTCATCCACGCAACACTCGTTTTTTTTGTTGTGGAAACAAGAACTTACGAGGAGCCAGTGGCAACGATGGCAAAGTCGTACTTGAGAACCTGGCCGTCGCTGAGCGTAGCAGTCTTGGCATCGGCGGCCAATTCGGTGACGGAAACGCCGAGCAGCAGCTCGATGCCGTGCTGGGCATAAAAGTCCTTGCTACGCAGAGCAATCGAATCAGCAGCCACGCCAGGTGTCTTGCTCAGCTTGGTGCGGTCGTACGGCAGGTGGGTCTCCTTGCTAATCAGCACGATGCGTCCTGCAAGCAGAAAAACGCACACATACAGATATTATTCGGTTAGTTTTTCGTTTGTGTGACGCTACAAGCACACCTTCAGAGTAGATTGTGCCCTCGTACCCGCAAAGCCGGACTGACGCAGCGACTCGACAGCAGAAGCACCAGCAGGGCCACCGCCAAGAATCAAAACGACGCGAGCGTCTGCCTGGTCGCGAGGGCACATGGTATGGGTGCGCTTCGATCCGCTCTTGATCTCTTCTTCGGTGGTCGAGAGCACGACGTTCTCGCCTTCGATGCGAACCTGCGCGAGTTGGAATGAACGAAACAAGCGCGCCAAGTCAATCTCTTTGAGGACATTTGTCCACAAAACCAACGCTGGGCACTTACATCAAACTTCTTCACACCATCCAGGCCAGGGAAATCCTCAATGTCACCTGTCGTGACATTGAAGCAAGCGCCGTGCCAAGGGCAGCGAACATGGCCGTTGTGCAGAACGCCGTTCTTCAACGGAGCGCCATAGTGCGAGCACGCGTGTCCGATGGCCGAATAGACGCCCTTCTGGTTGACCAGGAGTGCCTTGCCTTCGCCGACCGCGACTTCTTTCATCCTACATTGAGTTGAGTTTTTTTACAACAAACGATAAGTTTCACAGGTTTCGGAACCAGCCCAAATTTGTTCAGTTCGATGTTCATCCCTTGAATTCAAATGGTGCGATCGTGCCAGAACCTAGTCACAGAAGCTCAATGCTCTCCACACAACATCCTCAAAGTCCTCCTATTGCTCCACATTCTCGTTCTCGTTCTCTGGTCTCAGAGTACTTAGATTTCTCCGAGTGTGTTTTCCCATCTCTCTCTTCATCACTCTTTCTCTTTCTCTCTCTCTCTCGTTTTTTTCACTCCAACTCTGTTGCTCATAATCTTTGCCATCCATTTTTCCACCTCCCCTGATTTTTTGCATTTTCGCAGCTCAACATCGCAAAACACACAAAAACAGTCCAAACAAAAGCGGAATAAAAATCATCGACCAACCATTTGTTTCCTCTTTTTTTTTTTTTTTTTTTTTTTTTTTTTTTTTTTTTTTTTTTTTTTTTTTTTTTTTTTTGTTTTCCCATTGAATTTTGAACTGTTTTCGTTTTTGTTGCGCTCAAGTGTCGAAACCTCCGCTGCAACGGAACTCTGCGCGCTTTGTGCACTGCGGACGAAATGCAGTTTGCATCAGGAGTGAGTGTGCAGGAGTGAGTGTGGCAGAGCAGAGAAGGAGCAGCGAAATTGGAGCTCGTTTTGTTGGACGACGCGCTCAACTGAAAAGCGGTTCAAGCGGAGTCGGCTGGCAACAGGATGATGATGATGATGATGATGAGCATGATGATGATGATGGTGGTGGTCATGATGATGGTGTTCATGATGATGGATGGCGACTCAGTGCAAGCGCGCAACGGAGCCTCCAATCAACCGACGTACTCGCCGTCCTTGAGATCGGACAGTGTGCCAACGACAACTTCAAGCTTGGACATGGTTGTTTTTTTGTGGTGGATTTTCGATAGAAACAAAAACAAAAAGACTGCAACACAATCCATAACGACGTGACAATTCGATGCAGTGATGGAAACATGACAATTCGGGGGTTTCGTTGGGTTGGTTGTGCAAAACCCCCAAATTCATAGATTGCCGTTCTCCGTTGTTCATGCTGCTCATGAATAAATAAAAAATGCAAGACGCCTCGAGTCTTGTTGCATCTACTATGGCGGGGACCGCATCGCGGCATTGGCGAGCGAAAGCCCGTTCGCGGAGAGTGTGAAATGCAACGCAGTGCCAAACGGATCGTCGTGCTTGTTGACGCGGAGAACGGTCATGGAATGGTGGGTGAGGCCAGCAGCCGGTGGCAGCGACTGGGATTGCGCTTGTGATTGTACTGCGAAAAAAATTCAATCCAACACGCAGTCATGAGTGAGTGAGAACGATGGAGACGCCTAAAAAAGTCGTGGAAATCGTCAACAGCACGTACACCCGAGCTGAACCACCAACGGAAACCACCGCTCGAGCAACTCGACAAGCGCAGGCGGAGGCAGAACCAGGCGAAGAAGCGAATCCGCGACCAGCAGCGTAGTGGGCTGTGCCGGATGAGTTCTGAGCCAAAAAAGTAAAAAACCTCAAAAGTGAACATTGAAAGCAACCAAAACACAGGCCTTGCGATTCCTTACGAGGTCAGATAGTTGCAAGTCTCGACCAATAACGCAGACGTCTTGGCGACAGCATGGGAGAGTGTTTGTGTCTGGACAGTGCAGCTGTGAGACGCAAAGGCCCAAAACAAATAACTGCACAACCACCACCGCCAGCGGATGATTACGCACTGTCTTGTTGGCGTCGCCAAAGAACGCAAGATAGTCATCAACAATCACAACGGATGCTGGCTCGTTTGTCATGTGCGCTGAAGCCAAGAAGCATCGGAGCTTGGCGGACGTGACAATGTACCTGAGTTCAAAAACCACACACAGCCATTCAAGGTGAACGAAATCTCAACACCACCTCTTCAGCAAACAAACAAACGATGGCGCAAATGGCTCACTTGATGTGAATTCGCTTCAGAATCTGATCGAATGTGACTGGTGCCACACCCGCGTTCTGAGCGGCCGAGTCTCCAGTCGTCGTGGAGCTGACCCCCAGCGAGTCCGAGCTCGCGTCGCGCGCTGCGGCTGTGACCACATGCTCGAGGAACGGCAGCACGGCCCTCAGCCGATCGCGATCCGGACAGAGGAAGACGACATCGCGCCCTTGAGCGGCGAGTCGCGTTGCGTAGCTGAAGAGCAGGTACGTTTTGCCGCTTGTTTTTTTTTTTTTTTTTTTTTGGGGCACCGACAGCAACACAACAGATTCATACAGCAGAAGAGTTTGGCAAACACGGTGAGCAGCAGACACAAAAACCCAAGTCCACCAGAACGAAGAACGAGCACCAGCAACGTTTTTTGCTTGCAACTTGAAGCGCGCGCGCTTTGTGGCATTCTCGATTCACGCTTCTCTCTTTTGCTCGGGTACCTTTGAGCTGGTCCGCACACAAGGGTGGACGATGCACCTGCGTACGTGGCAATCGGCGAGTGGCGCAGCGTGTGCAGCGTTGCGCGGGACGCGGCGTCCAGTCCACTGCGATGCTCGCGTTCAAGATTGGGCGGGAACAAGTCCAACAACTGCATGCAACAAACAAAGAGTGAGCCCTATGAGTGACCCAACTCGACTCGGTAGATCGAGAATCGCAGTAATTCAGTGGAAATTATAAATCGAGGGGATTATCAGCTCTATTGAGGCGAATACAGTAAAATCAGCGAAATCCCCACAACATCGCAGAATCGACAGCAACGTTGCTTCTAAACAAACCCCCATCAACGAAGGACGAAAAGAAGGGAGCCAGACATTCTCAAAACAGACCAAAAAAAGCAAACAACAAACAAAACACAACAAAGCAGGACGACGAACACGTCGCCCAATTATTAACAAAGCTCTCCCTGCTGCTGAGCGGCCGAGTCGACCGCAGCAGAGGCACTGAGAGGCTCAGATTTGGATGCATCAAAGTAGCCGAGCGCCTTCAGGTTCCATTCGTTCAAGCGGCAAAAGCGCGAAATCGATTCGCCCTGGGTTGCACCAGTGCGAGATCACCAGAGTGATCGGATTCATCATCATCATCATCATCATCATCATCATCCTCATCATCGTCATGATAATCATCATCATCCATGGTACTGGAGAAGGTAGACTTGGACTAGGTAGACTTGGACTCCCCCTGCTCGAGCAGATGGTGTCTCTGGCCAGGAAGGCGGGATGTCGCTGGTGGTGTGGCGCGGTGGGAGGAACCGGAGGCTGCGGTGGCGGGCCGAACGGCCCGAAGGCATAGGCAAACGACTGCGGATTCAGCTGCTGCGCAAACGGATCATAGTTCCACGACGAGGCGGAAACATACTGCTGCCCGCGATACGCAGCGTGAGCCGAGTTGACAGACATGTGCGACGAATAAACTGGAACCAGCACTGGCTGCCCTGCTGCTGCTGCCGAGGGATGGGCGGCGACAGAAGCGCCTGCAGACGGGTAGCGCGCTGCAACAGCCGCAGCAGCCGTTTGCGACGACTGAGAGCGATGCTGCGGGTTGTGAAAGTAGATGGGCGCTTCTTCAGTCAGGGTGGAAATGTAATAAGGGCTCTGCTTGCCAGATGACAGGTTCAGAACGCGCGAGCGAACATTCTGGAGCACGTCGCTGATGGTCTTTGGGGGATCGCTTCGAAGTTGAGCGAGCAATGCTGAAGTGTAGTGGCTGTTGGTGCGGTGGCCTTCAAAGGCAAATTCACCTGGGATAGTCGCAAAGCTGATGAGCGTGCCGTACGACGACTTTTTCAACGATTCTTGCAGGGCAAGCGGTGCCGCGCCCGAGCCCTCCGGCTGTTCGCGGCAAGCATCAAGCAGCAGCACGATATTTCTGGGTTTGGAGCTACCAAGCAGCTCAAGTACTTGCTGCGTGCTGATACAAGTCTCGGGGATGTTGTCTGGCGTCAATTTGGCATCGCAGGGAACAAGGTAGGTCACACCATCGCGAATGACGCCATGGCCGGCAAAAAAGACGACGATCGTGTCAGGCCGTTTGGGCATTGACCAATTTCGACTGAGCACCTGCTCCATGACATCTTTGGTGGGGTCGGCAATCTTCACGACAGTATACTCGTTAAAGTCCTCAAATTGACGAGCCATAGAGTCAGCGTCGGCTTTCGCCAGTGCGAGGCAAGGCAAATGCTGGTACTTGTCCGCGCCAATCGAAATGAAGACATCACGCTTCGACACTGGTGGCAGGGGCATGGCGAGCGAGGAGGTCGACCCATTCACGGAAAGCTCAGGCTTGGCTGGCTGAACTGGCGGGTCCATGATGGCGGGCTCATGCGCTGCAGCCGAACTGGAGGCAACCGAGAGGGAGGTGAAAGCTGTTGCGACAAGAGGATTGCCTCCTTCGGCCGTCGGAGCGGTTGCGGCTTTGGGCGGCTTTGGCAAGATACGCTTGCCCGCAGGGCCAGGCCGACTCGACGATTTGGCAAAGCGACGCTTCAGGAGGAAGCCCGTGGTAGTGACCACAACAGCGGCGCAGGCAATTCCGATCACCAAAGTGTATTGAGCAGTGTTGGAGTGTAGTAGCTCGGCGGCAGCAGCGTTCGTCTGGGAACTGGTTTGCGCATTGAGCTGCACATTGAGCTGCTGCTGCTGCTGCGCAGCTTGTTCTTCAGGAAGAACAATGGTGCGATTCCTGGGGATGCGACGCGTGATGACGGGAGCAAACGTTGGCGATGCCCGCGAAAGTGCTTGGTTGGCAGATGCGCTGTCAGCAGGCGTGTTAAACACAAACACAGCGCCAGAAGGCAGCGGCACCGGCACAACAAGGGAGGCAGGCTTGACAGGAGGGTAGGAATGGGGGCGTGTGCGTGCCGCACTGGCCGACGCGGCCGCCGCGGACGCAGATGCTGCAGAGGCAACAATTCGCTCAATTGCCGGGTCGCCGCAGCCAGCGGTGTCGCATTGGAAGAAGGTTAAACAGCGTTGACAAAACTCATCGCGAGTTTGGACAGAGGCGGAATTCTTGGCGAGCACAGCGGGAGGGAATCCTTGGTCGTTGGAGGCGATTTTAGGGGCGAACGGCCAGAACTCGGGGATTTTGATGACCACAGAAGGCGCAAAGTCTTTGGCGCCTGTGACGCCGACGCTGGTATATCTGTTAGGCATCCCCCATTGAACCAGAACGTTGCGGAAGCCGACATCCCCGGCGACGGCAATCTGCCCAGCAGGTGGCGCATAGGTCGTTCCTGAAATAACATCGTCGTACGAGACATATGTGAGAGGCCGGAAGAAGACACCCTGGAACTGGATGTGGACAATCGCACGCAGCTCAAACTCGGCCGAGCCACGCATAAGGGTGTTCAAGAACTGGCAGTTGATGGTGCGCAACTCGAACCTGTCTGTGGAGAAAATCGCGGAATATCCGCGGACGGATTCGAAAACGCAGTTGCTCACGGTCACGAGCGGCAAGATGAAATCCTTGGTGTAAAAGCTTCTACGGTGCGGCTCACCCAAGCGGATGGCGCCGCCGTGTTGTGCGGATGTGGATTCAAACCTTGTGTTGAAAATGCCAGAGATGGCATCACCGCGAGGACTGAGCGAAACACCGCCACCATAGCTCAGGTCCTCCCAAGCGGTGCAGCGAGTAAACACGCACTCATCGATAATAGTCAGCATGTGATCTTGCGTCTTGATGGAAACAGGCGAGCGATAGACTCTCTCGAACGAGTCTGGCGGGAGGGCGAGATGCGCATTGCGGACCACGAGGTCGGTGAAGGTCGAATTCAGGATGAACACGTGCGAGTAGCCCCAAGCTTCAATGCCATTCGATGGCAGAGTGGGCAGTGTCTTCGTGTCCGAGAAAGCGCAGTTGGCCACGGTCAACGAAATGCCCGACTGGAAGACACCAGACGCCGCAAAGGTCGAGTCCCGCACAAGTGTGTGAACAGGGGCGTTCGCAACCAGACCCGCAACCCCGAAAAACTCAGAGTTGCGAACAACCACATGCAGGGGGGCCTGATCAGCCCAGTGGGCAGAGCGCTCGAGCGTGGCTACAGGCCACTTGCCAAAGGTGAGAGCAAAAGTCGCCGTGGTCAACACACGCGGAACGCCAGCTCCCAAGAGCGAGAAGAACGAGTCTTCGACAAGGACACCGCGCCACACGTCAGACGCGTGGACACCAGATCCGCCGTCCAGACCAAACTCGCAGCCACGGATGAAGACTTCCAGGGCCGGTGGCAACGTGCGGCTCGAGCCAGGAGCCGTTGTGGGCAGCACCACAGTAACAACATCGCCCGCGGTGTTGGGGACCTCAATGCTCAAGGCTGCATCGGCCAGAGCCGAGTTGAACGACAGCACGGATTCGGACAAGACCGCGTCCGTCACCGTGTTGTTATTGGCCAAAATGCACACGCTGGGGCAATCCGTGAAGGCGAGGTGGGAAAACACAATGCGCGCGGCAGCAGTAGCGCTGCCGGCGCCGTCGGGAAAACCGCCAACAGCCGGCACAGCCTGGAGCACGTCACCAGCGTGGGAGTTTGGCAGTCCCTGGAAGGTTGGCTGAATCAGAATGCCGTGGGAATTGCCAGCGATCCGACCGAAATTGACTGGCAGCGCCTCGGCGCGCAGGTTGATGACGCGAATTTCGGACGGGAGCTGATACAGCAGCGCGAGCGTCAAGTCGTTGGGCAGCGCGACAGGGGCGTCGAGCACCAAGCCTGTAAACGTGTTGACATCCAAGCAAATGTCGGCGCGAAGAGGCAAGAGCGCAGCAACGGCAGCTTTAGCAGCGACCGGGTTGTCAGCGTGTGCAGACACGGCACTCGACACTGCAGCAATCCAGTCCGCGTAGATGGATGTCATAGTTTCGGCCACTTGCTCGAAGGTGAGGACGGAGGCGACGCACTGGACTGCTTGCTCGGAGGAAGCAGGATGCTCGACCAGTAAATCGTCAATGACCGCACGGTCTTGCTCGTACAGCCCGCCAGCCAGACGGACTGTTTCGAAATTGTGAGCCATTGTCCAGTTGGTCGGATTCGACTTGTAGGTAGCCTTTTCAATGAGTGCGGGAGAAACAAACTCGGGCATCCAGGCCGGGTACGCCGCATGCGACGGCGTGACCAGCAGCAGCAGACACACGACCAACAACGCGGCCACAGGCAGCATTGCCAGTCGGATGCGAGGCGAAGCCATCTTCGCACGCCAAAATAGAAATGTGAACTTGAAGGAAGCGAGAAAGAGAGAGAGAGGGAGAGTTCTGTCAAAGTTGAAAAAAAACAAAAAAAAAAAAAACAAAGCAAAGCATAACAAAAACAAAAGTGACATGCCAAATAGTGAGTGAATACTGTGCGACCAAGATCGAGATGAAGTGATGGACGGGGAGGGGGGAAAGGAAAAAAAAAAAAAAAACCACGCACAAACACCCACGAAAAACGAAAAAGGGTGCCGCATGGAAGGAACTGAGCGTCGGGATGCAAGACGACCATAAGCCAAGATGCGCGAAGGATGCAATCACACCACCAACGAGAGACATTCCCCCCCCCCTCTCACAAGAGTCAAATAAAAGAGGGGAAAGAGGGAAAACGAAAAAAGAAAAAAGAAAAAAAAAAAAAAAGAAAAAACAATCAGAAGTCTGTTTTTTTTTTTTTTTTGATCAAGCGGCTTTGTCCTCAGACCACTCTCGCCTCCGAGCCCGCGGTTGAGGCAAGTCGCTCTGGGTCTACATGCGCTATGCACGGCTTTCTATGACAGCAGAACGAAAAGCGACCCCAAAGCCTTGAAAAAAAAAAAAGATTAAAAAAAAACCGAGCTCAGAAAGCGACCGTTTTCGGGCTTTTCGAATTTCAATGGATTCATATGGGTCGTCAGTTTGTGGTTGAAGCACAAACACGCCGCAGAACAGCCGCGAACCACCTTCAGCTGAAGGAATCACACCAGCACACGGAAGGCAGCAGTCGGATGAAGGCACAAGGAAAGAAAGCCGCAAACAACAAAACGCAAAAAAAAAAGAAAGAAAAAGATGAGTTTAAGGTTTTTTTTTTTTTGGCCTGCCTCCGCTTTTGCCGCTTTGGCCGCTTTGGCCGCTTTTGCCGCTGCGCTACTCGCGTCGGCTCTCGGAGCAAGCGGATAGCGAGTCGCTTTGGTGCGTCGGTGAGAGGGGGGGCGCTGCAGCGGAGGCGGAGGGTGTGGAAAGTGCGAGGCGCGCGGGCAACAAAAGGGCAATGAACAGAAAAAAAAAAAAAAAAAAAAGCCAAGCGACACTCACAATGATTCAGAATGAAAAAAAAAAAAAAAAGAAAAAAAAAAAAGACGAAAGCAAAGAAAAAGGAAGACTGAACTTTGCTCTCAAGTCAAGCAAGGAGATGATCAAAAGAGTGAGCAATACAACGAACTACAAAACATGGCATCGACACAGATCTGTGCTGAAGGAAGCAGCGCTCAGAGCACGAGGACCAAGGAGGATCAGCTTTTTTCTTTTTCTTTTTGAAAACATGGGATTTTGTAGGAGCAAGTACAGCAGAATGCTCGTTCGAACGGGTCTACGAATTCGAACAAAAGTGAAAACAAGTGGTAGATGAGCTACAGTAGTGTGCTTTTCACCTGTTGGAATGAAAGGGCGAGGTGGACTGGTGGCCGACCAGCGAGGTATTGCCTTTCGAAACTGCTGCGAGAACTTTAAATGTGTGCGTCCAAGGAGCGCTTTGTGATCACTGAATTTAGACATATCCGACATAAAGCCTTTCAAATAGCACATCTCGGGGAAACGTGGGTCGAACTTGAACTTCCCAGTCCTCGCGCATTTGTCGGAGGATGGGAGTACTCGCTGGCCAGATGGTCGCAAGCGCAAGGTTCGACTCGACAAAAGTCGGGTGCACAGTACACTCGTGCCGAACAGCACCTTGTTCATCTCGGACAGTCAAATCGAAAGCACCGTCGTCGGTGTGCTTGGGACGCTCGCTCCAGTCACGAAGCACTTGAATTGTTTTGACTCGAATTGAATTTCCTTGAGGCATAGTGACTTTCAGGGTATCGACATCAAAGTCCTCTCGTTTGATTTTCTCCACGCCTTGCCAGTAATGTGCCTTGTCCATGATAAGGTCGGCCATCTCGGTTGGTAGTGTTGGAAGAGATGCGGGCTGATTCTCCAGCTCCAACCCGCCGGTCAGCATGCCGAGAACTGCTTGGATGTCTTCAGCACTCGCCAATCGCGGAAGGAAGGAAAACGCAAGTGGGTTGATCTGATCGCGGAGGCTGTGAAACGAACAAGCGAGGCATGATCAGTCAGTGACCACTCCATCGGTGGGAGGAACATTGTCTGACCATCAACGTCTGTGATTGGCAAGAACAAACTTACAAAAGCTGAAATCCACTTTTGCCTTTGCATGCCTCATCGATCGCTTGAGAACCAAAGACGCCAAAGCAATTACGCGATAGACTGTGGCTCAAAGTGAGCGGGATGACAACGTAGCAAGGTATGGCTCAATGTTCGAGACACGCAACACACCGTAACTTACAAGAGTAGAGTCAACGTCGTGTTTACTTTGAGTGCTTCAGCAATCGCCTGCGCTCCAGCATCGCCAATCTGATTCCCATCCAGACTATCCATTCCCTCCATCCATGAGAATTCTGAATGCGCACCCCCTCCCATGCATCAGTCAAAGTCGAATGGCTTACCTGATCCGAATCAGCGTCTTGTTCACTTTGAGTGCTTCAGCAATCGCCCAGGCTCCGCCGTCGCCAATCTGATTGTGTCTCAGGCTGTCCATCCTCTCCATCAGTGAGCACTCTTCACGCCCTCTACGGAATCACTCACTCTCATGCAACAATCAACGTGATCTGCCTTACCTGAGCACAGTCACCGTCGAGTTCACTCTGAGAGCTTCAGCAATCGCCCAGGCTCCGCCGTCGCCAATCTGATTGTGTTTCAGGCTGTCCATCCTCTCCATCAGTGAGCACTCTTCACGCCCTCTACGGAATCACTCACTCTCATGCAACAGTCAACGTGATCTGCCTTACTGGACATAAGACAGCGTCGCGTTCGCTTTGAGTGCCTCAGCAATCGCTTGCGCTCCACCATCGCCAATCTGATTCTCATCCAAACTGTCCGTCCTCCATTAGTGAGCAATCTGAATGCCCTCTGCCTTTCACTCGATTACAAGCATCGGTCAAAGGTGAATGACTTACTAGAGATCAGTCAAGGTGTTGTTCACTTTGAGTGCCTCAGCAATCGCTTGCGCTCCAGCATCGCCAATCTGATTCAGGTGCAGCCTGTCCTCCATCCATGAGAATTCTGAATGCGCACCCCCTCCCATGCATCAGTCACTCTGAGATGACATACAAGAGCTCCTTCAACGTCGTGTTCGCTCTGAGAGCTTCAGCAATCGCCTGCGCTCCAGCATCACCAATCTGATTCTCTTGCAGACTGTCCATTCCTGTGAGCACTCTGAATGCCCTCTGTTGCATCACCCACTCACAGGCAACAGTCAACGTGAGCTGCCTTACCTGATCTTAATCAGCGTCGTGTTCACTTTGAGTGCCTCGGCAATCGCCTGTGCCTCTGCAACGCCAATCTGATTGTCATCCAGGCTGTCCTCCTTTGTATCAGTACACACGCAATATCACGCTGTTCTCAATCAACCTGGCTTTCTTCTTACTCGAGCTGTCCACTCGCCTTCTTGACTTGGTCATACAACTCGCGCTGTCTCTCAGTCATACTCTCATACGACAGCATTCTGGAAAAAGCTCAAACAGCAAAAAAAAGGAAAAAAAAAAAGAAAAAAAAAACTGGCTCAAGCACAGTTCCCTTTTTACCGCTCTGCCGCAAGCCCTGCTTGATTTGAATCTGCCACCGTCATTTGACCACATAATCGTGGTGAAGACAACCCCAAAAAGCGAAATGTACTATTCAGTCGCAGTGAAATTCGAGACTTTCTCAAAAGTGACATTTGGGGGAGAAACATCAACAAACGGATCAACCTGTGCTTTTCATTCTCCGACAAGGACGGCTTTTGCCATGTATATGTGTTTGGGGGGGGGGGTTGATTTTGAGTTTGTTACTTGGGGTTCTTGATGGACTCTCGCTTCTCGGCAAACATGCGCTCGAGCTCCTCCAACACTGCGACAAAAAAAGGACATCGACACACGAGCAAAACGAGTGAGTTTCCATTGTTGTTGCACTCGCCCTGAAATCAACCGCTTAGAAATTTTGTTGCTTTTGCGTGTGTGTCCCGCCCCCTCCCTCCTTAACTCACTTTGCAAGTTGAACTTGACGGTAAGAGTGACAGAGCCAACAGACGACTTGAGAATCTCGACTGCTCGTTCGTGAGTCGCCTTCGTCACGTCAATGCCGTTGACGGATTGAAGCTGGTCGCCGCGCTTCAGGTTGCCGTCCTTGAAGGCGACACCGTTTTCGGCAATGCGCGAGATAAAAATGGGGCAGTTCTGCTCGGCACCGCCCATAATGTTGAAGCCAAGACCCTGGGTGCCCTTGGTGAGCACAATGACACGGTGGTCCTTGGTCTCATCGCCAGCACCGAAAGCGGCAACTGTAGCGTTCTCGACCGCTTGCGAGGTGGCAGTGATACCACCGCGGTTGGCGGCGGGCGTCGGCGCGGCCTCAGGAGCGGCGGGCAGACTCGTTTGGAAGGCGTCGTACACCTATTTAAGAAATAAAAACAAGCAAGCGATTGAGTGAGTGTGATGACTTTGATGCAGAGTGGTTGAGTATTGTTTGGCGGATGACACATGGTTTGGAGGAGCGGCTTTTTGCGTTGATCCCCGTCCGCGGCCGCTCCCTTGGCTCCCTCCGTGGTGTCGCTCCAGCCTCAGATTTCGGCTTGGCTCGGAACAAAGTGCCATAACGTGGCCTTTCCCTCTTCACCCTGTATGTGCCACTATCAAGTTTAAATTTCAAGGTGGGCGGGCCTCCGACGCCTCTTTTGCGGCCGCAATCCGCCATCCAGTCCCCGCTGCCCAAACGACGTTCACATCATCACGAACATCATTCCACGAGTATCATCGTCGTATTCGTCAGAGCAGTCCCCCAGAAGACGACGATGACGATGCAGTCAAAAGAGCAATGTTGAAATAAAAAAAAAAAAAAAGAAGAAAAAAAAGAAGGAATTTTTGCTTGTTTTGATTTTTTTTTGATTTTTTTGATTTTTCGATTTTTTTGTGGCAAAAAACCATCCATTTGTGAATGACGATCGTCATGTGAGCATGTCACAAAGACAAGCACTTGGATTGGATTCAGCGAGACATCCGGGAAAGGAGGAGGGTCAGTTGGCGGGGGAAAGGGGGGGGGGGAAATGGACCAAATGAAGGCAAAAAAAAAAAAAGAAAAAAAAGAGAAGAAATGATCAGAGCGCGACGACGAGGAAGGCGAGAAACGGGAGGAGCGACGATCGCAACGACAGTGCTGTGGCGAGCCAGACAAGTGGTGCGCCTTTAGTGAGGGGAGGCGGGGCGGGGTGTGTGGAAGGAAAAGCGCACCTTGGCGACAGACTGGAAGAAAGGGCTCTTGAGCAGCTGGATGATCAGCTCGAGGTTGCGGGCGCCCTTGAGGTCTGCATTGGTGCTCTGGATGGTCTCGAGCTGCGCGAGCGCGGCACGGGAATCTGAATGCGGGTTGCAACAGGCAGGCAGGATGGGGCGGGCGAGTGAGTGGAAGAAGAAGAGGACGGAAGAGGATGCAATGGAAAAAAAGGCAGCAGATTTTGACATGATCCAAAAAAAAAAGCCAAAAAAAAAAAAAAAAAAAAAAAAGCAAACCTTCAGTAACAGTCATTGTTTTTGGAAAAAAAAAGAAAAGTGTGGACTGAATAATCAGCAACATGTAGTACATGTGGATTTTCATCATCGGTGATGCAGGAGGGGAAGGGGAGGAGAAGGGGGGAGGAGGAAGTCAGCGCGATTGATGGTTAATTTATAAATTACAGCAAATCATCGACAGTACCACGTACAAACCCCCATGCAAAAAAAGGACCATCCAACAAATGGAGGGTGCAGACTGCTTTTTACAGCCCTGGCAAGTCGGCCAAGGTGGCAGACAGGGATGTTTGTGCTGGAGCGGTGGAACCTCCAGAGTGCTTCGCCGACGCTGCTGCTGCAGCACTTCCCATTGCAGCCGAGTGGGCTGGCGCATGCACTTGTTGCTGATTCAAAGTTCCGTGCGGACGGGCAGGGCTCGGCGGGAGGTTGGGCATGTCGAAATCGTCAAAATCGCAATCATCCGTCTCGAAATCGTCTGCAAAAAAATGGCAATGTCATTTCGAATACAGGTGAGATGCATAAACCCCCTTTCCCCATGCCTGTCGGCACTACACGAATTATTTTTCAGGTCGGGTTACCTTCTGGCACACACTCTCGCCCAGCTGTCATGCCCAAGGCAAACAAAGAATTCAAGCAATTCAGCAAAAAGTCAACAGAAGGGCTTCCACACCACGAGACACACACCAAACAGTCAAAAGTACGTACGCTGACTAGGCTGCGACTGCGAGGGCAAAGGTGGGCTGCGAGAATTCGTGTTTGACATGGAAACAATCGCAGGCTGCGTGACTGGTCGGACAACGCTGGCAGCAACGACGCTCGTTGTGCACGAAGGCACAGCTGCAGCAGCAGTGGTAGACTGATCACGGGTGGGGCTTTTTGGGGGCGATATGGGCTTGTGCCGAAGGTCTGCGCTGGAAGCAGGCGTGGTTGCATCCACCACTCGCGTGGCTTGTGCCGTGCCGTCTTCCATTCTCATTCGTGTCGCCGACGGCGTTGCCACGCCCTGTTGCAGAGAGGAAGACGCAAACGCGGATGGCTTGTGTGATGGAAGGGACGACGATGCAGATGCAGGGGGAGCCTGTGGAGCAGGCGGATTCTTTTGCGCTACATTCCCGGGGCGTCGCAGGTTGTTATAGTCCATTGACACCTGCACACGGTTGAGAAGAGATGATTGAATTCAGCGACGCAGGTTCAAAAAAGAAGACAATAAACCCCTGGTCCTGGCGACTTACACGCTCCTTGGCTTGCTTTTCGGCAAACCGCAAAAAGCCCTTGTCAGAGAGACACAGTCCAAGCACGTTTCCAAAAGACTTTGCAGTGCGCTTCAGGGAATCTGTGACGGCAGACTTGCGAGCCTGTTTGGAGCAGCGGGAGTTGAGCGATTCGAGGTGTTCAAGAGTTTGCACCACCACCACAAAATAAAACGCGCACCTTTTCGATGGCCGCTTTCTTTGTTGGCTGGTTTTCTGCAGTACCATAGCCAATGTCCTGATGGTTGTTGGGTCAATAAGGAGAGAGTGAGCATGAGAGATCCGGGCCAGAAAAAAAAAAAAAGGCTTCTGAAGCAAGTTGCGCAACTACCTGGCGATACGTCCCGTCTTTTAAGAAAATCGTGGCAATGGCGTACGTGCCAACATAGTAGTTTTTCTTTTCACCTGTCTTGAGCTCATCGCACTAGGCAAGCGCAATGGGGAGGGGGTGGTGGTGAAGCGTGAGCGAAACAGATTTTTTTTTCTGCGTTTGAAACGAATTTGGCTGTTTCACTTACATAGTCAATGCCCATCGACTCGATGCGATAAGCCCAGCCATTGAATCCAAAGATCTCGTTGAGGAGCTCTGTCATGCCACGCGCGCGCGCACATACACACGGAGCAAACAGGTCAGCACAAACGGACAGCATGAGATTCGAACAACTCCTCCACCACCAGCACCTCCGCCACCACCCTCTATCACCAACCATCTCATTCTCCGCCTCTCCAGCGCTTCCTTGCGACGGAATGCGAGCGCTCGCATTCGACCTGAATGACGTTGGTCGTTGTTTTTGGCGGGAAAAAGTGTTGTTTCAAAAAATTCGAAAAAGCGTTTCATTGCACGCAATTTCATCGTTCTCTTCCTCAAGTCTGCTGCTTAACTTGTCACACTCTGCCCGTCAATGTACGCAACTTGAACGGTGTTGGTCTGACTGCGGAACTGCACAAACTCGGGTCCGAGGTACTGCTCGAGCTGCAGGGCGATGCGCTCGCGCTCTTCGGTCGTGAACGGTGTTGATCCAAACAGTCCCTCGCCAGGGGTTGAGCTCATGCCGCTGTTGCCCATGCCCATGCCCATGCCCATGCCCATGCCCATGCCCATGCCTTGGCTCATGCCTTGGCTCATGCCTTGGCTGCACTGGAAGGGCATCGACATGGACAGCCCGCCACCAGTATTGCCTGCAAACTTCCATGCGGACGACGTCAGCACACTCGGTCCGTTCATGGCTGCTGGGAATACGCCCTGCTGTGGCTGCTGGCTGTGCTGCTGTTGCTGCATGTGCGGGTTTGGTGCAGGCTGGAACGGAAGGCTCGGCTGTTTGCTGGACGCAGTCGTCGACGCCATTTTCTGCATGCCAAAAAATAACTGAGAAACAAAAAAAGTTGACTGAAAGCTGTGGTCGTCCTTTGCACTTTCGAAAGCCAATCACCTGACACACAACACAACACAAGAGGATGGTTGGAAAGCAGAAAAAACAAACAATGGACTTTTATTGCAGGGTGAAAAGCAAACAACCAACTTGCGCTCAAGCTTGAGTTGGTGCATCAGGCCCACGATCAGAACGCGTGGAATACATGTGGCGATCCTCGTCGTTGCTCTGTCCCTTGTCAACATTGGGTTGGGCAGCGGGAGCAGCGGTGGCAGAGGTGGACGGTGCAGCAGCAGAAGGGGGAGCCTTGGAAACGACGACAGGCTTGGCAGCAGCCACCTCCTCTGTTGACTTGAAGGGCCAGGCAGCCTTGAGCTTGTCTGGCAAGGCCGAGGCGCTGGCTGACAGAGAGGACGCGCTGGTTGAAAGAGAAGCGGCAGAAGACGAGAGCGAGGAGCCGGCGTTCTTGACCGACGCCACGGCCGACGACACGCTCTGCGAAACGCTGCGGGGCGCTGTCTTTAGCGGCGAGTCTTCAGGGACGAGCTTCCACAAGGCCGAAAACGGCTGGAGATTGGGCAGCTGGTTGTTATGTGTGGCGAGGTACGCCGTGTAAACCGAGAGACCATACGCAGACAAGGCTCCCATCAGCGCGGGGGAGGCGTACCGCAAAAAGCGCCCGCCTTCGCACGAGTCAAAGCAATGACAAGAAGCGAAAATGAATGGTCAGTGCACCAAAGCAGATTTTCGCAAAGTCTTTTGGAAAACTACGTACGGTTTCGAGCTGCCATTGACCCAGCAGCGGCCATGCCGGAAATGAGCACAATTCGTGGCACCAGCTCTTGTGTCGGAGGGACGTGTGTGATGGCGTCTGGAGGAAAGGGGAAGGGAAACGCAGAGATCGATCATGGTTGAGCATTCAATGTTCAAACAAATGTGCGATCGTAGAACGACATCAAAGTGTCCCTACCGTTCGCGACAACGCTTGCGCCGATGATGGCATTGACAGAATTCTCTCCAGCAATCTACAAGATTGGACATTCAAAGATGAAGGCGCTGTGCATGTTGGGCATTGATTGTGCACTCATCCGATCTCGCTCCCCTCACCACCACACCAGACCCCCGCCAGAACTATTTCTTACGTTGATGCCATCAAGGATGCTTGCAGTGAACTCGCGGACGGCGCGGACGTGGCGCTCGAGCATGGACGGCTCGGCCTCGACGAGCACTGTTTTCACTTGCTCGGGTTCATCGTAGATGCTCAGCTGTCAAATCGTCAAGCCAAAGTCAATCAAACAGCGAACAAGGCTGACAGACAAGTTGCCCAAAAGAAACGCGCATTGGATGGATTGGATTGAATGGAGAAAGGGAATGGGGCGTCGAAACGCAACGGAAACTCAGTCAAAGGCACCAGGGCGCCCCTTAGGAACAGAGCAACACATCAGTGGGCAGCATCAAACCTTGGTCGCAGCGTGGACGCGCGGTTGGCGGCTGTGGACGAGCGCAGCGGCAGCTGAGAGCGATGCGGCAGTCGCGAGAATTATTGGCTGAGAAGCCATTGCAATTGAAAAAAAAAAAAAAAAAGGATTGAGACTTTGCCGCTCAGACTATCGAAGCTTGGAAATTTTTTAGGGCAAATTAAACAAATGAAGCTGGCTGAAAAGCAAATGGATAAATATTAGATCAACGGGATTCAAGGCTGCTCGACTTTGGAAGGATCGCTGCTGCTTGGAGGGCCGGTGAGGGTGGTTGGGACCGCGGACTCGACATGCTGAGAGAAAAGCCCTCGGTGGACAGCCTCCATGTGATTTGGATTGCGGTAGAGAGCGTGGGAGGCTTGATTGGCAGAGTAATGGAACGGTCCGGTGATCGCAAGCGACTGGCTGTGCGAGATTGTCGTCCAGCCACGCCGCAAAAAGGGTTGTGCTCGCCACGATCTGTGCCACAAAAGGTTGCAGCAACCCCCCCCCCCAAAGTGGATGTAGTCGAGTGAATGGTCAGTTCTTTGTCAACTTTCACAAATCACCAATTTTTGGTTGTCGTACAGCTCCAACAATTTACCAGGCCCAATGCTCCCGTCAGGCAGCGCAGTTGCGTTTGCATTCGGAAGGAGTGTCTCAATTGTTGAATAGATGGGTTGCGGCTTCTCTTCTGGAATGGCAACTGGTCACGGACATGATTGTGAGCCTTTTTGTCCTTGTCCATGAGCATGCCGCTCTCTCATCAACATAAACAACAGCTGCCTACCTTGTTTAGCTCCGATATCAAACTGAATAAAGTCCAGAACCACATCGGGGTTGCGTTGATGGCGCAATTCCACAGAGCCGTCCTACAACCATGGCAGTCAGCAAGCAAAACCACGAAAGATCACCAAGATCCATTTGCTCGCCAAAGGCCGTGACAAGCGACTGACATTGCGAAAGATGAGCAGCAACAGCTTGGACTTGCGGAAAAAGCGGCTGTCTTCGCGAGAAACCTTGTTGTTAATGTTGTGGCGAACCCAGCAAATGTTTTCGACATAGTGAAAGCCCCACGCTTGTGCGACCTCTAAAAGATCAGGAATCCATTCCTTCTCGGCCCACATGAAGATGAATCCTCTTGGGATGAGTGCTGGGGAGATACCCGCAGCTTTCTGCCAGTGCCCAGCCAAAGCCAAAAGGCAAGTGAGGTTGGAAGAAACAATGCCTGCCCAGCCCCCCCCCCTCACTTTGTGAGGCGTCATGACATTCTGTGCTTTTACCAATTCATCGACTGTAACCATTCCGGGAGTCGCAGGTTCGCCCGATCTCGCCAAAGGCGCATCAATCAAAATGCCCTCGAACGTCTGACCAGTCAGCTCTGCGAGATTCGACCGCAGAATGTCTGCAACAAGCCAGCTGGAGTACATCAACGAGCACACCACATCAAATGAGCGACTTCTCGAATAGAAGGAGAAGAAGAAGAAAAAAAAAAGCCCCGAAACCAACGCGAGAAAAATCCTGTTGGAAGGCATGTTTTACCGTGCTCCAGGTGCCTGTTCTCGAAAAGTACCAATCTCTAATACCCATGGTGGTAATGGACCAGGAGTAAGACGCATGTACACAGGTAGAGTGGGATCTGTGGATCTGCAAATGTCGACCGCAACAACAAGTGAAACATCCAACTCGTGTTGCTCGACTGATATCCTCGCTGCCGGTGACTTACTTGGATTTGCGCTTCAAGGACATTCTGTTTCCAGACGTGTCTTGGTAGTCCTTGTACTTGTCCAACAGTGTCCGGCGATCAATCTTTTTCGGCCCGGCGGTCGCGGTGTGCTTTTCAATTTTGGGCGTCCGGACGACGGGCACGGCAGACGCGGTGCTAAGATTTGTGGCGGTATGCAAGGGAGCCAAATGTGTTGCTGAGCCAGAGGCCCTCGCCTGCTGGTCAACAGATCCGTGCTTGATCATTTTCAGATTTCGTTTCTGACCAACTGCTTGCGGGGAGGGAGAGGACCCGGATCCCCACTTCACACGTCTCCGTGGAGTCTCAGCATCGTCGTTACTGCTGTCCGATTCGCGGCCGGGTGTTTCGTCAGAGACGCTCGGCGAGGTAGATCTGCGGGTTTGTGGAACAGCATTGAGAAATTTGAAGCAAAATCGTCGCCAGGCAGCAAACAGATCTGCTCCGTGGCCCCCCTCCCTCCATCCTGGTCGCAATCAACACACATGCATCCTTACTCTCCAAGATCATTGGCAGGAAAGGACTGGCCGGGCTGAGTGTCCGTTTGATGCACGAGTCGGCCGAGCTGATCCAGCATGTCTTCCTCCATCTCGTCCGAATCTCGATCGTCATGCCATTTGCGAGATGCTCGTTTGCTTGTTGTTTGCGGGCGTTTGTGGCGCTTGGCCAGGAAGGACGTTCGCCGAAACACCTCGAGCAGTTGTTCCTCTGTTAGACCGTTCGACTCTGCTTCATCCAGCGCAAGCGACCCACCAGCATGATGGGCAGCAGCAACGTGGCTATTCTCAGGCTGCATTGATTCGGCGGGCGGCACAGGACCAACCGGAGCATCACCCGCGAGTGTTTTGGCGGGAAGATTTGGCGCAATCAGTCTGACGGCACTGCTCGCTCAGGGAGGGCACTGGCATCACACAAGGAGCAGCAGACGACGTCGCAAGGCCCTGCTCAGTCACTGGGACTGCAGCATCGGCCACGGCGACCACGGTGCCTGAGAGCGCAGTCGACGACGACGGAGTGCACTTGTCCTGCTGGCGTTTGGCTTTGCGCTCAATCTTCTCCAGCTCTGAAAACTTTCGCATGATGGAGTCGACGCTTTCATCGTCTTCGACATAGCCAACGTAGAGCGACGCACTGGATGGATTTGCGCAACAAGCAACAAGCGACAAGCAACAAAGTCAGTCAGGGATCGCTTTCCCGCCAAAATTCACAGCGCAGGAGACTCGAGGTCTCAGTCCCATGTCCATTGTCATCCACAGACAAGAACAACCCCCCGCATTGCATTCAGATCCATCCATTCATAGCAAGACAGTTGACAGTGAGGGTTAAGGGCAGGCAGGAGGGAGAGAGAGCGAGCGAAGTCTGTACTTTGGCTTTGGAGCTTGCGCCAGGCGTTGTGGCCGCCGCACTGGTCGCCGCGTGTCTTCGGCCATGTCTATTTGGGTTTTGCGTTGCCTTGTTATGTTTTTTGTTTTTGTCTTGCTTTGGTATGTGGTCGACGACGAATGGACAAAATCTAAAAAAAATCTTCACAAAGTTGACTGAGCCAAAAACAAGCCATTGATAGTTCAATCATCCCCTCACTCGCTGAGGTTTGTGCAGCACTCATGAACATCTCCATCCATTTACAGCACCTTCAAACCCCCATCCATCCATCCGCAGAGCCCGAGTACTTTGTGATTGAAATCCCCTTCCCTCTTCTCTGTTCCTCCCGACTCGATCCACTACAACAACACCTATGAATAACCAAAGTCAAAAACAAACGCTAGTCCTCCTTTCCACTTTTCCCTCCTCTTCCATCACCAACAAATGCGCGCATTCGCTCTGCTGCTGTTGGCTGCCGTGCTTGTCGCATCAACAACGGTCGCTGCTGCGTCTGCATCAGAGCCGTCGCTGCGCATCAAGACGGCCGCCCGCCAGATCGACCTCAGCACCCACCTCACCCGCATCACCCTCGATCTGACTGTTGAGAACACTGGCTCTGCCGCTGCAAGCTCGCTGCTCGTTGCGCTCGAGGGCGATCGCGACCCGTCGCTCGTCTCTGCCATTGCTGCGCCGTCCCCAAAGACCCAGCTCGCCGTCGCACGCGAGCCCGCAGCGTACGGGTCTTGTTTCCACACACCCCACTCCAGTTCACTCCACTCGTCCCCCCCCCCCTCCCCTCCCTTCTGCAGCATCCGTTCGGGGTTTGCGAGACGGAACGCAGATTGATTTTCCAACGATCGCGCTTTTTTTTTTTTTTTTTTTTTCCCCCATTCTATGGCAGTGCGATCGTCCATTGCATCAGCTTTCGAAAAGGTCAAAAAGGAAGGAGCAAAACAGTGCGTTGTGTGACTTGGAACGCTGAACGCGCAGGTCGTTGTCGTCGAAAAACCAGACTTTGATGCTCAACCCAATGCAAAAGCTATCAAATCCTTGTTATTTTTTATTTTTTATTTTTTATTTTTTATTTTTCGATTTTTTTACTTATAATTCTGAATCTTTTGCTGCTGCAGTGACGCCCGGCTGTTCCGCATCACGCTCGAGTCGCCGCTCGCCGCTGGCAAGTCGATCGAAGTGACCGTCCGATTTGTGGTTGCTGGCGCCCAGACTGCCCACCCGCGCGAGATCACCCAGCAGGAAGTCCAGCGCGCCCGCTTTGTCGGCCGCCTGCACGTTCCCAGCCCGTACCAGGTCGCTGAGCAGACCACGACTGTCACGCTGCCGTCGAACAATGTCGTGCAGTACACTCGCACCAAGCCCGTCTCGGCGTCCGGCTCCACGATCAAGTACGGCCCGTACCACGACGTTGCGCCCTTCAGCGTTGCCCCGCTCTCGGTGCACTTTGAGGCGGCCACCCCTTTCCTGACTACCCGCTCCGTCAAGCGCTTGATTGAGGTCTCGCACTGGGGCAACATTGCCGTCGAGGACGTCATCCACCTCCAGAACACTGGCGCACAGCACAAGGGCGAGTTTTCGCGCTACGACTACCAGCGCGGCCAACCCGCCGGCCACATTGTCCGCAGCTTTGCCTCGCACCTCCCGCTCTCTGCGCGCGACATTTACTACCGCGACGTTATCGGCAACATCTCGACCTCGCACGTCCGCGAGGGCGACTCTGAGGTCTTGGTCGAAGTCACCCCGCGCTTCCCGCTGCTCGGCGGCTGGCAGACCGTCTACACGCTCGGCTACAACCTGCCGACCGCACCCTTCCTTTACACTGGCTCGAGCGGCTTCAAGCTGACCATCCCGTTCCTCGACCAGATCCACGACACGCTTGTTGTGGAGGATGCTGAGGTTCGCGTCGTTCTCCCCGAGGGAGCCGCAAACATCCAGGTGCACACTCCCTTCGAGGTCGAGCAGTCGCGCGATGTTCACTTTACCTACCTCGACACCACCGGCCGCCCCGTTGTCGTCCTCAAGAAGCAAAATCTCGTTCGCGAGCACCTCGAGCAATTCACAGTCACGTACACCTTCTCCACCACCTCAATGCTCCAGGAGCCATTGCTGGTTGTTGGCTTTTTCTTTGCGCTCTTCTCGACCATTCTTGTGCTCAACCGCATTGACTATTCCATCTCAGCGCCCAAGACCAAGAAGGATTAAGAGTTTTTAATACTTTTTCAAAACAAAACGCAATCTGGGTTTCTTTTCGATTGCTACTTCCTTTTGGATTTGAGTCCTTTTTTTTTCTTCATATTTAGTGTGCGTTTGTGTGTTGTTATGTGCGTGTGTGTCGTGCTTTGGAGACTTTTTGTTCTTTTTGAGATCATAAAAATCGCTCAAGTATAATGCAAATCCATTCTTTTTTTTTTTTTTTCAATTTTTTTGATCCTCATACAAAAACGATGATGGACACTTCTGCTGACGCTTCTGCCACTGCCGCTGCCGCCGCCGGCTCCGCATCGTCTGCGTTCGGTGCGTCTGGTGCAGCTGGCAGTGCCGCCAGCAGCTCCGCAATGAAGATTGAGCGCGCGACGACCAAGACCAAGCGCGTGGCTGCCCATAGCCATGTGAAGGGCCTCGGCCTCGACGACAACGGCGACGCCCAGCCAATCTCAGCAGGCCTTGTTGGCCAGACTGAAGCTCGCGAGGTGTGTGCTCTGCGAAGCCGGGTCGTTGCGATGCTGCGACTGCAGGAAGTGGGAGCGAATGCTCTGTGATAATGCAGAGATCGCACAATGGACTTTGCGCTCACTTTTGTGCTCCGGCTGTCATTCGTCCACACATACAAACACACTTAGGCATGCGGCGTCATTGTCGAACTCATTCGCAGCAAGAAGATGGCTGGACGCGCGGCGCTTCTCGCTGGTCCTCCTGGCACTGGCAAAGTGAGTTTCCAATCAAAAGTTGCTCCCTGACTGCGACAGCAGCGAGATCATCATCAAACAAGTGGAGTTTCGTCATGATTGAAGTCTCGTCATCGAGAGAAGTGCTGGGGTGGATGAGAAAGGGGTGTTCCTTGTCGAGATTGCTTCGTATTGACATGCAGCTGCTACGCTCTTCTCACGATGTGCTTGCCCCTTGCACAGACCGCGCTTGCACTTGCTGTCGCCCAGGAGCTTGGTCCCAAGGTGCCATTCTGCCCCATGGTCGGTAGCGAGGTCTACTCATCTGAGGTTAAAAAGACGGCCGTGTTGATGGAGCATTTCCGTCGTGCTATTGGTATGTTTGTCAGCCTCTTTTCGTCTGGCTCAAGTTGGATCTAGTGATTGAATGCAGCAACGGTGGATCGAAGGCTTTTGCCAAGCTCTACTAACGACTTTTTCTGTTTTTTCTGTTTTTTTTTTTGTTTTTTTTCCGCACCTCTCTCCCAGGCCTCCGAATCAAGGAAACCAAAGAAGTCTTTGAGGGCGAAGTCACAGAGCTCAATCCCGAAGAGACTGACAACCCGCTTGGCGGCTACGGCAAGACTCTCGCATCCGTTGTTGTGGGACTGAAGACCACCAAGGGCACCAAGCAACTTCGTCTCGATCCCTCCATCTACGAAACCATTCAAAAGGAGAAGGTCTCTGTTGGCGACGTTATCTACATTGAAGCCAACAGCGGTGCAGTAAAGGTGCGTTTCCATTTCTGATAAAGTTGTCCTGCGCTGACACTCACCTGATGATGCTTGCGACAGCGCCAAGGCCGTTGCGACGCGTACGCCACGGAAGCCGATTTGGAGGCCGAGGAATACGTCCCGCTGCCGAAGGGCGATGTGCACAAAAAGAAGGAGGTCATTCAAGATGTTACGCTCCACGATTTGGATGTTGCCAACGCTCGGCCTCAGGTAAATTCCGACGGGCGGCGCTTGAGTTGGTGTTTGAGCGCGATTGGTCCCCGATTTTGTCTTGTACACTTCCAAATCTGACTTGCGTTTTGATTCGTTTTGTTTTGTAGGGCGGCCAAGACATCATGTCCATGATGGGTCAGCTCGTCAAGCCCCGCAAGACAGAAATCACGGACAAGTTGCGACGAGAAATTAACAAGGTGGTGAACAAGTACATTGAGGACGGCGTGGCCGAGCTCGTTCCCGGTGTGCTTTTCATTGACGAAGTGCACATGCTGGATCTCGAGTGCTTTACCTATCTTCACCGTGCTCTCGAGTCGACGCTTGCGCCAATTGTCATTTTCGCCACCAACCGCGGCGCCTGCGAAGTCCGGTGAGCGTTGTTCATTGATCGGTTTCCTTCGATTTGATTCGATTTTTTTGTGTCTTTTGCTTACCCACAAATCCGTCTGCTGTTGCTTTTCGTTTGGCCATCCCACACAGCGGCACCGACGGAATCATTTCACCACACGGCATCCCCCTCGATTTGCTTGATCGTCTGCTGATTGTGCGGACAATGACCTACTCGGTTCAGGAGATTGTGCAAATCATTGCCATCCGAGCCCACACCGAGGCTATTGCCATCGAGGAAGAAGCTATTGCTTTCCTCGGCGAGGTTGGTGATGCTACGACACTAAGGTGAGTGGCGCTCTCTCTCTCTCTCTCCCGTTCTCTCTCGTCATTCTAGTTCTAGCATTAGCACGATGCTCACGATTCTGTGTGTCTTTTTTTGTCCGGTTGACATAGATATGCTGTTCAACTCCTTTCGCCCGCATCGCTGCTCGCTCGCACAAACGGCCGCGAGCGCGTCAGCAAGGCGGATATTGTCGAGTTGTCGCAGTTGTTCTTTGATGCCAAGACGTCAGCCAAGCATTTGGCAGAGAACGACGAAAAGTACTTGCATTAAAAACAACAGCCCCCACCGTTTTGATCGCACTTTAGTTGTTAATGCGGCAGATCGGTTCTGTTGTTTCGGGTTGCTTGTTCTTTTTGATTTTCGTCATTGTGTCATCTGTTGTGATTCCCAATATATTCAAACCTTTTCGTTATGACGTACTATTGGGGTTTGTTGGCGCAACACAAATCAAAGCGATATTGATGTAAATTCATTTATACAGTATCGTGGTGAATTTAAACACTCTGAACACGTCACACTGAAAAAGAACGCGACACAGGTTTTAAACACGGTACTTCATGACGCAGCGGTAGCGGGCCTTGTTCTCGCGGACGCGAGTGAGGGCTGCGTTGACCTTATCGGCGTCTGCGCCGTGGCCGACCTCGACCTCCTCAATCATGGGGCGAACGCCGTGCAGTGCGGAGAAGGCGAGCATCTCCTTGATGGCCTTGGTGCCGCCGACGAGGCTGCCAACAATGGTCTTGCTGCCGCCGATGAGGTACATGGGAGAGACCTGGATCTTGGCCTCGGGGAGGCCGCAGACCACAAACTTGCCTTCGGGGGCAACCAAGCCCATGTAAGCGTTCCAGTCAATGTTGCCGGACGCAGTGTAGATGATGAGGGGGAAGGCGTTGCCGTGGGCCTTCATTTGAGCGGCATCGCTCGAGTTGAGGAAGGCGTGCGCGCCGAGCGAGCGAGCCTCAGCCTCCTTCGAGGGGGAGGTGGAGATGGCAGTGACGTGGTAGCCCATCTTGTTGGCAAACTGGAGAGCAAGGTGGCCGAGACCACCAATGCCGACAATGCCGACGCGCGAGCCTGGGGGCAGCAGGTGGGTGGCGAGCGGGGTGAAGACGGTCACGCCGGCGCACATGAGGGGCGCAACATGGGCCGAGGGGATCTCGTCCGGGATGGCAAAGCAGAAGCGCGAGTCGGCGCGAATGTGGGCGGCATAGCCACCGTGGTTGGGGTCGTACAGGCCACCGAACTTGGTGCAGTTGTGCTCATGGCCCTTGGCGCACAAGGCGCACTCATGGCAAGACGAGCCCTGTGCGCCAAAGCCGACGCGCTGGCCGACCTTGAAGCCAGTGACGGCGGATCCCAGCGCGGAAACGGTGCCAATGACTTCGTGGCCAGGAACCAAGGGGAAGGTGGTTGGGGAGCCGCCAGTGTCGCCTCGCCATTCATCGCCCATCATGTGGATGTCTGTTGTTGAAAAGGGGACAACGGTGAGTGTTTTTTTTTTTTGCAGCGAGTCACCCAAGACCTCCCCGACAAGTCACATGTAATCATCCAGTACTTTCAGTAAAACTGCAAAGTACATGCGAGCTTTGCTCAAGTTGAGCTCGCGATGCTGTTTCTGAGAAGCAGGTATCTCGGCTGACACACAAACCAGTGGCTGTTTTTTTCAATCTTTTAATTCGCACTCATCCGCCCGTGCTTCCCCCCCCCTACAAAAGTGCTGCATCCCAGAATACACACTGTCACGTTTTTTTTGTGTCTTGCACTCACCATCGCACTCTGCATCCATACTGCGCAGTGAATCAGCCACGCTGGTTGTTTTTTTGGTTTTTCTCCGTGCCCTGCATCTCGCTCTCTGTCTCTGTCTCTCTCTCTCTCTCTCACTCTCTCTTTCTCCTGCCGTTGTTCCAGCGTTGCTCGTCTCTTCGATCTTCGCTGTCCGTCGTCACTGTCGATCGCGTTCTTGACGTGCGATTTTTCTCCACCACAGTTTTCAGTGCAATGCATTGCAGTGTGGGCTTTCAGCAATTTCTCCACTTTCGACCTGCCGAACCCCCCTCCTGCCGAACGTCAATCCCCACCACCACACAACGGCGTCAGAGTGTAAGAGCATTGGTGAGATGCGATTTTGAGTGCGCGGATGTTGCTTACCAGAGTGGCAGATGCCGCTGTTGGAGAAACGAACGAAGAGAGCCACGCGATAGATCAAAAATGGGCGACCCACAGACACACACACACACAAGCGAGACCAACAGAGACCAACAGATCAAACAGTTAGTCAAAGCACATCTCACACAAGCAACTTCAATGGGGGTGGGGGGGGGGTTGATTTTGTTACCAGTGGGTCACGTCGACGGCAATCATGTGCGGGGTCAGCTCGGGCGCAGGGAACTCCCAGTGCGACACGGTTTGGCCCGCTTGGAGCGCAGCGAACGCCTTGACTGTCTTGGATGCTTGAGCCATTTTGTGCTGGGTGTGATGAAGTTGTGAGGTTTTGAGATTGAGGATTTTGTCTCAAAAATAATGAAGACTGGTTGTTCAGCCACGGAGGATTCGAGTGGCCTTTTTATAATCCTCCGTTCGTGAGCTTTGTTATTATATAATCACTTATTTGGTGCGGAAATTGTGCGGAACAATTAACAATGCAATGTCGAAGTGAGGAAGAAAAAAACCAAAAGAGAGGAAATCCACGAGGAAGAGGTGGTCACCGCTGGCTCAGGGAACAAAATGCTCCGTCTGATTTTTGAATGATGAGAGGACGAGACGAAAACGGCGGATGGTAGAAAGGGGAAGGGGAAGCGAGGAAACGGAAACACAGGGAATAAAACAAAAACCGCGTGGTCACACGAGGACGATGGCATTGCGTGGGAAATAATAGTGCTTGGTGGGTTTGAATATGGAACGCAATCCACGCGGTGGTGGAATAAAGAAAAAAAATGTTAGGTGGGTTTGACGAGGAAGCGTTGGTATGCGATGGGCGAAACGATGGCTGCATCACCGTTTTCGTGCTTTGATCTTCTTCGCCAGATTTGTCAGCATATCCGTAAATGTCAACAAAACATAAAATCCAGAAAAACAAGAAGAAAAAAATGCATCGTATTTTGACAGATCTTCAATCCTCCACAACACATACCAGAATCAAGTATTCGGCAGCTTTTTTCTTCTTTCTGCTGTTAGGCGTTAATCGGCTTGCCATTCCATGCAGTCAGGGCAGCCTCCTTGAAGGCCTCGGAAAGCGTGGGGTGTGCGTGGCAAACGCGAGCAACATCCTCGCACGAAGCCTTGTACTCGAGGGCGAGAACAGCCTCGGCAATCATCTCACCAGCACCCTGTCAGTAGTCAAATACACGAGTTAGCGTCCTCTCTTCTCTTGTTCTCTTCTTCTCTTCTTCTTCGTCTGCTTCAACACGCCACACTACGCAACAATGCATCTTACAGGGCCAATGATGTGCGCGCCGAGAATCTGGTCAGTCTTCTTGTCACCGAGAACCTTGACAAAGCCGTCAGTGTCGTTGTTGGTCTTGGCACGGGAGTTGGCGACGAAGGGGAACTTGCCAATCGTGTACTCGACACCATCGGCCTTGAGCTGCTCCTCGGTCTTGCCAACCCAAGCGACCTCCGGGTGGGTGTAGATGACAGAGGGGACGTTGTTGTAGTCAATGTGGGGGTGGCCGCCGCACATGCCCTCGACGGCAAGAATGCCCTCGTCCTCGGCCTTGTGCGCAAGCATGGGGCCCTGGATGACGTCGCCGATGGCGTAGATGGAGGGAACGTTGGTGGTGAACATGTTGTTCACCTCAACGCGGCCGCGGTTGTCGACCTTGACGCCCGCCTCCTTGAGGCCGAGGTTGTTCGTGTAGGGACGGCGACCAATGGCGACGAGGAGAACGTCGGCATCGAGCGTCTCCTTGACGCTGCCGTCAGCGGACTCGACGTTGACCTTGACGGAGCCGTTGGCCTGCTTGGTGGCGCCGGTGACCTTGGTGTTAAGCTTAAAGTTGAGTCCTTGCTTGGTGAGGACGCGCTGGAAGTTCTTGGCAACCTCGCCGTCAATGCCGGCACCGCCAATGCCGCCGAGGAACTCGACAACAGTGACCTCAGCGCCGAGACGGGACCAGACCGAGCCGAGCTCGAGGCCGATAACACCGCCGCCAATAACAATCATCTTCTTGGGCACAGCCTTCAGCGCAAGGGCGCCGGTCGACGACACGATGGTCTGCTCGTCAATGGCGATGCCAGGGAACGGGGTGACCTCCGAGCCGGTGGCAATCAGAATGCGCTTGGCCTTGAGCACCTGCGAGCCGCCGCCGAGCAGGTCGACAGTGACCTCCTGGGCGCCGGTAATCTTGCCGTGGCCCTTGACGTAGTCGACCTTGTTCTTCTTGAGCAGCATCTCAACGCCGCCCGTCAAGCCGGTGACGGCCTTGTCCTTGGCGGCCATGAGCTTGGGCAAGTCGAGCTTGACGTTCTCGACTAAATGGAGATTGCGTGTGTGAGAGAGGGGGGGGAGGAAAGAAAGGGAAGGGTTGGGGAAAAGGGACACAAATCAAAACCAAATCAAAGTCACGAGCAAAAAAACGCGCCGACTACGTACCAACAATGCCTCGGTTGGCAAAGTCGTGCTGGGCCATGTGGTAGTAGTGCGAGTTGTTGAGCAGGGCCTTGGACGGGATGCAGCCAACGTTCAAGCAGGTGCCGCCAAGTGCGCCACGCTTCTCAACGCAAGCAGTCTGGTTTGTTTAGCAAGACGAAGGAAGGGAGCGGGTGTTGTGATTTACGTTGAGTACTGGGGTGCGATGACGCCATGTCGTGCGTGTGTGACGAACGACGACGAATTGACTGCAAAACTGCAAAGCTCACCTTCAGGCCGAGCTGGCCAGCCTTGATGGCAGCGACGTAGCCACCGGGGCCACCGCCGATAACAACAAGATCGAGCTCTGTGGTGCATATGCAAAGTCACATCGATGAGCACCCCACATCTTGTTGATCTTCCCCAGCATGTGAGTGTGTGGGAATCGCATGGGTAACTGCCGCTGTTTTTCACATCAAACCCCCAACTCCCCCGCGGCCTCAGAAGTATCAAAACCAGAACAAGTCTTTCTTCTTGAGACGGTGGGAATGACTGATCGCTGGGTCTCCAAATCCAAGTGCAACAATCCAAGTGCAACAATCCAATGCAAATCCAATGCAAGTCAAAGCGTGACTTTCGAGATCGTTCAATATAAAAAAGCACATTGAACGAGCGCACTTTCGCTTTGTGTTTTGACTGCGCAAAAGACTGACGCAGCGAGCTTGATTGCACAGAGACTTCATTGGACTTTGGACTGGAGAAGTGCGTGACTACCTTTGGCAGCGGCGGCAGTGGACGCGCTGCGGCGAGCGAGCGCAAGACGCGACGACGCGGACGAGACAGCGGGGACGCTTCGGACCTGGCCGCCAAAATGGACAGACAAGCAGTGAGTCTGATGATGGGATGATGAATCGAGAATCGACAGGGGGGTTGGGGGGCGTTCGCAGTGTGGTCCAGAGTGGAGTGTGGCCGCTTTCCGAGTGGAGTGTGGCCATCCGGACTTGCTACTCAGAGACCCCCACTTCAACCCCATCAAGGTCACTTGGAACACTCAAGCATTCAAATAAAACCCAAACACTCTGAAAGAAATAAAAGTAACGCATTGGTTGCAGAGAAGTGGCGGCTTACAATCGATTGAAGCATTATTTGTGGACTGTTCTTTTGTGAAACAAAAAAAAGATGGACTGACTGACTGAGACGCAAGATAAGGAATAGAAATCCAATGCATGATAAACATGTCTGGAGATATGGACAGACAACAGGCGGGGAGGCGGGGGAGAGAAGGAAAATCCCCTCGAAATGCCTCAGTAGTGGATCAGACCGTGGACGGGCGAGGGAACGTTCTTGCGGCCTTGCAGATCGTCCAACTCGATGACAACAAGCGACTCGAGGACGAGACCACCGAGGCGGGTGACCAATTCGCATGCAGCCTTGAGCGTGCCGCCGGTAGCGAGCAGATCGTCCACAATCACGACATTCTGGCCAGGCTTGATGCCGTAGGATGGGATTTGGAACGTGTCCTATTGTCGATCATGTTTGCACAAATGAGTTCAAGGTGTTCAGCCAGCAGCAGTGATTGCACAGTAGCCGAGCTCAAAAAGCCAGTTGAACCAATTCTCAGATTTTTCGCTTGTCGGCACCGAATCAGGCTGTCCTTCCTTACCGAGCCATATTCCTTCTTGTACGAAATGCTCTCTGTCAGACCTGGCAGCTTGCCGCTCTTGCGAACGGGCACAAATGCCGCGCCTAGTCGCATCGCGAGCACGGGTCCGAACAGAAATCCCCCCCCCCATGCCGCCCCATGCCGCCCCAAGCAAAACACACAACCAAAAGCAAGGCATCCGACCAACAAGCAACGCAGCGTTGACAATCGAATGAGACGAAAAAACGCGCGAGTGAACCAAACCCAACACAGTGCAGCGTTTTGTGTGTAACGCACCGACCACGACGTCGACTTGAGAGAACTTGTTGGCGAGATAGTTGGTCATGACGTTCAAGAGGCCCTCGGTCGCGACGGGGTCTTGGAAGATGGGGAAAATGTCACTGTGGTCGAATAGCAGCAGCAGATTTGAGAATGACGCGCACGCACATCGCATCATCCAGCAGAAAGTGATGAAGCATGCATCAACACAAAAGACAGACAAAAAGCACACCGGAAGAGAATGCCGGGCAGCGGAAAGTCGGGGTGCGCCGTGATGAGCGACTTGACGCGATCGAGCTCAGCGGAGGAAGAGGACGATGTGGATGACATTCTGCGTCTGTGTACTTCAGTGCAGCAACAACAAGACAAATAAAAAATGGACTGCAATGAATGGACAGAACAAACAAGGCGTATCAAAATAAATGCTTGTTATTTGTTGGATTCAGTTGCGGATATTACAAAAAAGTGAAAGCGGGGCAAAGAATAAAAGGCTCACCGCATCACAACAAAAGATGATGAAGGGACAAGGAGAGCCTACTAATCAAAACGACACACACACACACAACCGGGAAGGGAGGAAAGCGAGCTTTCTGAACGGAAAGAGCGCGCCTACGTGTTTAGAAAAGGTTGCCCATGGAGATCTGCTCCTTGGCCATGATCTCATAGTACTGGTAGATGGTGGTGACGGCCATGAGAATACCAGTGCCCGAGCCGATAGCGCCAAAGAAATCAGCAGTGATGGAGAGCGCGCCAATGCACAGGCCACCGAATGCAGCGGCGGTGGGAATGTAGCGGTTGAGCTGGCGAGCAGTGCTCTCCTGGGTGTCCTTGTGGCCCTTGACGAACATTTGCTGCTCGCGGAGCTGGCGGGCAACGTCCTGGCTGCTGGCGCCAGAGAGGTCAATCCAGAGAAGCGAGAAGAGGGCGCAGGTGCCGAGGATGAAGGCAATGTAAATCATGCCGTGGAGGGGGTCGGCAACAACACCAGTGAGGCCGTTCGGGGGGCTGAGGTAGTAGCAGAGGCCACCGACGGGGTACGAGCGGTTGGAGCCCTGGTAGGCAACATTCTCCCACGAGCCGAGCAGACCAATAATCCAGCCGAGGCCAGTGTGGGACAGCTTGAACCAGAGGAGCTGCGAAATGATGAAGAGGTTTTGGACGAGGGCAGACTGGAGGATGATGGGCATGTTGGAAGTGTAGAAGAGCTTGATCGAGTACGTCTGAACAACACCGGGGGCGTTGCGGGAAACGACGGGCACGTCCACGCGGAAGCCCTGGAAGTAGATGACGATGAGGAAGACGGCGACGGTGGCAAAAAGGTTGGTGAGGTTGGGCAGGTTTTGGCGGAAGAAGGCCTCGCGGAGCGCCTTGAACTTGTCGCTGCGGGTGGCGAGGAGGTGGAAGAAGCCAATGACAGCGCCCTCAAACTCGGTGCCACGGCCAGTGTTGACGGTGGTGGGGCTGAACGAGCGCCAGATGATGGACTCGCACACGTTGGTGGCAATGAAGAGGGAGATGCCAGAGCCAAGACCGTAGCCCTTCTGGAGGAGCTCGTCGAGGAGCATGACAATCAGGCCGGCAATGAGGAGCTGGAGGACGAGCATGAAGCAGACAAAGAAGCCGAGCTCGCCGACGGGGCCGTAGAGGCCGGTGGCAACGTAGATGATGGCCTGGCCGACGGTGATGATGAGACCGAAAAGACGCTGGGCGCCAGAGAAGAGCGCGCGCTCGTCGGCGTTGGACTGGTCGACCTCGAGGAGCTTGGCGCCAGCGAGGAGCTGCATGATCATGCCAGAGGTGACGATGGGCGAGATGCCGAGTTCCATCAGGGTGCCGCGGTTGGACGCGAGAATGGCGCGCATCCAGAAGAAGGGATCAGCAGAGTCAGACGACATGATGCCGTACAGCGGGACTTGGCAGCAGACGAGGAAGATGACGAGGGTGATGACCGTGTAGATGGCGCGTTCCTTGAACGGGACCTGTCGGAAGGGGCAAAGAGGGGAGAAGAAGAAGAAGAAGGGGCAAAGAGTGAGTTGAAACGGAAGGAACAAGGCAAGAGAGAGGCGAATCGCAGCCAATAGACATCAGACATGGCAAACTGGAATGCGTTCAAAGTCGAAATGCAAAGCGTTCAACGCAACACTCGCGAATCAAAGCATAATAAAGAAAGAAAAGAAAGAAAAAAAAAAAAAAAAAAAAAAAAAGAGCGATCGCTTCATTCAATGCAAAGTCCATCACAGTTGGAACGATCGAAAGCGAGCAAAACGACCAAACGGACAAACAACCGCTCAAACACACACAACTGCAAAGATCAACAACAAAAATGGAGCTGATGCATTGGAAGAACTGGGTTTGCTCACCTTCTTGACGGGCGCCTCGATCTCGGGAATGAGCGAGATGAACGGCTTCAGGTAGTGCAGGAAGCCTGGTGGGAAAACGAAAGGGGCGATCAGTGAGCGAAAGGGTAAGAGCAAAGGCGTAAAGCGCAAACAAATTTTATACAGACTCGAGCATGAGTTGGCAATCAATAATAAAAAAAAAATAGGACGGGTTTTTTTTTTTTTTTTTTTTTGGTTTTCGGCTATGTGCGACGATCGCCAGACTGCACCGCCAAAACCAACACCGCCAGTACAGCGTGCAAGCTGAATAACAACCCCAGCACATGCGACTGCGCGATCTCGCTCTGAATGCAGACGACAGCGATCAAAAGTCCACAAAAAAAAAAAAAAAAAAAAAAGCAGCGATCTTTTCATTTTTTATTTTGTCCTGCTGATCGCGGCTTTGGATGAAGGGGAAGCCGCGACCTTGCTGCACCTAACATCAACATGCTGCAGAAACCATGCATTGATTCACATGGCATTGGAACGGAACGCGTCTCCATTCTGCATCAATGAAACGCAGTGCAATCCCAAAAAAAAAAAAAAAAAAAAGTTGGAAATCATAATGAAAACGCACCCATGACTTGGCAGAATGACGAAACAGTGAAAAAACAAAATCCGGACTGATCTTTTGATGAAATGGAAGTGGAATACATTTGGTGTGGTATTTGTATGATGTGGAGAGAGGGTTGTTGTTTGCATAAGAGTATGGTAGTGGAATAAATGGAGCAGTTTGGGGGTGTCGTGAACTGTGCAACAAAGATATTTTGGGTTGGTCGTTATTTGGAGATCGAGGCGTTGGTGTGGCGTCTGGAGGATATGCTGCAGAGAGAGGGTTGTTGTTTGTATAAGAGTACGGTAGTGGAATACAGGGAGCAGTTTGGGGGCGTCGAGAGCGTTGTGCAACAATGTTTCATTTTGTATCAAAATTTTACAATCAAAGTGCTCCAGAGGTCAGCAGGGTTGTGTGATTGTGTTCAATACGTGTTCAGAGCTGAATAGTATGGTAGTGGAATAAAGGGAGCAGTTTGGGGGCGTCGAGAGCGTTGTGCAACAAAGGATTGTTGGTTTCATTTTGTATCAAAATTTTACAATCAAAGTGCTCCAGAGGTCAGCAGGGTTGTGTGATTGTGTTCAATACGTGTTCAGAGTTGAATAGTTTGGTCACTTGTATCAAGACCAATCGAATGAGCCCAATCCAAAAGGAGAGCGAAAAAAAAAAAGGGGTCATTGGATGCTTTGAGCTGAACATCTCTGCTGTCAAGCAAGACACTGCCGGAGTTGAACTCTTGGTGCGATGAAATAAAGTACATTTCGTGTTAAGATGCAAAGTCATGAATAAACAAACAAAACAACAGAACAAAGCCCACTTTTTGTACAACGGACAGAATGAACCCAAAAGATCTTGTGCCTCACTTTGAAGGATTCGCGGCTGAAACCAAACCCCGCGCGGCTGGATTGGTGGAGCGCAGATGGGAGATGAGCTTGGCAACATCGAGTTGCAGCTCTTGCCGCGCATTTGCGGGATGGACGACAATCGCTTGGAGGCGGGATTCGGCGACTGCCAGCACTTGCGCGTGGACAACTGGCGAGGTGCGCGAAAGGCTCGTCAGCATCGAAAAGGTGGAGGTGAGGAAGAGCTGCGAGGTCAGCGGCGGAGGGAGCGGCCGCGGGTCTGGCTGCTCGTCCAGGCCTGCCGAAGAGCCGCTCGAAACAGCAGCCGAGGCGGTCGTCGGTGGCATTCGAGCGGGGCGAGCTGCCAAGCCGCCAGATGACGATAACAACGACGACGACGACGACGACGACGCCGGCCGCGCGATTGGGCGCCCACTCACAATCATGGTGTTTGTGGCAACACCCGTCAGACTCATTCGCGCACCACCCGCCTGACCTGCGTTGCCAAGCTCGCTTAACGCTAGCGCAAACCGCTTGCTTGGCCACACCACGGACGCTTTGAGCAGTGGTGGCGATCGCACATCCGCCGGGAGTAGCAGACCGAGTTGACGAACGGCGTCCTCAAGTGCCCCGGCGTCTGCCGTCAGCGAGGATGGCACGGTTTGACGCAAAAACACCCGCGAGCACACGTCTCCAACGACATGCAGCAAGAGCACAGTCGCCAGCGCCGGTATGCAGACGAGCCACAGCTGAATGGCCGCTTGCCACGCCTGTGCTGCTTCTTCCGCCGCGACCACCACCATGACGGCGTTTTCCTGTGTTGCAGGATGTGCACGGTGTTGCGCGAGAACGGCGCGCACATCTTTGAGCACAACCGCAAGCGCATCTTGGAGCCGCTTGCCACGATCGCAGATCGTCTTGACAACAGAGCAGACAATCGCCTTGACGGCGCCAAGCGCAAGATTGCTCACGGGCGAGCAGCTCTTGAGGGCGGCCAGCAGGCCGGGCACGGCGGCAATCGCGTCGGCAAAGTACAAGGCGCCAAAGCGCAGCGCGGTGGTCTGGTGCCGGAGCATCATCTCGGAGGACGACGTGGGCTTTTGAGCATCCTGCAAGGCACGGGCAGCGTTGAGCGAGTTCCTGACGACCATAGACTCGACAAATTCGAGCGCCGATGGCAGCACAAACTGAAAGCCTGGCTGAACATTGGAAATGCCAAGAGACAAGCGAATATTGCACAACAGCACCCATCGCCGAAATTGATGCAGCTTGGTCGTCTGTGGCGTGTCCGCAGCCATGGCATCCGCCTCCGAGCGTGTTGATGGGAAAAATGCATCTGCCAGCGGACTGACGCAGACGGGTGCACCGCCAGAACTCGCCACCACAGGAACAGCTCGAACCAGCTGCCATGTCGCCTCGTCCGGGCAATCGAGGTGGGATTGGATGAGCGTCGCCACCGTGCGATGCAAGAACGCGTCGTTGACAAAGTCCAGCTGTGCTACTCCAGTGAATATTCCACGCAGGCACGCCAGACGCGAGCGCAAAAGCTTGAGCGAAGCCCCCTGAAAGCCTGGTAACGTAAAGGAACGAATGAGCGTGGCAAACACGTTCGGGTTGCTATTGTTGTTGTACGCCAGCGTCGGACAATGCTGGAAGAGTACGGCCGAAATGGCCTGGCAAATCAGCGAGTATCCCTCGGAACTCTCGGGCAGCGTGGTTTCGAGCTCGTTCCGGCACCGTGCCAGCGCTTGGGACAATGGTAACAGCAGGGCGTTGATGGCAACCGCACGAAACTCCTCCACCTTCTCGCCCAGAGCAAACCAAGCAGCCGAGCCTGGGAGTGGTGCATCCTGCGGAGCCGAAAGAGAAGTTGGAACGCGAGGAGTAGACACGCGGGTCTCGTAATGCTCGTGAAGCCTTCGGAAAAACAGAGCCAGCAGTGCAATGCGAGCGGCCTGGAAGTCTTCCAGCGAGGTGGCGGCTGCAGATGGAATGTCAGTCGACGCCAGAAACCGAGCCATCGCGGGCAATCTGGTCAGGCGCAGAGTGAACTCTGGCTGCACCGTGAGGTGGTGCTCGACCGCCGAGGTGATCCACAGCCGGAGCAGACCGTACTGCGCAGCTGACGAGATGCCGACAGCATCTCCCGCAGACTCCTCACAAGGCAGAATGGCAAGCGTGTGGTTTGCAAATCGCAGCGCCAGCTGTCGCTCATCGGTGCTGCCCTCCCACAGCCGTGACTGGACTGCGAGCTGCGACTGTTGCTGCGCCGTTGCTGCTGGCGGAGGTGGCGCGGATGCTCCCGAGAACGCCGAGCGTGGCATGTGGTTGGTCGATGATGGAGAGGAGGCACTGTGCACGCAACCAAAGGCGGACCAGATCGTGTCCCACGCCTCCAGGCCATGCTCGGCCAGAACGAGACACAGCTCGCTCAAGCACTCAATGCCTTGCGCAAACAGCTGAAAGCTTGTGGCCTGCACACCGGAGGAAGTGGACGAGGCGAACGGAAGCACGACCGAAGAAGTCAAACCCCCAGAGCTTTGGCGAGGAGGTGACCGACTGGCGTGCATGGGCGCCAACGTTGCCTGAGCTGGTTTGCGAAAGCGTGATTGTACCAGCTGCTGGAGAGCGCGAGTCACGCCAGAACGATGGATGAATTCGACAAGAGCGCGGTCTTGCTCGTACGCCAAAACGAGGACTCGGCGCGCTTCGACGGCATACTGTTGGCGCCTGCGCGCAGCTCGGGACATTGCCACGCTGGCCGGAGCGGGAGCTGAAGCCCCAAACACAAGGTCGGCTGCATCCAGCGCCGCAAACAAGGCGTTGTCACGCGCGTCATCTTCTCGATCAAAATACGACTGTGACTGAGACTGGCTGTCAGAGGACGCAGCAGGAGCGCGGTTGGCATCCGGATGCGCATGGGCGAAAGTTGGAGGGCCAGCAGCGAAAAGCGATTGCGATGCCGGGGCAAAAGGGTCCACCATGAGTGAGGCAGACTCGCCTGGCAGCGCGAATCCGCCATCAGCGCCCTCCACTTCCATGGCAGCAGCTGAGGCGGAAGCCAGTGGTGGCGCCGAAGGAGGTAGGCTGTCATGTGCTTCTTCGTGGTTGAAATGAAGGTCAAGCTCGGGCTCCGGCTCGGGCAAAACAAGAGGTGTTCGGCGTTGGCGAAGCCAGCTCGATAGCAGTGCAATGGCTTCAGCTTTGATGGGCTCTTTGAAGCCGGCGTCGGGTGATAGAATGCTGGCCAGAGCTTCGGGCAACAAGGCAAACTCGGAGGCAACCAGACCGGAGCGCAGCGAAACGATGCTGGACGACAGCTGCCGCACCTTCATTCTGGTTTCGTCCCAGTCGTCCTCGATCTCACCTCGTGGCAAGGCATAGGACCGAAGGGCGTGCAGGGAGACTGGGACGCGGCGCACGACGCGAGAGATGGTACTGAGCAACTTTTGCATGGCTTCCTCGAGCGCGAACAAGCGTCGGCGGGATTTGTAGGACTCGAGTGGCGTCGCAAGCGACGAAAAGTCGTGAGACGATGATGCAGTGGCAAAAACTGGAGCAAGCACGGGCTTGCTTGCCGTCTCGAGAACAGCGCGGTGCTCTTGGCCGACCCGCGTCACAACGCGAGTTACCAGAGAGGCAAGCTCGGAAATATCGCGATGTTGCTGCTGAAGGAACTCAATCCAAAGAAAGATTGCGTCCACGACGGCCACTGTCGAAGCCAAGCTACTCGACGTGATGTCGACAAGCGTGCAAAGGCGATGTGTCGCAGCATCCTGCTGGTCGGCCGGAAGCAGAGCTGCCAGCACAAGCGCAAGGCTGGCATAGTTGATGACGGATGCCGTCGTGTGCTGGATGGTGTCCACATTGATGGATCGAGTGTCCGATTCGTCGTCGGTTTGTTCAACAACCACCTGTTGAGGAAAGGAAACGAAAAACTTGGATGCAAGCTTGACAAGCACCTTGACGTCTGCGGCGCGCAAATCCGCGGATTGGAGAGCCTCGGCGCATGGCGCTGTTGCGTGCAGCGGCACAGAAGGAAGCCCGACAAACAGCGTTGGGCAGCACGAAGAAAGCTGAACGAGCAGCAACTTGATGAAGAGGTGAAAGCTGGTATCAGCAGCATTTGGAATGAGTGCTGCTGAGGCTGTGGTGAGCGACGAGGAGGACTCGCCAGCAGTCGCGGCAGTCACAGCAGGTCGAGCGCAAGCCGATTGGAGGACTGCGTTCAAAGGCAGGGAAGTCGACAAGCTGGTTGCGCGCTGGGCAGCCATCTCTGCCAGGAAAACCGGCAACAGTGCGGGGAACTGCAGGGTCGGATCCACGAGCTTGGTCTTTCGAAAGTAATTCCAAAACGCAAGCAGCATGTATTGGTGCCCTGGCCAAACATGGGACAGAATCAAGCAACGGGACTGCAGCTCGACAAGAAAGCGAACAGCGCCTCGAGAAGGTGCGGCAGAGGACCCGAACGCAGCCTCAAGCAAGCGAGCTCGCATTTGCTCTGCGATGGGCATGTCGGTCGGCTGTAGTGCCATGGGTGTTGCTCCGAACGTTTGGCCATCAGTCTCGGTGGCCAACGGCGTGAACGAGAGGAGCAGCAGAACGAGAGGCCAATTCCCAGTAGGCTCGCACGAACTTGGTGGAAGAGCGTTTGCTTCGATCGCAGCGAGCGGCAGCAAGAGCTTCCAGAGATGCTCAAACACAAACCAGAACGATGTTGGCTGCGCAAACGCCATGGCATCATCAATGTGGACAACTTGAGCGAGAAATTGGCTCGGACGGGCCAAGAGCTGATGGCTGACGCGATTGAACGTTGCCCAGAATTGTCGCGTTTCGAGAGGGACGGCTGAATCTGCACCATCTGCTCTCAGGGTATCTTTGCAATAGAAGGGTAGCCGCAAGTCGGGCTGAAGCGCGTGCGCCTGGTTGCACAGCAGTTGATAGCGGTCGAGAGCGCCGAATAAGAGCTGCCACAACTCTAGCACTGGGCTGTGTCGCTCGACATAGCTGGGAGCAGCTGTAATCTTACCATGCACTACATGAAGCCGAACCAGGCAAGCGACCAGCTGGGTGGCAGCTCGGTTGTAGGCATGACTCAGCGACACGACGGCATTGGCGGCAACGGCCTTGATTTGCCTGGTTGCTATCGTGTCGGACTCAACCAAACAGACGCAGCAAGAAAAGGCGACGTGCACCACGTGAAGGCTGTCCAGAAGCAAATCCAGCAGGCGCCATCGCACATCCAGCTGGAGCTGAAAGGTGCTAGCTAGAAAACGCCGCTGCTGTTGTGCAAACTGCGGCAAGCACAGGTCTGGGAATCGCGCAAACAGGCGATCAATCTCATCAGCGATGGCCAGTGCCACTCGGGTAGCCAGTTCCGGCGATGAGCACCACGCAGGCGGTGGTGTTGTACCGCGATCGGGGCGGCGGTGGTCTGTCTCTAGCTGGTTGGTATGGTTTTGCGCAACAGCACCTCCGAGATGAGAAGAAAAGTCGACTTGCATGCCAAAGTGCAACGGCAGAGATGAGGACCAAGAAGAGGAGTTGGAGCTATTGGTCGAAGCGGCGGCGGTGGTGCCAAGCGTTGCGGCCGCGAGATGCAAACACCAGCGCATATAGTCCAACACGTCAAGGCATTCGTCGTGGGACGAGTTCATGTCAGCCGTGCTTGCTTGGTGGAGGCTTCCAGTGGAGGCACTGTGACTACTAAGACTGTGGTGGTTGTTGGCGGTTGAAGCAAACGAGTGTCGGTTTGAGTGCGTCCCAGCAGCAGCGCTCGAGACCAGACTCCCATGGCTGGCCGACGCCTTGTCCGTGGCAGTGACGTGTGCTAGCCGCTGGGTCAAGATGAGAAAGAGTCGCGAGACCCACAGCGGAAAATCTTGGAACGGCGGAACTGGCGTTGCGGCCAGCAAGATTGGAAGTCTGAGTGGCTGAACAGCCGGTGATAATGTCCGCGCATCTAGCGACGTTGTTGTTGTGAGTGGCACATGCCGTGCGTTTGTCTTGTTGTTGATGGACCACGATCGAGGGACGGTCCCAGTGGTAGTGGTCGCGTCCGTCAGCAGCTGCGCTTGGGCAATCCACTGCTGCTTGACATATCCACGCCTCAGCCCGTCACTTTGAAGTGGTGGTGGTGGTCTTGATGCGTTTTGCATTGCTGGATGAGGGATGTCTCCCTGATCGTGGCTGGCCTGTGAACTTGAAGCGGCAGCAGCAACAGAAGCAGCAGCAACATCGCTTTGCTTGAAACCAGCAGCGACAAAGTGCGGCAGCCCAGCGACCGACGGCAGCTGCTCTGGCAGTGCATAGCAGGCAGCTGCAGCAACAACCGACGCGACGGCAGACATGGCTGACGACGACGACGACGACGATGGCACACGCGGCTGTTGAAACGCGCTGTTTCCCGCCAAATCTGAACCATTCCCGCCAGCAGCGCGAGTCTGACTGCCGCTGCTGCCAGCGTGCGCCGTGTGGCTGTGACGACCTGGTCCCGATGATAGCACGACGCGATTGCTGTTGCTGTGATCGCCGGAGCCAGATCCGAGGGCCGCAGCATGGGGCGCTGGCGGCGGGATTTGCGTTGCGAGCGATGCGCGAAACGTCGCAGCCATTGCACCAAGAGGCCACGTCCCAGCCAAACAGAACTGAAGACTGGATAAAATCGTGTGAATGTATAAATTATGGAAGAATTCAAAATGGGGTGGTGTTGATGATTAGAGAAAAAACCAAGGGTCAAACGGTCAGAATCGCAAACGAAGCACAGACTCTGAAAACTTGAAAGTGAGTCGCCGAGTTCCAACATGTCGTAGACTTTTGTGTCGGCTGTTCATGCACAGCGTTGCTATTATTGGTTCAAAAGGGGGCGGCGGTGCACTTGCAGGTTTTGACTCGCGTCTTTCACGTCTCAACAAGGTGCGTTTGTCGTGGGAGAGCGGACAATCCAAACATCACGTCTCATATGACGATTCTAGAACCATCCTGTGGCAAAACACGGTCGTTCTGAGGGTCATCTACGACGCTTTCCGGCAAAAACCGACAGCCGGTTGGTATCCGCCAAAAGCCGCCACTCACGCCCCCGCCGCCGGCGTTGTCGTTGTCCCTTGTGTTGGTGGGTCAAGCATCATGCCGACAAGCTCACCCCACTGCACTTGAGGCCTCCAGACTCACAGCCAGCAAGCAATCAAGCCATTGATCGCGACTGAAACGACACAAATTCGCCTTGTGTGAGTTTCCTTCTTTGCCGATTCATTCAGCAGCCTGAGAGCGTGTGGAGGTACTTGAGCTGCTACCGTGGCCTTCCCGCAGTCGCTCGAGGTCGGGCTTGAGCTGGCTTGGGAAGCAGTTCGCCCACTGCTTTGCGCAGAGTGCACAGAATCGCTTCTGATAAAACAGACTGCAAGTGGCTTGCATGCACACAATACGATTGCACTCTGCACAGCGCGCGCCCATTGCCAGACAGCGCTTGGGTAAACTTGCCGCTGCGAGCGACGCCGTCTGAGCAGCTACGGCAAACGGATCGCGAATGGCAAACACGTCCTCCAGAAATCTAACCACCACCACCAACAACAACATCATCATCATCATGTAGAATCATGTTAGTAGTCGCATCCAGAGGTTTGTTGGTTGCTGAGGCTTTGCGCTTACACGACACGAGGCGCGAATGGCGGCGTCTTGCCAGTGTAATCGTATGGGACTGGGTGTGCGCACAGACTGCACTGGGTTGACAATCGCTCTCCCCTCTGTTGTTGTTGCTGAGGCTGCTGCTCTAGTGTTGATGATGATGGTGGTGCAGCAGAAGCAGACGAAGAAGCGTCGGATTGGCCAGCCATCATTCTAGCTTCCAAACAAAAACAAACGACTGGACTTTTCTGAGAATCGCTGGATTTGGGTTTTATTTGCTCGAGTCATTTCGAATAGAATCTCTTCTTCTTAGATTTATCATCGGTCAACCAAAACTCAGTCTCTCTTTTTCATTGATCGTCATTGTTTGATTTTTGGCTGAACTTCCATTACAAATCCCGCCGCATACACACCACATCCCATATCCCGGTCTTCATATCAACCAAACAACCCCACCAAAAAAATACCGTAGATTATTGCTGTTTTTCAGCCTTCTTGATTCCTTGCCTGCTGGCTGGCTGCCCCCCCCCCCTCACAACGACGATGGACGCGTTCAGCAGCGACGATCCGTTCATCGACCATCTCCTCGAGCTGGCGTTGTAAGTCGAATTTTGTTTTGCCTCGCTATTTTTCAAAGGTGGATGAGTGAGATTTGTGGGTTTTTGAAGAGGGAAGTGCGATGATCCAGCTGTTGGACTGAACTGAACTGAACTGAACTGGAGATGAGGAGCGGAGGAGGGCGAAGAGTTGGAAAATAAAGCGCGCTTGAGATTGGCTGAAAATGACGCTCCAATGCAACGCCAGCCAATTGTCCAAGTCAGCCGCACTCCACTCACCACCACCACCACCAACCCTGACTGATCGACTGATGATTGTGCTGCTCTCACCTTCGACTTGGTTTTTGGACCTTGGCTTTGGGCAGTGGCGTGGACACGTTCGCTCTGCTCGACCCGAGCGAGATGCACATTCTGAGCGCGCCGTCGCTCTTCCCGACCATGCACCCGTCGTCCCTCGGAGCAAGGTAAAAACGAAGGAGACAATGCAAAAAAGCGCAAACTCAGTTGGTAGTCTCACACACGACTGGGAGCAGCCGGACAAGCATGAGTGGCCCTGCATTGATGACCACCAGCCCTGACCAACCACCAACCGTCATGGTGTCCCTGCTCACCGAGCACTCATTGTTGTTCGTGTGTGTGCTTGTCTGGGGATTTTGGTCTGATCATCGCAGCGTCGATCCGTTCGCAGCCGCTCGACCACAGCAGATTGCCGCTCCTGCTAGCAACAACGAATTCTCCGTGCTGTACTCGACCACCACCACGACGACGGAGGGGGTCCCAACGACTACGAGTCCTATTGCTACCAACAACTCGAGCCAGCTGCCAGCGGATGATCACGAGCGAAAGAGCCGTGGCAATGCAGCAAGAACTCGTCGTGACAAATCGCGCGAACTGCGTGTCGGAAGCGCGTCGTCCGAAGCTCGCGGGACTTCCGGGACTTCCATCGGGATGAACTCGACGACGACGACGACGACGACGTCGAAAAACCCGGAGCCAGCGTGGATTGAGGGCTCTGTGGTTGAACCGTCCGAACAATCTCGCTTGCTCGTCGACCCATTTCTTCTGAGTCAATACGGCGAGCGGCCAACTACTTCTACGAGTGTCTCAGGAGCGGATGCCACCACATCGCCGACCACCACCACCACCACTACCACCTCCACCAAGTCGCAAAACTTTCAACAAGCAAACACGCCCGGTTCGTTTGTCGACTGGCTCAATGCTACCAGCTCTCCCGCCACCGCAACAGCGCTACTACCAACAGCAGACCAGAGCGACACGAGTGCAGAAGACTTGTCGCAAGTGGAAATGCTATTACAGTTCCAGCAGCAAATGAAGGAACAGCAGCGGCAGCATCAGATTCATCAGCAGCAAGTCCGACAGTCGTCAACGTCACTGCCCGGCTCGACCGCCATGAGCCGTTCCCACAGCCAATCCAATTTGTTTCAAGCAGCAGAACCCACTGCGTCGGCGCCGCCACCCACCACCATCAACCAGCTGGATCCGCAGCAACGCGTCTTTTTCGACTCGATTCCGGCGCCAGGCACGGCCACGTCGCGCTCGTCGCGCCTCTCGTCACCGCGAGACTCGCGGCCATCCACGCCGCGAGGAGCAAAGCGAAGACAGAGCGAAGCCGAGTTGGCTCCACAGCAACAACAGGAACACCGTCAGGCGAATCTTCAACAGCAGTTGCTTAGTATAACAACCTTTGAAAATGCATTCCCAACGACGCGTGGTTCTATTGTCGATCCGTTCGCAGTGGACCAAACGCGGTCTGTGGCAGCACCGAGCGCGACCGCCGTTCCCTCGGCGCCCTTCCTTTCCTCTGCTGCCGCTGCAGCCGCTGTTGCTGCTGCTGCTGCTGCTCCTGCTCCTGCTCTTGCCCCAATTCCTGCGACCACATCCTTGCCACCAGTAGTTCCCCCTATCGCCCCGGCCGCCTTTCCATTCTTGCCGCCGCCGCCTCTGCCGGCTGCTGTTGCTGCTGCGGATCCAAATGCGGCCAATATGGCCGCAAACCCAATGTTCGCTGCCATGGTCGCTGCCGCCACCGCCAGCCCGGCGTTTACCACGTACCTGGCATACTTCCAGGGCATGATGGCCCAGCAGGCTGTCACCGCTGCGGCCACGTCGAGCGCCACGACCTCCGCAGGTGGATTTCCCGCGATTCGGCCGGCGCTCCCAGCGTTTTTGGGCGGAATGCAGCCGGCTGCACCACCTACCGCAATGGCCACCCCGCTGCCCAGCGGCTCTGCGCGAAAGCGCGAGGTGGATCCCAACGAGGATGCTGAGCTGCGGGACAGACGCGAGCGGAACAGTGCCGCCTCGGCGCGGTTTCGTGCCAAGCGGCGCCAAGAGCTGCTTGTTGCCGAGCAGAAGGCTTCGCAGCTTGGCATTCGGTACAACGAGCTGCAGTCTCGCATTGCCTGGTTGCGATCTCAAAAGGAGCAGCTACTGGCAACGCTCGCTGAACTTGGTGGACCCGCCGCCGCTTTGGAGCCCATCCCTCCAAGGCCTATTCCCCCGCAACCGTCCGCGACGCCGGTTGCAATCTCTCGCGCTTGAACGAGCAGATGAGAGCATTCATTGTTATGCAACATTGTTAAAATTTCGTTTCTACTTGATTTTTTTTTTTTTTTGGTTGTTGATTGTTTTCACATCTCGATTCACACATGGGCGGGAGCTCCACATCTAAGCGTCCAACAGACTCGGCTTGCAAACACGTAATTCACACACGAGGCAGCTTGAGAGCCGATTCCCTCACGTGCAACAGGCGGGCGTTGAGGTCGTCGTCAGAAATGTGTGGGAAGGCTGCGAGCACAGAGTTTCGCCAGGCTGCGGCAGCGGGATAGGTTGCCGACTCGCTCTCGATGGGCGTGAAGCCGATGATGGCGAGCTGCGAATACTCGCAAAGCGCCGACAAGTCGGCGATCGAAGCCTTGTTTCCAACCAGGAAAAGCGCACTGGCGGTGTGGTTTGCGCTCGTGAGCTTTGCAGCCAAGTGCCTCTCCAGCGCTTCAATGGCAAGAACGACCTATGAAGCGCGAGCGAGTTGAATGTTTGAATTCAACGCAGAACAAAAACAAAAACAAATCTCGAGATTTGAACACTTACGCGCTCGCTCACGGTAGCGACTGCGGCGCTGTCGATGGGAGTCGAGTTGATGAGCGGCAGAAAGTACGCAGTACGCATGAGCAGGGACACGTGCGGTCGCAGCTGGCGGAAATCGAAGCAAATGTAACAAGAAGAAATTGCGTCAACGTCAAATTGATCAGAGTCCAGGCAAGAGATCCTTGGCTGGATCGAAGAACCAACATGGCGCTTACCGCACTAATCGTCCAATCGAGCCATTGGTCAATCTGAGCGCGTCGGTACGGATTTTGCTCGATGCTCGGGTACAGCGCCTGATCCTTGAGCGGGCGTGTCGTAGCGACATGGCGAATAATGGTGTTACTGCTCAGCAGTTCAAAGGGTAAAGTTCAGGGTTGTATGCAGTGAGAACATAGCCCTCTGAGAGAGTCTGAGACTGGATTTCCCAATGCAGTGGATTGCAATTTGATTCATCGCGGCTCAATCACAAACCTCTCAAACAGGACAAAACCACCCTCGGCGGCGCTCGGCGGGATGTCAATCTCGGCCCCAGGTGCTGGGACGTCTGCGCTGACGGCGCGCTTGGCTGCGTCTGAGCGGTCGACGAGCGTCGGCACTGTCATGTTGGGATTCAACGCAACGTACGTCGGCGACGTCCGGTTTTCACGCCGAAGCAGATCGAACGCGCGGTATTCATAGGCAATGTCATTGTGCCGGAGGAAGATGGCCACACGGCGAACGCACTGCGAGAGAAAGTCGCCGTAGAGCACGAGCTCGCTTTGGCCAGACATGGAGCGGTACCGTTCGGAAATTGAGAAGTGAGGGACGTCCGCCCGCATTTATCAGTCGAGATGTCCAAATCACTGGTATAGGGATTTACTGTTGGGACGGATGATGCGAGGGACCTTCGAGGGCGAAGGCAATGTTTGGTGCTGCAAAAGCGCTTTCGGATTGCTTTCATAATTTGGCTTGACGACGCCAGCATTTGGATTTGCCTGTTCTTGCTCTCATGCTCATCATGGCGGTCGTGCACTGCCGAGTGAGTTGCAAAACGGGTCACACGATGTGACTCATACCTGTCAAAGATCATTTTGTGTTGTTGTTATTGTTGTCGCTTGCTGTTGTTGTTTTTCCTCCCAAACCTCCGTCCGTTCGCTCGCACCTCCACTGGAACACCTGCTCTTCCTCCCACCAGTCCTCCTCTACCGCCCCCAACCCACCCCCACTCGTCTAGGATGTACACGCGGTGCTTGCGGCATGTGTAAAAGCGTGATAAAACGCCAACTCGTGTCGAATGTCACCCAACCGTTGTCCTCCCCCAACTCTCCCGTCAGTACCACCACCTCACCCCCTCCTTTCAGCTTGCTCTCTCCCCCTCTACGTCTCTGGTCGTCGCCGTCTCCTGCCTTTGAACCTGGCTGACTGGTCTTCACCATTTTGTGTATTTTGCATGTTTTATTTTTTGTTTTTGTTTTTATGTGATCAAACAGTTTCCATTTTCGTATTTCCATTGTCACTCCTCCTTTTGACTTTTAAATCTTTGCAAAACTCTGCCAATGTCGCTCAACCCCGGTGATACCGCCTGGGTCCTCGTTTCGACTGCCTTGGTGCAGCTCATGACGCCCGGCCTCTCGTTCTTCTACGCCGGCCTGGTCAACTCGCGCAACGTCGTTGGCACCCTCATGCTCAGCTGTACGCTCCATTTTATTATTTATTGATCTCAACTCTTTGCGTTACCCGCTTGCATTTTATACCGCTCCACCGCACCACCAACATTCTCCTTCTCTCCTTTTCCATCCACTTCTCTATCAACAACTCTTTTGCGTCGTATCTTCTGTATTGAAGAGCCGAGAAAGCGACCGCAGCGAATTTCGCCGAGAAGTGAGCGGGGTACCGCACACTTGACATTTCGCTTTCAAAACGCGCTTTTGAGTAGTGCTCCCGTTCCACCTCTGCCGTACTTTCTTCGTTTCCCTGTCGTTCTCTCTCCCACTTTCCACTCTCTGCTACGTTGTGCATCTCGTTTCCAACCGGCGCAAACAAGTGTCTCATGCTTTCTTTTTTTTTTTAATTTAAAACTTGTGGTAGCATGCGTCTGCCATATTTTATTTTATTTTTTTATTATCATGATTCATTTTCTTTTACCTCTCTCGGTTTTTCGCGCGCTTTTGTCTTTTCTTGATTCCCGTTCCGCCGCGGTTTTTTTCTTTCTCGTGTCATATGATGCTGGAGTTCTTGTCTGTCGTCGCGGAGGTAGTTGTTTCAAGAGCGGCAGCCGAACCAGTTAAAAAATCCAAAATCAACATCTAAAAGGTGGCAGCAAGCAAAAAAAATCGGAATAAAATAAAATAAAACAATCCGGCAAACTGTGTAGAATGCACAACGTTGAATGTAGTTGAATGAGGAAGAAGAAGAAGAAGAGGGTTTGTAAGCCGATCGACAGTTGGAGGTAGTTTGGACTTTTCCCACCCCCATGCGAAAAAAAAACCACCCTCCTTCCCGACGTACCTCGCTCGACGTAGCATCTCCCCGTGCTCTGCTTCCTCGGTTGGACTCTGTGCACGGCGTTTGCTTCGTGGAATGAAAGAGACGCGTGGGGCGGGATTTTTTAGCAAAAATGAAACAAAATGGTCGGTTTTTAATCGTTAAAACGCGGCACCAAAAAAACACAAACAAAAGGCACAACTTTTTGGCGCGTTTTTATTGGTTTCGATCACGGAAGCGGAAGCGAGATTGTTTTTTATGTTTTTAAAACGAGGATGCCGAGAAGTGAAAAGGAAAAGGGAAAGACGTTTGTGAGCAGTGAGAGGCGTGTGTTGCGTATGAGTGCGTACCGTGCATGAAGGAGCAGCGAGAGAGAGAGAGAGAGAGAAAGAGAGAGGAGACAAAGCGAACGATTTAAAATACAAAAAGATCAACGCTCAAAATGAAGGCCTCAGTTGTGCGTGCGTCACGAGGGAGGAAGGGAGGGGGGCTTCGTGTGATCACAGTGAGGGAGCGAAAGAGCAAACCCTACTGCGAATGAAGTGACACAGTGAAGAAGGGTGATTGAAAATAAAAATGCGTGGTAGTGATTCGCGGTTTTTTTTTGGTTTTGGTTGAGAATGGAAACAGCCACATTGAGAAAAGCGAAACAGCGAGGGTTTTGGGGGGTTGAATGACCAGCCACTCGACATTGCCATCCGTCATGGATTGATGATTGATGATTGCTGGTGAAGGCGGGGGGGGGACGAAATGAAGCTTCGGTATCAGTGTGACCTCGGGGAGCAGAGGTAGGATTGATTTGATGGGAAGGACGTTGACACCGCAAATCACGCTGTGGGTCCCGCCCCTCCTGTGTCGCACCACCACCACCACCGTCGCCATCACCACCACCGTCGCCATGCTAATGAAGACGATAACAAACCCACAGTGCACGGTACACAGCATACCGCAAAACAATCCAAAACAAAACAAAAAAAGCACAAGACCCGTTGATGTTGTTGCTGTTTTTACCACCGTGCCGTGCTCACATGCTCATAGACCGCAAGGGAAACAAGGAGGGCTGGGGGCGGGCTCTTTTGACAGCTGCACCACCACCGTTCTCAGCAGCACGAATTTTTGACAGGCCACATCAAACCCCCCCCCCCATACAATTCATCAAACGAACCAACGAAACCAACTCGAACTGTTTGACAGCAGCAATCCTGACTCACCTCGCTTCTGGTTGTCAAACAACAGACGGCGCGATGGGCGTCGTGACCTTCCTGTGGGTCATTATCGGCTACTCGGAGGCGTTCGGACCCTCAACAAACACACACGTTACCGGTGGTACCGAAAACCGCGCTCTCGAAGGCCTCGTTGGAGGCATGGTCGGCGACCTGCCGGCCCTGGTCTATGCCATGTTCCAGCTCATGTTTGCCATTGTCACTGCTGCCATCATCTCCGGCTCCGTTGCGACCCGTATGCGCTTTATTCCGTTCATGACGTTTGTTGCCCTGTGGCACTTGCTCGTCTACTGCCCGCTCACCCACTGGGTCTGGACTGTCGGCGATGGCTGGATTAACGACTATGGCGCGATCGATTTCGCCGGCGGCCTCGTCGTCCACGTCTCGTCTGGTGTCTCTGCCTTTGTCGCCGCTTTCTGGCTCGGTCAAAACCCCCTGCGTGACAACGTCCACGAGCACAAGCCCCACAACGTCCCGTACGTCATGCTCGGCGCCGCGCTGCTCTGGTTTGGCTGGTTTGGCTTCAACGCCGGCTCTGCTCTGACTGCCGGCCAGCTCGCCGGTCTTGCGTTCGCCAACACTCAAATCGCCGCTGCCGTGGCCATGTTCACCTGGAACCTCGTCGAGGTTATTTGCGGCGGAAAGGGCTGGTTCAACGGCCGCCCCACCGCCGTCGGTGCTGCCATCGGCGCTGTTGTTGGCCTGGTCGCCATTACTCCTGCCGCCGGCTTTGTCACCCCGATGTGGTCCATCTTCTTTGGCGCCTTCACCTCGCCCGTCTGCTACCTTGCTCTCAAGCTGACCAAGCGCTCTCCCATCGACGATACTCTTGACACCTTTGCCGTGCACGGCGTTGGCGGTGCTGTTGGCTCCCTCCTGACTGGTCTGTTTGCCACCACCGAAGTCGGCTCGCCCGTCGATGGCAGCTTCTACGGCGACGGTGGCGAGCTCTTTGGCAAGCAGATTGTTGCCTTGCTGGCCACGATCGCCCTGTGCCTCGTGATGACCTCGCTGATCATGCTCTTCCTCAAGGGTATGGCCAAGCTCCTCCACACCGACATCCGCATCAGCGCCGACGACATGGCTGTTGGTGTCGATGGTATTGACCACGGCGAGTCTGCCTACGGCCACGCCGATATCGAGGCTGTTATTGCTGCCCTCCAGCGTGCCAACCAGCAGGGGCTTCTCCAAAAGGGCAGCACCTTTGAGTTGGTTCCCACCAGCGCCCCTAAGAACAAGCGTGACTCGTACCCCGTCACCCAGTTTGATACCGCCACAGCCCAGCAGTCTGCCTAAACGATGCTCGTTAACAATTTTGATCCTTGATAGAGGAAGTGTATGAATGTGTGTATGTGCGTTGTTTTTTGTTTTTTCTTCATGTCGCAAAAAGCCCCTTTTTTTGCTGGATGAAATCTAGCTCTCTTGTTACGGGAGAGGTGGATGTTTTGTCATGCATGCGCAAATTGTGCCAGTAAAAGTGTCTTTGTGCTCTCTTTGAAGAGGCCGGCAGGCCAATTGCAGCGACTTGTAGAAAAAGCAAGGAATGACAATTTTAATTTGCGTTGGAAACAAAAAACAAAGGTACTACAACGCCCCAACCACACTCCAGTCGTCCTTGAATACTTGCACGCTCAGCTTGCTGACAATGGGTGCAAGCTTGGCATGCAAGTGAGCAAGCACGAGTTGTTCGTTGGCATCACGGCGAACTCGGACGTGGAGCGAGCCCACAACGACGCCGTACGATTCCGTCCAAAAGTGCTCGTTTCGGAATTCGAGGATTCCCTCAAAGGTGAGTGCCTGAGGGGAAGCCAACCGTCGAAACGAATGAGTTGATGGTAACGCCAAAACAAAACAAATGAAAAGCATGCAAAGCCCTTTTCTCCGCATACCTCCCGAAGACACTTGTCCAGTTGGCCCAAAACATGCGGTGGCATGGTCTGCAACAGCATTTTGCCGTTAAAGAGCGCGATGGGCATGATGGTGGCGAGCATCATGATGGAAATGAGAATGGCGACGATTGGGTCTGCAGATTCCCAGCCTCTGCAACAAACGAACAACGAGAAATAGGGCGAGGGGCAGAGAGAGTTAAAAGTGAGACGGGAAGAACGGGCGCAACGGTGGCAAGCAAGCAATAAAAATATCTAAACTTTTCATACTCGATGCCGGCGACAAAGGAAGAAGCGATGATCAATAGTGTGGCGGCAATCCCGGCCAGAATGTGAATGTTCAAGGGCTTGCAGCTCAGGGCCAGGCGGTACAGTGGCGAAGCAGAGCCAAAGACAGACCGGACTGAGGAAGCGACCAGCTGCTTGAACGCAATGGAGGTGGATTCTACCGCATCAGAGCAATGATAGCCATTGGGTTGAGCAAATCAGGACAACACCATCAGCAACAGCAACAACAACAACAACGACTCGAACAGCATGGGACAAAGCACCAACGACAAACCTGCGGCTGTGTGCCCATTCGAGTGCTTTTCGATTTTGAAAATGTTGTAAATGTGCAAAGCGAGAGCAAGCACGGCGGCAATCGCCATGTAATCTCTAAAGCAATGGGCGCGGCAATCAATCCAAAAACCCAAATGAGCGAAAATGCAAAAACCCCAAACCAAACGAGTGAACATTGTAACGTTTTTACCCTTCAACGGCTTCAGGAATAATCAATCGCTCGCTGCTTTCCTTGATTGTGTAAAACGCACAAAAGATCAAAGTCATCGTGTTGGCGAATACAACAAGAACTTCGACACGCTCCAGCCTGGCAATGGTTCAAAACGGTGAGCAAAAGCCGACATTTCCAACAAAAACACTGAAACGCAAACGCACGCACGCACCCATAGGAAAACTCAAAGGAGGCCTTTTGCTTGGAAATCCACAGCGAAACAAGGCATGTGAACAGACACAGCGTGTCATACAAGCACAAGTACGCGAGAGCGAGGAGTGCTGCACAACCAAACCAGAATATCAGTACGCTCACCACCGCCCAACCCAAACCACAAAATAACTTACAAAGACTCTCGCTGAAATGGCCCGCAATCAGAGGAAGCAGAAAGCCAACAACAGCGACAGTCATGCGACCCAGAGCTCCGATGGCGCGTCGGTCGGCGAGAACCAAGCCGACGTTGTGTGAAACGAGCCGAATCCAGCTCTGTCCGGGCGCCTTGGGCTTCTTGGTGCTTGCCCCGTGGGAATGACCGTGATGATCGTTCTGGCCGTGGCTGTGTCCGTGGTGATCGTTGCGACCGCCGTGGCTATGCCCGTGATGATCGTGTCCATCGTCGTGGCTGTGGCCGTGAGCAGCAGCGGCATTGGCATTGGCACTGGCATTGGCATTGGCAGCAGGTCCGTGGCTATGCCCATGATGACCTCCAGCACCACCACTTGCATGGTTTGGATGGCTTGCATGGTTGACGGGCGCTTGAGCGATTCCGGTCAGTCCGTTGAGCTTTGGGTCGGCCGTGGATGGCGGGATTGGGCCCAGCACATCAAATGGCGACGGTCCAGCCAAAGGAGCACTTCCCGCGCTTGCGAGGTTGATGAGCTGAGGCGACGACGCCATCAGCATTGCAGCCGAAGCCGCGCCAGCAGAGCCAGTTGCATTGAGCGGAAACGCGGCCGATCCGCCTGGGATCATCGAGCTCGTCCACTGGGACTGAGACTGAGACTGGGACAGAGACTGGGACTGGGACGCCACTTGGCTTGGTGAGGTGGCAGAGGCCAGCGTCGGCGTCGTCGGGATGGACGAACTGTCGCCGTGGCTATGGCCGTGGTGGAGTGATCCCGGGCCGTGCGAGTGGCCGTGGTGGCTCATTGCGTGGTGTTTGCTTGCTTGCTTGCTTGCGAATGGACGTTCAGCAGTTGTTGGGTTGGGAGGAGGGTAGAGTATACCAACAATAAAACAAGACTGCCCTCATGCTCTTTTGGTCCCAAAGCAATGACTAGGTCTCAAGAGATCAGCACTCAAAAGCAGCAGCCGATAACTCGAGTAGACGGGGGAAAAGGTCGTTGTGAGTGAAAAAACGCCGGGAAGCGATGCTGCTGCGAAGGGAAGGGCGTTGAACACAACGATGCAGAAGAACAAAGGAGGCTGTTTGAGGGAGAACGCTGTTTGGGCGCCGCGTCCTTTTCGATGAAAGTTGCTTTGGATTGAAGAAACTTGCCATCGGAGATTCGTTTGTGGAGGTTTGTTTGCTGTTCGAGTTCGAGCGAGGTGGGGTGACTGACTTGTCAACTGGTGAGTGCTGGGATCAAAAACAGCACTTGAGCCAGACTGGAGCAAGTTCGATTGAGAAGACTTGTATAGAGTTCGATTGGGAGTGGAGTTGAAGCGAGGCAGATGAAACGTTGAATGGAAGCAAAAGGGTAGCGCGGGGGGGGGGCGGAGAGAAAAAACACAACCTGGGGTTGTGGTTGCTTGTTTACACAAAAAGGAAGAGACAGGCGACACAACAAAATGACATTCAACAAGAAGAGTAGTAGTAGTAGACATGACGGACAGAGACCAAGACACGGATGCAATCAAGTGCACTTGAGCGGTTCGAAGAGTGGAAGGAAAGATTTTTTCTCAAAAAAAAAAAGCGAGCTCACTCTCGCTCTCTCTCTTCTTCAACTAGCCCAACCGACAAATACACGTGCTACAAACGACATCAAGCCGCGTGCTTAGTGGTGAGCAGCATGGTCGTGCTCAGCGTCGGGATCGGCGACAACCTGGAGGACAAAGCACTGCGCGCAGTGATTGCAGCGGTGCATGACGCCCTTCAGTGCGACAAACCAGGCCATGTCGTGGGGAGTGCCCTCGGTTCCTGCAACGACGGGGACAAGTGACGACGGGCAAAGTGAGAGACGACAAGGCAAGGTTGGTTTAGAAGTGCTCAACAGCACACTCACCCATGCAAGCCGAGATACGGTAGTCATAGTGGGAAGGAATAACGATGGGGTTGGTCTTGGTGCCAAGCGGGCCAGTAATGTGCTACAAGACAACACAAGCAAGCAGGAAGACGGCCAAGTCAGCCTCCAAAAAACCTCATCAAAAGTACAAATCACAATCAATCGAGCACACTGTTACCTCTCGGCCGAAGGGGTCCTGGGTACCGTGGGGGTGGTGAGCGAGGAAGTCCATCTCCTTGCGCTCGGGACCAGTTGCTTGTTGGTCGTTGGTTGGGAGCTCCTCGATCGAGAAGTTCGGGTTGGCGGGGATCTTGCCAGTGAGGGAAGCTGCGTGCATTGCGATCGGCATCAAAAGACACAAAGGCACACAGATGCAAGTCAGTTTCAAGTTGATAAATGGTTGAGTGAGTGAATGAGTGAATGAGTGAATGAGTGAATGAGTGAGAGAGCATGATGATGAAACACGAGATTTTCAATGGAAAAGTCAATACAAAAAAAAAAAAAAAAAAAAATTCAATGAAAAATCCTTTTTTTCTATTGAGTTTCCATTGAATCGATTTTTTATGGTTTTTATGGTTTTTTTTTTTTTTAATGTTGGTTTTTTGGTTTTCGTGAACTCGCGTTTGTTTTTGACACGAGATCAAAAACAAAGCTCGAAGTGAGAGTGAAAAAGATGAGGAAAACGCAGCAAAAACACAAGAAGAACGAGAGCGAGAGAACGAGTGAAAAAAACGATGAAGACGAAAAAAAAAAAAAAAAAAAAAGAGAAGGGATTTTTGTCGCACTGTTTTCTGTTGAAAGCGAGCAGATCCGCGATGCAGTCCGTGGTTCAGAGAGTGTGGAATGGAGTGATGGAAGAGTGACACGGAGAACGAGGTTGGGAGGCGGTCGGAATGGTGAAACAGAGACCACAGAGAGAGAGAGGAAAGAAAAAAAAAAAAAAAGAGAAGACCGCTTTTTTTTTTCTTTTTTTTTTTTTTGGTCTTCTAGCACTTGTCCAGCTTTCCAGTCAAGCAACGAGGGAGGGAAGGGGAAGCAACTGTTCGACAAAGTCAACTCAATCCATCCAAGACTGGTTGCAAGGAAGCGGAGAACGAGCGCGGATCGACGATGGAAAAACACACAAGAAAGAAAGAAAGAAAAAAAAAAAAAGACAATGTGGGGATGGATTGCTTTTTTTTATTCTTTTGCTTTGAGGCGACGTCTGCTACGAATGCTGGTTGATGATGGTGATGGATGGTGATAGGGGGATTAGATGGCTTGGGGGTTTTACCGTGGCGGACGGCGGCGACGGCAGCGCGGGCACCAGTCGCAGGGGCAGCGAGAGGAGCGCGGATGGCAGCGAGGCGAGCAAGCGAACGAGCAGCGAACATGATTGAAGAAGAGAACAAAATGAAAGAGTGAGGACGATCCGATGCTGGATGAGCTCCTGTTGGATGTGGAAAATGCTGGGAAATGTGAATGTCGTGAATGAAGGGTTTGTGCGATGAGGAAAGACGCAGTCCACACGTTTGGGAGCAAACACAAAACCGTTCGTTCTCTCCAACACGTCTCAGCTCTTGTTCATCGTCCATCACGGTCCTCCTCAACAAATGACAAGTCATGTAAAAATCGATGTTGAAACAAGAAAAACAGTGACACGACAAAACACTACAAGACGACAAAAAAACAAAAACAAACAACTCTCATAAAAACACAAAGGAGCCAACTTTTTGCTTCACGCAAGAACATCGTCGCGATCAGCTCCGGCAGTCGCATCATCAATGCCAGCAAAGCCGGAAAAGTGCGTTGGTCGATGCACTTCGTGGTAAAACTCCTTGGGATTGGCCAACTGCAGGTCGTAGCGCATGGATGGCGAGTGGCTGACGCCCATAAAGTTGTAATTCCACGAGCCTTCGGCGGGCACCATGAAAAAGCCGAGGAAGCGATCGGACAAGAGCATCTGGACGCGCTCAAAGAAGCTGGGCTGGTAGCCGGCGGGGTTGATGCTCGTGTCCTTGTTGTTGCGGCCCCAGTCAAAGCCGGTGGGAGTGAGCTTGTACGCCGTGAGCGAGCAAGAACCAGGGGTGAAGGAGCAGGTAATCACGATCGTCTTCTCGCCGTCCCAGGCTTGGTTGTCGGCAAGGATCTTGGCGTGGGTGGTCACGTCTTGCGGCGAGAGGTGTGGCAGCTCGTTGGGCTGGGTGTGAATCCAGCCAAGCGGCTCGTAGTCCTTCAGGTACTCGTTCTGCGGCAACTGGTGCGGCAGGTGGACGACCTGGTGGGTGCCCCACTGAGGAACCATCACGATGCAGCGCACCTCGAGCACCTTTGGGTTGTCGGGCGGGGACACGCCATACATGTAGCCGGCAATCTGCGTGCGCAGGTCAGAAATCGTGATAAAGCGCTTGAGCACGTTCTTGGGCAGAATGTACGTGTAGCCAGACTCGCGAATGTCGTCCGAGTTGACGTAAATGTGGTTGGTGCGCAAGTGCAGGTTGGTGGACGAGATGGCACGCACACGCCACTCGGTCTTGGTCGAAAAGTTGCGCGACTCGTAATTGCTGGTGGTGGTCACGATAATCTCGTCGCCATGCTTGTTCACCGAGCGCGTGGTGGTCGCGGTCAGCTGCGACTGCTCCTTGGTCTGCTTCTCGACCTCGGCAATGTCGCGGCGTTGCTGCGACGGGGCGGCAATCTCCATACCGAGAATGATGTCGCGAATCTCGGACTGCGTGAGCGAAGCGACATTGACGTTCTGACGACGGCCAAAGTCGGCCAAAATCAAGTCCTTCAGCGCCACTTCAACCTTAATCCACTCTTCGTCGCTCAGCGTGGGCCACACGTGGTGAGGCTGCGTGATGGTGTTTCGGTTGGGCTTGAGAATGAGCTTGGCGCGGTCAATGTTGACGTGCAGGGCGCGCGCAATCAGAATGAGGCGACTGAACGCCGTGTAGGACGAGATGGTGCCGAGCCAGTCGTCGTAAATGTTGGCCAAGATGAGCTTTGGCTCGGTTGCCTGCATGATAATGTCGCCAAACTTTTCCACCTTCATGATGGCTTGGAAGGGCAGTTGCAAATCCGAGCCCTTGAGGACAATGTTCGGGAAGTCGAGCATGTGCACCTCGAGCGGGTCGAGCATGCCCTTGCGCGTGACAATGATCTGCTTGGGCTGTTCTTCCACGGGCAGCGAGCGAATGAGCGCAGCCACTTCTTCGGCCGTCTTCCACTTGGCCAGCTGGCCAAGACGCTTCTGGCCCGCCCACACGGACGTGTGAATGACCTTGAGGAAGAGCTGGCCCGTGCGCGGGTTGAAGATGAAGATGGCACCGTTGATGGGCTTGGTCGTCAAGTTGCCCTCAAAGGTCTTGTGGATGGTGACGCGGTAGACGTTCGTGTCGTCGACAAACCAGATAATCTGGTTGGAGAAGAGCTCGGCATAGTTTTGCGAGGACAGGTAGGGCTCGGTCGGCTCGGACGAATACAGCTGCAGGGCCTTGCGAATGCGCTCGCGCAAGACGTAGAGCGCAGGGTTGGCCTTGCTGACCTTGCCGAGGGCTTGCTGCATCAGGGGCTTCATGCCAGGAATCCAAGAGCCGTAGGCAGCATACAGGTTGTAGGCCAGATCGAACGCAATCAGCACACCGGTGGGCGACGGGTACAGCGACATGTTGTCGGTCGTGTTTCCGACGATGATTGGGCGCGACGCCTCGACGACGACGCCGCTGTGGTTGCGCTCCAGCACACGACGGAACATGATCAGGTGCTCTTTCGTCGGCACTCGCACGCACCACACCGTGCCGCTGCGCGTCACTTGCGCGCACTCGGTTGCGACGGTGAGTTTCGGTAGCGCAGACTTTGGCGTGTCGCTGAAGTGCACCTCCCACAGGTCCGACTTGTACGTGCACTGCACTCCGTGTACGTTGACACCGCCGAGATCGCCAGCCTGGTTCTTCATCACGCACCGTGCGCTGTAGCCTGCGTGCAGCGCCGCACGCTGGGATCTCGTCGCGGAATCGCGCCGACCCAGTGGCGATCCAGCCCCCGTCCTGCTGCGACGCCGCTGCCTGTGACTGATTGCCATCAGCGACGCGCAGGCCGGCGATCAGCGCGCGCGCACCCGCAAGCCCCACGCGGCGCCAGAACCAGTGCCAGATCCACTTCGCTGAGTCGATGTCCTCGGCATCCGGAGGCTGCGGCTCGTCCGTGGCGCCCTGCTGGCGCGCGAGCGCGAGGATGGCCTCGGCCGTGGGCGATGCCACCAGTGCCGCCTGTTCCACCGAGGGCAGGTGGCCAGCGCAGTGATGCGTGTGCATGTTCATGCTAGACCGCGTCGACGCCGGCGTGGGGCCTCGCGCCGGCTTCACCGGGACGGCGTCCGGCACGTAGCGCTGTCCGTCACCGGGGGCGACGTCAGCGACTGCGTCAGCCACCGAGCCGATGCCCGATGTCAGCAGGGCGCTGTAACGCGACGCCACGCCCGTGTACGGACGGCGGGGAGCCGGCAGCACAGACGCGCCACGCCGCAGCGCGCCGATCAGCACATCCACCTCAAACGCGCCGCCGTACTTGTGGCCGTACTGCTGGGCGAAGTACTGCACCCAGTGCGAGGACGTGATGAAATACGTGCGTTGCGGATTGGCCTGATGCGCGGCGCGACGCTGGTCACGCGCCGCCTGCTGCTCCGCTGGCGACAGTGTGTCATCACTCAGCGTCTGACGCCAGTAGCCGTGTGCCCCCTGCGTGGCGGACTCCAGGCGAGGTAGGGGCAGCCGCGCCAGCAGCGCGTCGAGGTACGCCCAGTCCGCCGGCTTGCTCGGACCGAAGGCGATGCTGCGGTGGGTCGAGTCCAGCCATCCGTCGCCGAGGAAATAACCGTACAGCTCCAGGAAGGCCAGCTCCTCGTCTGCGGTATGCAAATCCAGCTCGCGCATGAACGGCGCGGGTCCGCTGGGCGTGACACCCGCTTCGAACATGCCGGAGAACTGCACCACCGTGCTGCGGTCTGCCGCACCAGCCGCCAGGATGCTGCCGGCAGTGTGCTTTTCGAACGCAGGAGAGCCCGAGAACACGCGGTTGGCACCCGTTGCACCCAGCCGAGCCCACATGCGGTGGTTGTCGGTCGGGCACAGGGACACGCCGCTGTCGTCAGCAGCGCGCATCTCGACGTGCGTGTGCTCGCCGGTGTGCACGTACAGCGCCCCGATGTCGATGGAATGGTACTGCAGGGCGCCGTCCACCCAGCTAGCGACGTCGAGCGTCCCGTGGGACGCGAGGTGAGCTTGCACGCCAGCGAGATCCATGAAGCCGTGCGCGGTCAGCACCTCGTGGTCCTCGGCAGGGAAGCAGTAGTCGAGGAACTTGGCGCGCGCGTAGCGCTCAGCGTCGTGCGAGTCATAGTCGCCCCAGCGCAGCTGGACGTCAACCCAGTACTTTTGGGTCGGGTGGGCATCGATGGCATCGCGCTGGTCGGCAAGGAGCGACGGCTTGGACACCTTCCAGTTGTAGGCCGCAAAGAGAAGCACGTCGGCGCAGGAAGAGTTCATCTTGTACGACTTGCGCGGGTGGACGGTCTCCTTTTGCACCGTCTCAATCTGCAGCTGGTCGGTCACCTGGTCAAAGACCTGGCACAAATCCATCACGATCGACTCGTGAATCTTTTGCCACAAGTGGGCGCGGAAGATTTGCACGTAGGAAATCTTGAGCGTGGGCAGCTTGCCGTGCAACATGATGCCCGTCAGATCGAGCTGCACCTGGAAACCAACGTAGACGTTGGCGCGGTTGATGGTGGGCGACCACCACAGCGTAAAGCGACGGTTGGGAATCTGGCTCAAACCAGAGCGCTGCGCGTTGGTCAGCTTCTTGTACGCCATGGCCTCTTCGAAGCCAGATGCCTTCTCCCAGAACAGACCCTCCCAGGTGACGTGGGCCGTGCCCTTGAAGAGCGTGTGCTCGAGAATGCCCTCCACACCACCGAGCGCCTGGATGACGTCTGCGCGGTAGTTGTTGAGCGCCCAGAGCTTGCCGTCGTGACGAGCGTTGGTCCAGTGGAAGGGGTTGTACTTGGCGACCTGGTACTTTTTGAACTCGGTGCGAACGCGCCAGCCCTTGTCGTAGGCAAGCGTGTGGCGGTCTTTGGTGAAGAGCGAATTGATGCGCGGTAGGCCTCGGTCCCACGAGTCCTCCAAGTCGTCCAGCGTGATGCGGCGGTTTTGAGCGAGGGCCTCCTGGCGCTTGAGCGTGTACTCGGCCCAGACGCGGACAGAGTCGGCAAACTCGCTCTCCCACGGCTGAATGTAGCGATACAGGTTGGGAATGAGCTGGTCCTCCTCGTGCGTCATGCCAGAGCGGAAGTGGGTGATGCCGCCCATGTCCGTTTGCTTTGACCAGCGCTTGTCCGACTCTGGGATGAGCACGTGGCCCATCGAGAGGAAGCCAAGGCCACCGAGCTCCTTGGGCGTGTTGTGCGCAACGAGAAAGTCGGCGAGGCAGAAGAGCGGCGACTCGCCAGGCGCGACCGCAAAGCCGACGTACTCGCCGTCGGCCGCGGCAGGCACAATCTCAAAGCCGCGCACGCGCTGCTCCACGGCGTGCGTCGGTCCCGTCGAGCGCTTGCTCGGCAGCACGACGGGGAGGAGGTGTGTGTCGCCGGAAATGAGCGTCTGGTGGCGCCAGAAGGTTGGCGCAGGCGCATCAGCGGTGCCATCCTGCACGAGCTCCTTGCGCGACAACGTGAAAAGGCCGAGCGAGCGCGAAATGTCGTGGAAGAGGCGGACGATGGACGCGTGTCCTGCGCGCTCCGACTGCGAGAAGGCAATGTGCTTGGCAGCGCCGCTGGCCGGGTCGAAGGCCAGGTGCCCGGCCGATTCAATGAGGCCAGCGAGCAGGTGCGCGCGCACGTCGCTCGACTCGCCCATGAGCAGCTCTGCGGCGCTGTCGCTCACGTGCTTGGCGTCGAGGACACCGAGGGCGGTAAGGACGCGAAGGAAGGTGTTTGACGCTGTGGGCGACGTGATGGTGACGCGGCCGCGCTCTTCCTGCGGGTCTTTGGTGAGCATGACATCGAGTCCGCACGCGCTCGCGACAGCCTTGAGGCGCGGGACAATGTACGGCTCCTCTGACGTGCCGACAGAGATGCGCGCGACACGCACCTCCCCAGCTGCTCCGAGCCACAGGCCGACGAGCCAGGCCATCATCGCTGGCGTGACGGAGGGCAACGTGTTGTCACCGCCAGCGACCTCGGCGACGATGGTGGCGAGGGAGCGGCGTCCGGGCCGCTGCTCTGGCCACTCCGCCACAGCCGCGCCGTAGCTCATGTTGAGCGGCACGAAGGGCACGTCCGGCATTGCGCAGTAGCGGCGGTAGACGTCGAGCGAGACGCACCACTGCGTCGCGCTCAGCGTTGCGACCAGGGCCAGCGCGCGCTCCTTGGCCGCGGCGGCTGTCGGATAGACCTCGCAGCCAGAGGTTTCCAGCCACTGCGGGCCATAGAAAAAGGTGCGCGAGATCGACGACTTGTCGTAGTCGTTCGGGTGCATCTTCAGCCCTGGCGTGACGCGAATGCGCCCGTGCGCGACGTCGTGACTCAGCGTGACCATGCCAGAGCTCGTGCCAAGCGCCGCTTCAATCTGCGCGCGGCAGGTACTGGCGTACGCCTCGGCCGCTGCCATGGCGCGCGAATACCCGTCCGCGTAGCGCGCAAAGTTTGCAACATTCCACTGGACGCGCTTCTCGACCTCGTACGGCCGCGGCGCGCCGAGGGCAGCGTCGACCTTGAGCACCGTGTAGCGCGCCGCGTAGGAGCCGCGGGCGCCCGCTTCGTCGTCCGCGACGCGCAGTCCTGCGCCGGGCGCGAGCGAGATGACGAGGATGTGGTTGCCGTTGCACTCAAACCCGTCGTCGTACAGAATGTCGCCGCACTTGTTCTCTGCCGGGCGCACGCGATACATGGCGGCACGGCCAGAGTGGACGTGCGCCGCCGTGCGTGCCGTGCCGTCGTGACCGAGCACGCGGTCGCCGACACGGATGGCGCCCATGGCGCGGACTGAGCCGTCCGCCATGCGCACGAGCGTGTCTGGCGCCGTGCAGTAAAAGACGACCGGCGGGAAACGGCTGGGCATCTTGGAGTTGAGGCCAATCTTGATGCGGGTTTGCATCTTGTTCTCGGCCTTGACGAGCAGATCGAGCAGCTCGGGCGTGTTGACGACCGCCTCGCGGTAGTACGTCATCAGACCAATGAGCAGCGTGTTCCAGCGCGAGGCCACCTTCACGAACGGCGCAGAGCCACTCGACAAGAGCACGGCACGCGCGCGGTTGTTGAAATGCGTGATGCCTTCCTCCGACACGCGCAGGTACGCCTGGGCGGTGCGCTCTTTGGTCACCTCGTGCTGCAAGTTCCAGACGCCATCGCCGTGCGCCAGCTCCTCGCCGGTCGAGCGGATCTTGGGCTTGATGCGCACCTCAAAGCCGCACATGTCAAAGAGCACGTTCGGGTTGTCCTTCGAGTACACGGACACGAACGAGTCCTCCCACTCGATGGTGGTGATGGAGCGCGGCAGGCGGTTTTTCATGTCCCAGAACACGGCGCGGCCCAGGTGCACGTCCTGCTTGAACAGACGCATGCGCGAGTCGCGCGGCCAGCACTTTTTGTTGTTGTAGCCCACCACGTTGGCACCCGTCGGATCCGGGTTGTTGGTCAGGTAGCGCTGAATCAGCTCGCGCGCCTCGTCGGCAGTAAACCGCAGGAACATGTGGATGCGGTCGACGTTGCGCGAGTACAGGCGAATCGGATGGCGTGACTCGACCTCGGGCGACGGGAATTGCAAAAACTCGTTGGGCATGTTGGGCGGGCCAGCCAGCTCCGTGGCGCGCTTCAAGCCCAGCAACAAGATGTCAATGACCAAGCCATAGTACTGCGCAATGAAGGCCGAGAACTGGAGACCGCGAATCAGACCGTACGAGTTGGTGTGGTTCATGTCCTTAAAGTTGATCACAATGTTGTTCTTGGCCGTCATGTAGTCGGCAATGTTGTGGTCGACGATGAGGCGCAGCAGGCGATTGAGCACGGTCAAGTCAATCTTTTCAAACAGCTTTTGCAGCGTCGTTTGCATCATGACGTTGCACTCGCCGTCGGCCGTAATCCAGACATCCTGGAGGTTGTTGATGCCCTGGCACCACTTGTACACGAGCAGCGGCGGAACTTCGGCGTCAGAGGGCTTGATCCACGCAGGGAACAGGCCACGCTTGCTGGCCTCGTAGTGCAGGTAGGCGTCGAGGTAGGCATCGGTGATCTTCTCGAGGGGCTCGATGGCATAGACGGGCAAGAGATGCGAGTACATGTCCATGAAGTCAATGCCGGCCTCCTTGAACGAGCGCTGGGTGAGCAAGTGGCGCTTGATGCGCGCAAGCACAACGTTCGGGTTGTCGAACGCATCTTCAATGAGACCGAGCTCCTCACGTTGCTGCTGGTTGAGGCGGGCCTTGACAGAGTACGCCTCGCGCAGCTGTTCCAGCGCAAGAATGAGCAGCTTGACGTCGTGCTTGTAGTTGAGCGGCGGGAAGGGGATGGGCGAGAAGCGGCGCGACTCGAGCCAGTGGACGGTCGTCGTGTAAATGGCCACGGCCTCCTCGGCAGACACGTACGGGCCGTCCTTGAGGTAGTTTTGCTGGCGCTCCTGCTCGGCCTTGAGATAGAGACGAATGAGGCGACCCAGGTTCTTTTTGATGGCGGCCTTGTCCACGGTGGCACCGCGACGAATACGCTCGCGATTGAAGTGGGCGGCGTTCGTCCACCAGTCGGCCTTCAGCTTGACATAGCGCAAAATCATGTTCTCGATCGGCACGGGCATGCCAGGCACCTTCCAGGCAATGTTGGCCTTCCAGCAGTTGTGCACAACAAGCCAGTTGTCGAGAAGGAACAAGGGCGAGCCGTCAAGCTCAAAGCCGACGTACGGGCCGCTCTCGCTGACGCGTGAGACAGTGAACTTGACAAAACGCCGCTCCCGCGCCTCGGCGCATGTGTGCTCGGCCATCATCGGCTTTTGCTTGCACGGCAGCAGGTGGATACCGTCGCCGGACAGGCGACAGGTAAGCCGGCGGAGCGCCTGCGACGATGCAGTGAAGGAGGCAGTCTTCCGCGCATACACGTTGCAGAGCAACCCCAGACTGCGCGCAACATGCTGGATGAGCCGGAGAATGTCGCCATGATGTGCAGAGCGGGCTGCTCCAACTGCTTGCACCGCGCTGTAAGCGCATGCAGAGCCGCATGAGTTGCAAGCAACCAGACTGCCCTCGCCATCGAGGAAGCCAGCCAGCACGGCACGGCGCACTGACACGCTTTGCGTCAGAACATTGCGTACAAAGCTGGCGGAAATGTCCTTGACAGGCTTGCGCAAGTAGCCAAGACCACGGAACGCAGCCAGCAGGGGGTTTTGCTTCTCAGAGCCAAGAGCGCGGGTGAGGGAGACTTCGTACATGTCAGGTTGGGACACGCGATGCGAGACAAGGCCGAACTGCGGGGCGACCTCGTCCAAGTAGGCGAGAAGCGATGACTCTGCATGGCCAACAAAGAAGGAAGCGCGCTCAGCGCTGCCGTCGGCAAGATGAAGGCCCAGCAGATAGCCGAGGGTTTCAGGAGTTGGCCGCGGCTCGTTGCTGCTGATGGCAGGGACGACCTGCTCGATAACCTGGCTCAGGTCGACGGAGGCCGGCACCGGCCACTCGATACAGCCACTCCGAATCATGCGCATGTGGCCAGCTTGAGTTGGGTGCGCAGCAGCAAACCGGACGAACGCAGCTGTGCCGACAGTCCAGAGCACGGGTTGAGCAGCACGGCACTCGTTGGCAAACGTTGTGGCGGCATCACGAGCGGCTGTCTCGGTTGCAAACCGACGGTCATTCTCGGCTGCGACAAAGGTGGCGGAATACGAGAACGTGCTGGAAACCTGCTGCATGCTCGTCTCAAGACCTTTGACAGGACCAGAGTACTTGCGAAGCGCTGCATGACGCACCGTGAACGTGCGTGAGGCAGCGTCGTGATGGACATGCACCGTGTCAATGTGAGGACAAGCGAGGACAAGGTCGTGACGTGAGTTGCACGTAAAGCCCGACTCGGAGGGCTGCCATTCAGCGTCCTTTCGCTGGGCTTTGCTCTCCGGCGGAGTCACGATGCTGATCTTGTACATGGCATCCCTGCCGGCCATAGTGCGCTTGACCGGCAGGCTCCGGCCATCGGCGCCAAGCACGCGGTCGTTTTGGGCAATGGCGTCGGCGCGCTTGACCGAACCGTCAGCCATACGCACAGGCGTCTCGGGGGAGAAGCAGCGCCACGCCTCACTCAAGTGCTGCAGAATCAAGCGAGCCTTGTTTTGACGGATGCCTTCGGGCATCATGTCGAGGATATCGTGCATGACGGAAGCACGCAGCTCGAGATCAAAGTGGGACTCGACACGTTGCTTGGTCACTGTCAGAGCGACGCCCTTGTGCAGGCGACCCTCGAACTGACGCGCGAGCAAGTTGCCCAGCCAGCGCTCAAGCAGCGGTACCACGCCGCGCATAAAGAAGAGCCAGACACGCCACGAAGGCGCCCAGAAGCCCACGCCTGGACCCTTGCCGACCGTGCCAGTGTTGAAGCGGTAGTAAATGACGTGTTTGAGATCCTTGCATTGGCGAACCTGGCGCATGAGCTTGTACTTGTAACGGTACATGCCTGTGAGCTGGCCAATGTGGTTGAAAATGTAGTTGAGACCGTCGGCGAGCTGGTACGCGTCCGCGTTGCCAAGGCGGTACTGCACGTGCGAGTCAACCACGAGCTTGGTCAGACGCAGAATCTCACGACACAGGTGGTACGAGTTGCCCATGCGGGACTTTTTGCGCTCCTTGGTGGTGAGCGTCTTGACGGGCTTGAGGTTGAAGTTGTAGTCGAGGTGCAAGTAGTGCAGGCCCTTGCGGTGAATGAGCAAGTTGAGCATGTTCCAGCCCTGGCGACACACCTGCAGACCGGCTTCGACCCAGTCGAGCTCTGTCTGTTGGAAGAACTTTGTGTTTTTGAACGAGCGGAAGAGGTAGCGCTTGTTCATGGCCTTGGGTGCGCGGTGGCGCAAGGCGTTCAGGACGTAGTTTTTGAGCAGCTTTTGGTAGGACACGCGGACCTTCTGGGGCTGGCCAGGCGGGCAGTGCTCCAGGTACCACTTCTGGACGAGCGGCACGTCCTCGGCGCGGCGCGTGTAGCCCGAGCGCAGGTTGAATGGTCGCGGCGCCCAAAGCAAGGCAATGCCGTCCGCCGTGTTGTCAGTGTAGACGGGGCACTCGCCGAGCAGCGGTGCAACTGATTCAGGCAGGACAAACGACTCGAGCGTCGGCAGGGCCGTGCTGTAGCTTCCACCCGTCGCTTGGTCCTCGGCGTCCTCCATGTTGGTCGGATCAAACTCGTCGAGCTGGCTCATGAGGCGCAGCAAGTCGACCGAAGTGCCGTTGCTCGTCGCTGAAGAGCCCTTCTGCTGCACGCTCGCATCCGAAAACTTGGCAGTCGTGGCCGACGATGCCGTGGTGGCGGCGTGGCGGTGCGTGATGGGGTTGATGAGCGGGTCAAAGTAAAAGGCGGGCAGATCGGGGTCTTCCGTCTTGATAAACTGCACCAGCGGCGAGTGGTACTGGGCGAGCTCGACGGCGCGGACGCGGTTGTTGTACAAGAAGGGGAAGGCGATGCGGTATTCCGTGCGGATGGGCTGACGCACGATAATCTTGTTGACGTCGTTAAACTCGTTCCAGTCCTCGTCGACGTGCTCCTCGTCCCGGAAGAGCGGCTCAAAGCGCGGGCCACCAGGAATGGCCATGTTGAGGGCCTTTCCGGTGAAGAACGACTTGAGGTCAAACAGGTAAAAGTAGTTGGGGTCGACGAGATCGGACAAGAGCTGCGACGCGAGACGGAAGAGGGTCGAGCGGATGGGCAGGTCGAGCGTCCAGGTCTTGTAGCTCGCGCCGTTGACGCGCTTGAGGTCGTCGCTGAGCGGCTTGTGGTCGTAAAACCAGTCGACCACGGGCGCGTCTTCGGATGGATCCAAGTCCATCTGAATGGCCTCGAGCGGCTCGACATCGACGAGGTTGTCGCCATAATCAAGCGGCATTTCCTCGTCGTCAAAGGGCGGGAGACGCAGGCGCTTAAAGTGGCGGCGATCGCGCTTCTCGCGGCGCATCATAATCCACATGGTTCCCCACTGCGCAATGTACACTGGCTCAATGACACGCGGGATCTCGTTGACGAACGTGATGGCGCCCGTAATGTGGTAGATGGTCTGGACCTCGCGGACCTGCTCCCACGGCATTGGCATGTTTTCGAGCAGCTTGAGCACGGCGTGCGGCACGTACTTGAGTGCGCCCAGGTAGACGCGCTTGTCGTGTCTGTACTTGCGACTCGTCATGTCGCCGTGGTCGCGCATAATCTTGCGCAGGTGCTCTGCAGGCATGTTCTGCTTTTGCGTCTCTGCAGCAAAGCCAAACTTGCGCTTGTCCGAGTATCGCTTGCTCTGCAGCTGCTGCCACTTGCGCGCTGAGGTAGGAGGGGCGAAGGGGGGGGTTTCCAAAACGAGCACACAGCAGGTTAGTATTCAGAAAGCGAGGGTTAGGGGGTCGAGGGGTCGAGGGGTCGGTCGAGGGGTTGAGAGGGTTGAAACGAGAGATCGCAGGATCTCGCTGCTTTTTGATCCAAGCGCACGCGTTCCCCTTTCCCCTTCTCCCCCCTCCCTCCTTCGCTCGCTCGCTCCGTCTCGTGCTCGTGCTCAATATCAAAGTGTGAGTGCTGAGGACACATCGAGTGTTGAGGAACGAGGCACCAAACTCAAAAACTCAAAGCCAGAGAGACAAAAATAAAAAGAAAAAAAAAAAAAAGGAAAAAAATCGACCGCGCAACGATCGCAACGGAAACGCCATACAACAAAGCGAAAGGACGACGACGAGGACCAATCTCAGTGTGATTGAAGATGGGGATGAGGATGAGGATGAGGATGAGGATGATGAGGGGTGGTGAGGGCGGTACCTTTGTCTTCGAGCTTGTCTGCGGACAGCCCCTGAGGAGCAGCAGCAAAGGACATGATTGAGAACAAGAGAAAGAGAAAAAAAAAAAAAAAAAAAAGATGAGACTGAGACTGACTGAGACTGACTGAGAATGTGAGTAAAGGTTGAGAATTGAGTGTTTGAGTGCTGGGATTCAGTATTGAGTGCTGAGAATGGAGATGTCGAGCCTTTTTTGCTCTCAATTCTCAAAACCTCAACATTCAATGGATCCGTTGAGCGTTGAGGTGCTCCACTCGTCGCCGGTTCCATCAGAACACTCGCCTGGGCTTCATGTCGGATTACACTTGCCTACATTTTGCAAAGACTTGACGAGAGCTGTAGAATGGCATTGAAAACCCCCCAAAAAACAAGTACTCCACCTTTGTTTCCGCCACCCATTTTCTGAGAACTGCTTCACTCTCACTCTCTCTCTCTCTCTCTTCTTTATTTTGTGTCTTTTGTTATTCTCTTTATTTTTGTGTGAATGTCCAATCTGAGCAACGCTGCCAGAGCGCTGCAGCAGCCGCGGATTGTCTCGCCAGTGAGCGCGCGGCGGCAGCCCCTGGACGGCGTGCTTCTGATGAGTGGCATTGATCCTACGAGTGCTATTCATCCGAGTAGCAGCAGCAGCAGTGCGACGACTAGCAGTAGCAATGGTGGGACTGCATCGCCACCAGGTGGAGCTGACAATGCTGCTGCTGCCGCTGCTCTCCCGTCGTCGTCGTCGTCGTCGTCGTCGGTGCCTGGCGCAATCTCTGTCGTGATGGCAGGGACGCACGTCTTTGAAGCCGCGGCGCAGTCGTCCGCCGCCCTGCACGCGGTGCTCGAGGCGCTGTGGAACCGGCATGGCCTGGGCATTGACGCGCCGGACGCCAAGTCTGGGCTGACTGCCGTCCACCACGCCGCCAAGCACAACGCGCTGGTTGCGTTGCTGCGGCTGTTTGACTTTAACGCGCGTGGTGGCGAGATTGCCGACGCCGTGGGCATGACGCCGCTGCACTGGGCCTGCTGGCACCGCTGCGATCGCATTGCGCTGGCTTTGATTCAGCGATCTCCAAAGATGCTCGTTGCGCAAGACCACCTCGGGAACACGCCGCTGCACTTTGCAACGCGGGCTCAAGCATCGCTGCTCGGAAGCATGCTCGTCAACCAGCCCGCCCTGTGCGTGCCCAATGCAAATCCGTCCGCAAGGCAACTCGTCAATATCGCTGACAACGAAGGCGCAACCCCGCTCCACTGGGCCGTCGGGCACGGGCTGATTGACTTGGTATTAACGCTGCTGCTTGCGGGTGCGGATGTCAACGCTCGGTCCATTTCGAACGGCCGGACGACGCCGCTCGGCTGGGCAATCATGGCAGACAAGCTCGAAGTGGCCACCTTGCTCCTGCAGCGCGGCGCCGACGTGAACTTTCGCGATAACACTGGCAAGACACCACTCCACTGGGCTGCGTCCACATGCAACAGTGGCATGGCCGAGCTCTTGCTCGCCTTCAGTGCCGATGCATCCGCGCTCGACTCCACCGGTGCCTCGCCTCGCGAGTATGCTGGAGCGCTTCCAGCGCTGCAACAGCGTCTCACCGAGGCAGAGGCAGGTGCCTCCATCCCCGCGATCGCACTCCAGAGCAGAGCCATGGCTGTTTCGGCAATTGCGGCGTACCGCGATTTCGTGGACAATTTCGTTGCTCCTCCGCCTGCAGCTCAGCCTGTTGCTCACCCAATGCAGCAGCAGCAGCAACAGCCGCAACAGCAGCAGCAGCCGCAACCGCAGCAGCCGCAACAGCCACAGCGACCAACACCAGCGGAACCAACCAGCGCCACCAAGTTACCATCCTGGGGTTCGCTGCCCCCAATGACTGGATTCCTCGCTCCGGCAATCACGCCAACACAAGCCGCAGTGTCCAGTGCTTCGGTCGCCGTGGAGCCGATCAACCAGGAACAGAATGGCATTATTGCAGACCAACCCATTTCGAGCAAACCTGCCGCCACTGCATCCACCGCGCCCGCTGCCACCCCCTCCTCTACCCCTTCTACCACCTCCACCTCCACCATGAGCAAATCTCAGCGAAAGAAGGCTGCCAAAGCGCAAGCCGCAATGGCCGCTGCGATGTCGGACGCCGTTCTCGAGCCGGCTTCTCCTGGTGGCGCGCTCGCCAGCGCCGCCGATGCGCAGGTGGACGAAGTCGAAGAAGGCAGTGCTGATCCGCAGACTGAAAGTCCCGAGGGAGAGGCCCCAGAGGCAGCAGAGGTCGACCAGTCCAGTCGAGGACTGGCTCTGCTTGAAGCGGCACGAGCCGGCAATGCGCAGCTCGTGGCCGAATTGGCCGAGGAAGACGGCGCATTTGACATTATCATCAAGGGCGAGCTCCATCACACGCCGCTCATGCAACTCGTTGTTGACGGCGACTCGAAGGCAGCCAGCCTGCTGATGGCGGCGGGTGCGAGCATGAGCGGAATCGACTCGCGAGGTCGCAATCTCCTCCACCTCGCTGCTCTGAATGGCAATCTCTTGACGATTGAAGCGCTGGTGCACTTTGACATCACAGATCACTTGCAGGTCGATTCGGTCGACCAATTCGGCAAAACGCCGCTTGCGCTTGCTGCTGGCCGTGACCATATTGCCATTGTCACCCAGCTGCTGCAGCTGGGGGCCAACCCAGCAGTGTGCGATGAGAACGGCCGCAACGTTCTGCACAACGCCGTGGCCTCCGTCGAAAGCTTCAGGGCGATTCTGGCACACGCTCGTGCCAACAAAACGTTGAATACTGACAAGACGCCCGCGTCTGGATCTGCAACACCAGCCCCGGCCGCTTCTGCCGCAGCGCCAAAGTCCAAGAACAGCAAGAAAAAGGCAGCCAAGAAAAAGGCAGCGTCCAGCACGCCTCAGCAGCCGCCATCGGCATCCACGCTTTACGTTAACGCCGTGGATGACAAGGGTCAGACTGCCCTGATTCTTGCTGCGCAGGGTGGCTTTACGTTCGCGGTGAAAGAGTTGCTGGCGGTTGGTGCCGACCCCGCCATTCGCGAAACCGCGTCCAATCGCACCGCGCTGATGGCGGCTGCCAGCTCCAGCAAGCTCGAGGCGGTCGCAGCTCTGATTCCAGTCACGCCAAACCTCCACGCCATCGACGCGAACGGGTTTACGGCGCTTCACTACGTCGCCAGGTGGTCGATTGAGCGCATGCCTCGCGCGCGTGTCGTTGAGATTGTGGTTGCACTGACCAACCCACCCTTCTCCGCCGACCCTTCCGTGTGCCCAGCCACCCCGCTGCATGTGGCGCTGGACGCATCCAGAACCGATATGGCCATTCTTCTCGCCGAGCACGGCGCCGACATCCACAACCGTGCCGGACGCAACGTCTCCCCGCTCGAGTCTGTGCCCGACAAGGACAAGGCCCTCCGCAAAAGTCTGGCGGATGCGTTCAACAGCTGGCGTCTCGCCCAAGAGAAGGAAGCCGCTGCCGCTGCGAAAGTTGCTGCCGCCGCCGAAAAGGCCCAGGCCGCCGCAAAAGCTGCTGAGGCGGCCGCAAAGGCTGCGGCGGCGGCTGCCAAGGCTGCCAAGGCCACGAAAGAGAACGTGGCAACCAAGCCTGACCACAACAGCGTCAAGCCAACTTCAGCTGCGACGCCTGCTCCCGCCAAGACCCCGACACCCCCACCGCCAGCTCCTGCACCCGTTCCGGACCAAAAAGCGCTTGAAGGCAATCTTCGCGAGCTGCTCTCGGTGCTCGAAGCCTCCAAGTCTCAATACGACCAAGCAGTCCGTTCGGATGCCCAGTTGGTCGCTGCAGCCAAGACGGCGATTGCCGAAGCTCAAGCCGACTTTGAGTCCTGGAAGACCAAGGTGAATCGGCTCCGGCGATAAAGCAACATCAACATCAACAACTCGTTCGTTGACTACTGGAGCAGCTGCATTGCATTTTTATGTACACTAGAATACAAAAATCCTTTTCAAAAGATTCAGTTGATGTCATTCGATTTATTGAAACTTTTGTTTCACTTTTTTTTTCTTTTTTTTTTTGTTTCAGTCTTTTTTTTTCTTTTTTTTTTTTCTTTTTTCTTTCGTCTCTTCCCCCCCCCCTTCAAACTCGGAATCCTTTTCAAACCATGGCTGCACCAGAGGAAGAAGACTTTTCAAAGCTCTCCTTGGAGGACCGCTTGTCGCACAAGGTACATTGGCAATGAAAAATCAACTGGTTTGAGTTTTTGGCGCCAAATCCCAAACAGTTTGTTTCAAAATGGAAGCGGCGGCGTTTCTTTGCACTTGTGAAGGCTGTTTGCGCTGTCGTTGCCTGCCATGTTGAAATGTTGAAGCTTGGCGAAACTGCTTTGCTTTTTGTTGAGTGCAAGCATGTCCGTTTTGTGGCGGCACTCTGACGGAGCATCAGAGCGAAGATGGGGGGGAGTATGGAAAAGGCTGATGCAAGCTTGGCTTTGGACTCGGACTCGACTTCGAGGGCCCCGTCAGAGTGGTGCTTCAGAAGTGTTTGATATCTTTATCGCTGTGGCAATCGGGACATTCGGAGGGGGGGGGAGTGGAAGGGACGGTTGAGCGAGAGCGCAATGGGGAAATGGCTCAGTAGTGAGAACGACGCTTGGCTGTGCCCCCCGAGCTCCCTCCCCACAGTGTCTGTGATGCATGACTCACGATGATGGAATGGCTTGCGTTTGCTGTTTTCAGAGCTGGAAGTGCCGACTGCAGGCGTACGAGGAGACAACCAAGCTCATCTCGCAGATGGACGACCCTGCGTCAGACAAGCTCGCTCGGCTGCTGCCAGCCATCCGCAAGATGCCGCTGGACGCCAATGCTGTGGCGCAAGAGAAGGCCATGGACACGGTGTATGCCTTTGCCGAGTTTGCCGCGTGCGCGCCTCAGGCGACACAGGAGGTCGTCCAGGGCATTGCGAAAAAGTGCCTCAATGCGCGCGAGAAGACCAAGCAACGCGCCATCGAGTGCTGCCTCATGCTGATTGAGGTCGACAAGAGCGCAGATGCCGTCGTCACAGAGCTGCTGCCGGCACTCGCGGACAAGCTGCCAAAGACGGTGGCGATTGCCGCGTCCGTTCTCGCTCGTGCGCTGCGCGAGTTTGGACCCAAAGTCGTGCCATTCAAGCCTCTTATGCGTGAAGCTGCCAAGCTGTTTGATCATGGTGATGGTTCCGTGCGAGCGGAGGTGAGTGCATTTTGTTGCACTCAGTGATTGTTAAAGTCGAGTTTATTGTGCTCCCACATCATTTTTGGTTTGCTCACCCCGGCCTGAACGCTATTGTCCCATCGCTCATCTCTTCGCTATTAGGCGAAAGCGCTGGTCATTGAACTCTACCGGTACCTGGGCCCGATGGTAATCAAGCCCGTCATGGAATCGCTCAAACCCGTCACGGTGAAAGAGTTGGAGGCCGTCTTTGAGGACATGCCGAAAACACCAGCTGTGCCTGAGCGGCTTTTGCGGGCGGAACAGGCCAAGCGCCAAGCGGCAGCTCCGACGTTGGCTGCTGGAGACGGCTCGGACGGAGCAGACTCGAGCAGCAGCAGCAGCGCCGAGCCTGCCCCGCTGGACCCTTACGACCTCATGGACCCCGTTAACGTGCTCGAGAAGGTGCCACCCAACTTTTTCAACGACATGGGCGAGAAGAAGTGGCAGCTCCGCAAGGAAGCGTTGGAGGCCTTACATCAGGTCGCATCGTCGCCCAAACTTGCTGTCGCTGATTACAACGAGATTGTCCGCACGCTCAAGACTGCCATCGGTGACATTAACGTGCTCGTCGTGGCGCTGGCGGCGACATGCATTGCAGACCTTGCGACTGGACTCCGTTCTAATTTTGCGCCGTACGCGCCAATGCTCGTTGCCGAGCTGCTCAACAAGTTCAAGGAAAAGAAGGCAACGGTCGTGACGAGCGTGCGCGCCGCTCTCGACGCCCTCTATCCGAGCATGTCCATCCCCGACCTCCAAGAAGACATTGCGGCCGCAGTGGATAACAAAAACCCCTCTGTCCGCAGCGAAACGCTGCTCTGGGTGGCCCGTTTCGCGACCGTCACGAATGCCAATGCAGTGCCGAAAGCTGCAATCCGTCCGTTTATTGCAACACTATTGAAGGTAGGGGAGTGTCGGGGTTTGTATAAAGGGTGTGTGTGGTTTGGATGTTTGTTGTTGGTTTGTTTGTTTTGGGGGGTGGTGTCGCGCTTTTGTTTGACTCTCATTATGAATTTTGTGACTTCCCATGCGCAGGGTGTTGATGATAGTCAAAACGAAGTGCGTGAGGCCGCCATGGAAGCAGTGGGCACCTTGCTCAAACTGTTTGGAGAGCGCGCCTTGGGTCCCTTGCTCGAGCCGGTTGACTCGATCAAGCGCAACAAGATCAATGAGTTCTGCCAGAAGGCCGAGGTCAAAGGAGGCGCCCCGGGATCCGCCCCCAAGCCTGCAGTGTCCGCTGCATCCGCGCCACCAGCAGCGTCGACTTCTTCGGCAGCCGCAGCCGCAGCCGCAGCTCCAAAGGCACGCTCGGCACCCGCAAGTGCCAGTGCGCCGCGATCATCCGCCACTGCTGCCAGCACATCGGCTGCTGCCAAGCCTGCCGCGGCCAAATCAACGACTTCTGCGGCTGCTTCGTCGGCTTCTACGGCCGCCCCTGGCAAGCGAGCCCCTGCAGCAGCTGCAGCGCCAGCAGGAGCAAAGAAATCTGCTGCCGGGGGTGCTGCTGCTAGCGCGTCAAAGGATGACCTGACGCTGGAAAACGCTCTCAGTCCCGAGCAAGTGGAAGAGATGGCCACAACGCTGCTACCAGAGGCCATTCGAACGCAGCTGGTCAGTGCGAACTGGAAGGAGCGGTTGGAGGCTGCTACCAATCTTGAGCAGCTCGTCCAGACGATGGCTCCTGCGGACATTCAGGCAGAAGTTGTCACACGGTTTGTCGACAAGAAGCCCGGTCTCAAGGACGTCAACACGTTTGTCCTTGCGAAAAAGTTTGATGTGCTGGCGGTGTGTGCGCAGCGTGCTGCCTCCTTCACCCGGCGAACCGTTACGTTCGGCATGGAAGCACTGGTGGAGAAGCTGTCCGACGTGAAATGCCGCGCCAGCGCTGCAAACTGTCTGACCGCGTATGCCGAGCGCACCTCCTTGAATCTTGTGAGCCAGCAACTGGCCGGTGTCGCCATTGCACACAAAAACCCCAAAGTCTCGGCGGAAGCTCTGCTGTGGCTCTCCACCAGCATCAACGAGTTTGGCATTCAGCAAGTCACGGTAAAATCCATGGTCGAGCTGGTCAAAAAGAGTCTCGCCAACGCCAACCAGGCCGTGCGTGCCTCCGCTGTCCAGCTGCTCGCGACCATGCGCGTTTGGTTGGGCCCGGACTTGCGTGCGTCGTTTGAGGAGGAAAAGGGGGCGCTGCTCACGACCATTGATGCCGAGTTTGCCAAGGTGGCAGATCAGCGTCCTCCAGCTCCCACTCGCGGGCCGCGCGCCAAAAAGGTTGCTGCCCCAAGTGCATTTGGCGAAGAAGCCGAGGGAGGCTCTGGCGCTGCGGACGACGGCGCCGAGGACGGCGGTGTCGAGGATTTGCTGCCCCGAAACGACATTTCTGGGCAAATCACGGCCGCCTTGCTGACCAATCTCGGCGATGCGAACTGGAAGGTGCGCGGCGAAGCCCTCGAGCAAATTACGCAAATCCTGCAGCAAGCGCAACGACGAATCACTCCCGACATTGGCAGCCTCCCCACTGGATTGAAGGCTAGGCTGTCCGATGCCAACAAGAATCTCGTCACCATTACGTTGAATATGCTGGGCGTCATTGCAACCGCCATGGGCCCCGAGATTGAACGACACATGCGCATTCTCATGCCTTCCATGCTCAGCACCCTGTCGGATGCCAAACCGCAGCTGCGACAGGCCGCCATCACCGCAATCGATGCGTGGGAGCAGCTGATTGGTCTGGATCCGTTCATTACGGGCCAGTACATTTCCTCTGCGCTTGCAGGAGACGCCCCGCTGCTGCGCAAGGACTTGCTCAGTTGGCTCGAGCAAAAGCTGACTGTGCTCAACGAGAATGTTGCGAATCGAGTCAAGCCCAAAAAGCGTTCCGCTCATTCACCGAAGGCTGTCGCGAAAGATTTTGAAGACCTTGCTCCTGCAATCTTCTCGTGCCTCGAAGACCGTTCGCAGGACGTGCGCAAGGCGGCGCAGGCAGCTCTCGGCCAACTGATGGTGCTTCTTGGTTATGATTCTCTCGTTCGCGCCACTGGAGGACTCAAGCCTGCCAACAAGACCAGTGTCATGCAGCTCCTGACCAAGCTCAAGAGTGAGGTGAAGCTACCTACTCCTGCCGCTGCTGTTGTGGCCGAGCCCGCTGCTTCTTCTTCTGCCTCTGCTTCTTCTTCTTCTTCATCAACTTTGTCTGCTAGCGCTCCCGCAGCGAGCTCTCCGGCCAAACGAGGTGCAGCAGCAGCACCTGCGGCGGCAGCCAGCGAGGCTCCGCCGGCTGCGCTCAAAAAGAGCAGTGCCTCCACTGCTGGCTCTTCCTCCGCAGCTGCTGCCTCGAGCGGCGCTGCGACTGCACTGGCTGCTGGCAGTGGTCCAGGCGTGCCTGCGTCTCTTGCAGCTGCCGCGGACGAGAACGCACCGCCGCTCCTGCTCAGCAGCGAGAAGGACGCTCGTCTCGAGAAGGATCGAAAGGCGCGATGGACATTTGAGAGCCCTCGCCCAGAGTTTGTTGAGCTCCTCAAGGAGCAGTTGCAGCCGATTGTGTCCAAGGCAATCTTCACGCAGCTCCTCAGCCAAGACGCCAAGCATCATATGGTTGCTCTCAATGTGATTTGCGACTGCATCCGAGCTCCTCCTCCGCGCCCTGACGTTGCCGAAGTCACACACAGCCTGTACGAGAAGGAAGCCATCAACGCTGCAGACGTTCTGTTCAAGTACGCCAGTATTCGTTTCTTTGACAACAACACGACTACCTTCCTCAAGCTTCTCGAGCTCATCCAGTTGGTCATTGCCAACATGGACGCAGCCTCGGTGATGATGACTGATTACGAAGCGGGCGTATTGTTGCCGTTCTTGGTGTTCAAGGTGAGCATTCGAACTTGTGTCATCGATTTGAGTGGCGGGATTGTTGGTTTTTGTTGTCCCCAGGTTTGATTAACTTTTCGCTCTGAACGCATCTTCCATAGATTGCCGATCCGAAAGATTCCGTGCGCAAGGAGATTCGTGGCATCTTCCGCCAGATCTGTAACGTCTTCCCGCCATCCAAGCTGTTTGCCAACTTGATGGAAGGCGCCAAGTCTAAGAGCTCGATTGTGCGCCGTGAATGTCTCGAGGAGATTTGCCAGCTCATTCAGCGAAACGGAGTGACTGTCTGCCATCCATCGCACACCAAGGTCCTGCCCATGCTGGCTGGCCACATTGCCGACCGTGACAGCAATGTTCGACTTGCAGCTCTGAATTGCATTGTTGAAGCGCACTTGGCGCTGGGTGATGGTATTTGGAAGCTGCTAGGCGACATTTCGGCCAAAGACAAGGCCATGCTTGAGGAGCGCATCAAGCGTTCCGGATCGGCCTCGGGTGCTGCTCGCCCTGCCGCCGCTGCAGCCACTGGTCGCACTGCCGCAGCAGCTGCAGCTGGTGTGAGCAGTAGTGGATCGCCGTCCAAGTTGCGTGCTCCAGGCCATTTGGCTGCTCAAACGGGCGCTGCTGGCACCAAGTCTCCAAGCAAGATTCCCACTCTTGCTGGTGGGGCGTCGGTCGCCGCAAAGCAACCGTCTCTCTCTTCTTCTTCCACCGCAGCTGCTGCTTCTGTTGCAGCCATTCCATCGAGCTCTCCTGCGAAAAAGCGGGAATTTTCTCTCGACTTGGATAAGCTTGGTTTGGCCAACGGAGTGCCTGAGGCCTTGAAAAAGATGCCAGTCCTGGCCCCGACAGCCGATGCTGCTCGCGATGCCCTGTCGGCCCCAGTTCCGACTTTGCCGACGCGCTCACGCCCACTCAGCTCCGCGGTGCCCGCACCAACAGCCCGCTCAGCCTCGACTACTGCCGGTTCAACATTGCTTGCTTCGCGGCTGGCGCGTCCTCCCATGGCAAGTTCCATTCGCGCGCCTGCCGGGTCGGCAGCTGGTGTTCGCAAGCCCACTCCTACCACCACTGCCACGACGACGATGCGCCCAGCTACTGCCACTGCCACAGCGGGTGCAGCAGTCGCAGCACCAGCTACCATCAGCGCTCACCTCGTCGGCCCCATGCGCGATATGACCAGCTCTGATCTGAACGTGGGAGTGAATGCCATGAAAGTGTTTGAAGGGGTGCTCAAAGATGCAGCGACTGCCACCAAAGAGCTGAGCTCGCCTGCCACTCTGGACGGGTTTGTGACTGCGGCCACGATGCAGCTTCGCCTGACATTCACCACTCACCTGGGCAGCAAGCCAGGCGATGCTGTGTTGCGCTCGTGCAAGCATTTGCTGAACGCTCTCATGCTTTTGTCCGCCATTCCCCAGCTCATGTGCAAGCTCTCTCGCGAGGTCTTGTACGGCTTGGTGCTCGAGCTCACGCACCGCATGCTCGACGAAAAGCGTCTGTTGGCGATTGACAACGGGCAGCCGTCCATCTCCAAGGCCATGAACGTGCTGACCATCAAGACGCTCGACAACTGCGACCAGACGCTCTGCTTTGGTGTGCTTCTGGACATTCTCAAGCTTTCCGTGACGCAGGACACCTCCAAGGAAGCCCCTCTGACGCAGCTTGTCATGAAATGCCTGTGGAAGCAAATCAAACTGCTGGGAACGCTGCTGCCCAAGATGAACACGGACCAGCTCTTGCTAGATTTGCACTTGTTCTTGGTGGCACATCCCCCAGCCTCGTGGAAGCAACGCGCCGACGACACCCCGCTCCGCACTGTCAAAACAGTGCTGAATGGCATTGTGAAGAGCCAAGGGGCCGCGGTCTTGGAGCACCTGACTTTGATTCCAGACCGGGAGCACAGCCACGTCACGACATATCTCATGGCCATGCTGGCTGCTGCCAACATTGCAGTGACAGGACTTCCTCCGCTCCCTGCCGGCGTTGTTTTGAGCTCCAATGAGCCCGCCCAGCCAACCGAAGCCACGCGAGCAGAGAATGTGAGTGCTGAACAGCACGAGCTTTTGGTGCGCTTGGTCGATCAAGCATCTGTCGAGAGTTCTTCAGAAGATGTGAGTGGGTTGTTGTTGTTGTTTTCTGTCGGTTGGTTGTTGGTTGTCACGGGTGCTGACGCTTTGCGGTTTTCTGAACCCGATTTCATTGCGCATCAGGCCTTGCAACAACTGGCCTCGTTCCAAGCTGAAAATCCCGGCATCAGTCTTGAACCCTACCTCGCCACTAAATCCGAGATTGTGCGCGACTATGTGACCCGCAATGTCGCTGAGCTGCAAATGTCGGAAGGTGTGCAGGAACCGACTTCAACCATTTTGCCTCCCATCGAAGTCGATGCCGTTCCCGCGACCGAAAATGTTGATAGTACGTCGTTATTTTTTGGTGTGCTGAGCTCGTGTTTGGTGCGATGCCAAGTACTGACCACGACCCACGGTGAATAGCTACTCAAGAATCTGCCTCCTATCTCGAGCGGCTGCGAGCCCTTCAGCAAAAGTTGGGTGTCCACGTCGAGCCTGCATCGGTAGGTCGTCCCTCTTTTTTTGATTACCAATTCGTGTTGCCAGTTTCAGCTGTGCCTTTGCTCATCTTGACCGTCCTGTGCACAGCCCACGCTGCCGACCGTTGTTTCTGCCACTTCTGCGTCCCTTTCGCCCGTCAGGGTATGGGAAAGCACTGCCTTTTTGTGTGTTGCAAAGTGGTAATGTGTTTTCTCACGGCTTATCGTCATGATCGCATTGTTCTTGGTAGAAGCCGACGTCTTCAGAACCCAGCCAGACTGGCGCCGTCCCATCAACCACCTCGACCACGACCACCACCACCACCAGCACAGATTCAGAATCGATGCAATTGTTGAAGCGAAGGTTGGCCCAAATCAAGAAGGGCACTCCTTCACAATAATTGTGACGAAAAAGAATTGAAACCGTTGATTGTTGTTGCATGTTGATTCTTGTTGATTTACCAAAAAAAAATGAACCAAATTCACTTTGTTTCTGCTTTGGACGACCATTCGTGTGATCTGCGCATGAACAAAAGCATCCGTTAATTGCGAATGCCAGCGCGCGCCAGAACCTTCTCGGCCCACTTGACAACTGTCCAATTCCCACAGAAAAGCAGGTGTTAGCATGTGAGGATACAAGCTCGAACCTAACACTGGTGCACACCAAGAAAGCTCCCCCTAAACCTTACCTGGCAAATCAATCACCTGACCGTCCAAATCAAAGGCACCAACACCCTTGTCAGTCACAGCCTTGTAGCCCTCCAGAATACGCGTCGCCTTTTTAATAGCTGGATGGGGCATCACGAGGCACAAGTAATGTTAACGAAGGCCGAGAATTGCGGCAAAAATGAAGTGCTCTTCGATTCAGTCTACCTGATGCTGGCGGTCGGAACTTGTCATTGACAATCGGAATCTGATTGGGATGGATGGCTTGCTGTGCGGTTCAAACCCAATGACAACGCGGGCTGAGCAATCGGCTTTCATCAAAAAGGTCGCATGCTGATGATTTTTTGCAAGAAGAGAGTACCTTGCCAGTAAAGCCCATTTCAAAGCCTTCCTCGCACTCTTGGCTCAGACGCTGGTTGTCTTTGAATTCCATGCAGACCATATCAATGGCTTGAAGACGGTGGGCCACGGCGTGGACGACAGTCGACGAGCGTGCAAACAGCAGCTCGCGGGCCCCAGCAGTGCGTGTGATGCCTATTAGAAGTGTTATGGATGAGAGCATAAGGACAACGATGAGTCGAAAGAAATGGATGAGTCCAAACGAAACGAGATTGGCGTTTACCCATGTCAGCGCACAAGTCTTCAGAGGCAAACTGTCATCAAAAATAAGCACAAAACAACAAGACGATGAGATGAATCAACCCGAGCCGCGTGCACCTCAACTAATCACGCTTGCTCATACAATCAGCGCATCAAGGCGTGGACACGAGGCTGCAATCTCGCGCAGATTGAGCAGTCCGACTGCGGATTCAATGGCAGCCAGCAAGCGGATTTCGCCTCGTGAACTGTGGCAGCGCGCGGTTAGGGTGGTGAGATGAAAGGAGATGGGTCGAGTGAACGAGACTGATGTAGAACAGAGGGGTCCAGAGCGCGCATGTCGATGGCACTTACGACGCAGGAGCCACAGAGTTGATAAACTCGCTCACAAAAAGCACGTCAGAAGCGTACTCGACCTTCGGAATCACAATTCCCTGGAGCTTGGGAGATTGGAGCACGGCAGTCAAGTCCTCGACAGCAAGACCTACGCGAGCGCGAGGGCATGTTAGGCACGAGCGTACAACTACTACTTATCGTGCAAGTATGCGTTGCAACTTGCCTGAGCGGACATCGTTGATGCGGACGCAACGCTCTGCGGCACCAAAATCGATCGTCTGATCCAAAGAAAAACAGTTGAGACAGAGAACTTGGCGTCCGATTCACCGAGATCGGCTGCATTCTGAGCTGCTTACGTTGAGCGCGTTCAGAACCAGTTTACGCGCTTCTGCCTTGCGATTGCGAGCGACGCCATCCTCCTGCCCAAACGCAAATTAGCCAAAATAAGCCAAGAAAAATTCTCAGCAAGTCCGATCAGACAGACGTTCTCTGCCATTTCAGATGCTGCTGCTCAAACGTCAAATCAATAAATCGATGGTGGACGTCGTTACCAAATCAAGCACAATGGAATCGGCAGTCAGCGTGGACGCCTTTGCAATCTTGCGCTCGTCCGATCCGGGCACTGCGAAATTGAACAAAAGGTGATTGAATGACAATAATCGTAGCAACAAAAACAAAAAGTCAGTTCAACAATCGGTTCTCAAGTTGGAAGAACGAACGAATGCGTGATTTTTTGGGGTTTCGATGAATGACTTTCCATTGAAGAGCGTTCGTCGAAGTCGCTCTTCGCGCACTGCGAATCCCGAAGCTGGAGTCGCAGAGGGAGCAGCAGGAGCAGCAGGAGCAACAGATGCGCCGAAGTGGCGAATGGGCAGCGTGGCGGCAGCGAGACGCGTGCATCGCGAGGATTGGCGAACGCACTGGCTCAGCATTGGATGAGTGAAACAAGAAAGGTAGAGTGGACTTTGACTGCTTCTATTAAAGAACTGAGTAGATACTTGTGGCAAGCTACTCAAGTGTGTCAGAATGTTGGTGATTGGATCGCAGATGTACAGTATCTACAAGATTGACAAGACCGGCGAAAACTAGATTTGTGCGATCAGAACTTTACAACTTTACTGCTGAAGGAACATGGCATTGCAACTCACAACGACGTTTCAAAAAGGCACCGCTGCAACTTGCGGATGCTTCTCTCAGAGACACGGGATTGTAACTCACGGCTGCTGGTCAAGACTCAGGTCAGCATACTGGGGCTGGTGGGAATTCGCATACTCGATCGGGGCGGCGACTTGGGACTCGCGCCAGGCGGCACCCACGGTGGTATAGGCAGTCAGTGTCGGGTTTGGCTGGGCGTACGTGTCGCTGGGTTGTTGTGGCTGGTCGGCCGGCGTGTTCAGATGATCGTACTCGCTGTCGAACAGCGGGTTGGCAATCACGGTGCCGGGGTGCAAAGGCTGTCGAGCGATACTCGGATCGGCATACGTCGGGTCCGAAGAATTCAGGCTTTCGTACAGACCGGCCTCGATGGCTTTGTTCGAAACGTGAGGGGCGACTGGGACTCCCGTCAGCTGGTCGTAGAGCTGGACATCCGACCCATGTTGCCCATTGAGAACGTCGTAAGTCGGGTTGGCTGGGTGTGCGTGAGAGAGCGCAAGCGGATTCAGCTGCATTTGCGTGTGCCAGGCAGCGGACGTTGACAGAGTCTTGCGCTTGCGCCGGCGCAGGACCACCACAAGCACAACGAGAACGACGAGGACGATGATTGCTCCAACAGCTCCGCCAATAATGGGAGCCACTGCTGCAGAACTGCTCGGCGGCTGTGAGGTCGGTTGCAACGAAGCAACGGAAGCGGCAGATACAGAAGCAATCGATCGAACCGAGGCGACTGAAACGGACGAGACAGATTTCACAGATGCAGATTCGATCGATATCGGGACCAAGGACGCCGATGCAATTGAAGCGGATACAGCGGAAGCAGAGGATACAGAAGCAACGCTTGCCCTGGAGGCAACCGATGCTGAAGACTGCACAGATGTGGCCGAGGCCGCCGATACAGAGGACAGTGATGCAACAGATGCGACTGACTCGACCGATGCGGCCGACAGAGCAGAGGTGGCCGACAACGCGGATGCCGATGATGCGGAAACAACGCTTGCACTGGATTGAACCGATGCTGCGGACAGTGCGGATGTGGCCGACAATGCGGAGACCGACGATGCGGAAACAACACTTGCACTGGATTGGACAGATGCTGCGGACAGTGCAGACGTTGCAGAAGCCGCAGACGCGGAGGACAGGGAAGCAACCGACGCGACCGATTCGCTGGATTGGACCGACGCGACTGACTGAGCAGAAGTGGCAGAGGCTGCCGATGCGGAGGACAGGGAGGAAACGGATGCCACTGATGCGCTGGATTGGACCGAAGCGACTGACTCGGCAGAGATGGCGGAGGCCGCAGAAGCAGAGGACAGAGAAGAAACGGATGCAACTGATTCGCTGGATTGGACCGAAGCGGCCGACTGAGCAGAGGTGGCAGATGCGGCAGAAGCGGATGACACTGAAGCAACAGATGCGACACTGGCAATTGATGCGGCCGACGTAGCTGACTGTGCAGATGTGACAGAGGCGGCAGAAGCGGATGACGCTGAAGCAACGGATTCGATACTGGCAACTGATGCAGCCGATGTAGCAGAGAGGGCAGATGTGACAGAGGCGGCAGATGCGGACGACACTGAAGCAATGGATGCGACGCTGGCACTTGATCCCTGTCCTACCGATGCAACAGATGCTGCCGATTTTGCAGAAACCGTAGCGGCTGACGTTGCAGCAATAACTGACGCTCTGGAAGCGGAGGAGTCCATCGATGCTACGGATGCTGCAGAGTTCGCAGAAACAGTAGCAGCGGATGTTGCCGATTTCACAGAAACCGTAGCGGCTGATGTTGCCGCAATCACTGACGCCCTGGAAGCGGAGGATTCCATCGATGCTACGGATGCTGCCGATTGTGCAGAAACAGTAGCAGCTGATGTTGCTGATTTCACAGAAACCGTAGCGGCTGATGTTGCCGCAATCACCGACGCCCTGGAAGCGGAGGACTCCATCGATGCTGCGGACAAAGCCGATTTCGCAGAAACAGTAGCAGCTGATGTTGCCGATTTTACAGAAACCGTAGCGGCTGATGTTGCCGAAGCAACTGAAGCCTTGGAAGCGGAGGACTCCATTGATGCTGCGGACAAAGCCGATTTCGCAGAAGCCGTTGCGGCAGATGTTGCCGATTTCGCAGAAACCGTAGCGGCTGACGTTGCCGATTTCGCAGAAGCAATGGAGAGGGAGGATTCCATCGATGCTGCGGACAATGCCGACTGCACAGAAATCGAAGCGGCAGATGTTACTGATCGGGCAGAAACCGTAGCGGCTGACGTTGCCGATTTCGCAGAAACAATGGAGAGGGAGGATTGCACCGACGCGGCCGACACTGCAGATCGTGCAGAGGCAGAGGATGCCGACACAGCGGATGTAAATGACACCTTGGACATGAAGGAGGCGACAGAATCAGCTGAAGCTTGCGACACTGAACTGGCGGAGGCGAGAGAAATGGAAGCACGCGACGCCGAAATGGTGGCAACGGACGTTCGCGAAGCAAACGTGCACTCGTCAATGACACTAATCATCCAAGTTGTCGCTCCTTGAGCGGTGGCATACGGACAGAAAATGCCCGGAGCCGAGTCGGCAGACTTGAAAGTGGAGGGCGTGGTGAGGCGCGCGGCGTCGCTCGTAGTCCACAGAGCCAATCCGGACGCGGACTCGATATCAATGTCCCAGTTGCGCGGTGTTGTGAAATTCTGGCCGGAAGATATCATGTTATAGATCAACACTCTCGCAAAGCCAGTTGTAGAAAGCCAAATGCTCGCAGTGTCGGCAACATTCTCGGTGTCGACATTGCCGGTAAACGTGCTTTGATAAATCACAAGTGTAGTCTATGTTTCACAGTTTCGGGAGGGGGGGGGGCGGTAAGATTCATCTTCTTCCAGGAAAAGCATGGTCTTGTAAAAGCAATACGTACAGTCTGGCTGTCAGAAAAAAAGGCGTGACCACTGTCTTCGGCAATATTGCCTGAGAACGTGGACTTGGAGATAGCCACCTGGACGCCGGTCATATGCTCCGTGATGCCAATGGCACCTCCATTTTCGGCCGTGTTATTAATAAACTAGAGACAATGACACGAGTTTCACATGAGGCACAACAAGCGAAACGAAAGCAACCATTGCGTCGACATAGTGTCTCTTGGCAGTGCTTACCGTGCATCCAGTTATGGTTACCGTGCTGTCACTTCCGGAAATAGCGATCGCGCCACCATACCCTTCTGAAAAACTCGAACTTAGATCTCCCGAGTTGCCGACGAAAGTCACGTTCGTGAGTTGAACGTTGCTTGCACCGGCCACAATCATGCCACCGCCATATTCTATCAACGTTCCAAAATTGAATAATTCATCGTTCAGTGTGTTCTCATCCAGCACATCACAATGAGCTCTCACTCAATGTATGGAACTTACCATAAGCGGCATTGCTGGAAATGATAGAGTCCGTAATACTGATTGTGACGCTGCTGCCAAGGTGGATGCCAGCGGCTTGTCCGGATGAAGTTTGCGTGTTCGAGTCCACAATGAGGTCTGAGATGATTACATTAGCGGCATTCGTCACAACCAGGCCAGTTTCACCGCCGGACAGTCGGAAATTGCTCAAAGTGACAGGCTGCATGGAATTCACGTTAAGTACGTTGCCGTTGCCAGCATAATATGGAGTGATGACTACATCCCCAGGGCCTGCTCCCAAACCGCGAACTGTCCTGCTGACATAGATCATAGGGTTGTTGAGTGCGTATGTTCCTGGCTGGATGCACACGACGACATCGGTCGTAAAACCGCGCAGTGCCTGGTCCAAGTCGGCCGCTGTGGAGACGGTGGTTGTGCAGTCTTGTCCCAAAACAAACGGTAGAAAAGCCGCAAGAGCGGCAAGGGCGAGCAGCGAAACCCTCCCGACGCGCATTGAACAATCACGAGAAAAATCCGGACCAAGAGGCGGGCACTGATTGCGACTGGAGAACGAAAAAAAAAAAAAAAAAGCCTGTTCCTGACGAGCAGTATGCGCACTTTGAAAAGGACCTGTTGGGGCAAGTCGCTGAACGAGTACACCGATCGAAAAGGATGAGGAGTGAGCTGGATTCCGCATTTGGACATGCCTGTTTGCATCCCAAAATGGATTTCCCAGGCGATGCTTGCGGCTCGTTTCGCGCGCGCATGAGTCAAGCGACGGCGCGGCAGTCTAGGAGCTCCGTGTGCGAGTGGCAGGGTATCAAGTGCGTTTGTGTGTGTATGCGTATTCGTCTATACAGCAGGGTTGGGTGTGGGGAAGGTGATGGGGAGGTACGAGAATAGGTGATTTGATTGCGAGTGTGATGCCAACCCGAAATAGTTTGTTTGTTGTTGTTGGGTTTTTTTGGGGGTTTTTATCGCTGTTTTGCATTTTTTGCGGCAAGCAGCTCGCAGCGGTTTTTTTTTTTTTTTTTGGGTTTTTTTGTTGGGTTTTATCATGATTGAGTGGATGCCTGCCTTTTTGTAATTATCGCACATCTACAGCAATAAAGCCACAGGGGACTCAAACATGCGAGCCAACACAAACATAGATTTTCGCCTCAAAAATGTAAACAAACAGCCCGTGCGCGGCTGACGCGGTTGCCGCGCGCCCACCAACCTCCGAACAGCTCACTCTTTTGTCGTTTGCGTTGTCTATGCGTCGAAAAGGGGGGGGGCGATACTGACTTGAGTCGCTGCCCCCCAAACGGTGCAAAGCCGTTTTGGATCACTTTCGCGCCGATGCGGTCGCCTCTTTTCCGGTCTGCCGTCCATTTCGAGGTGAACGAACACCCGACCAGGTTTATTTCGAAAAGCAAGAACTAGCTTTCGACTCCAGGAATGGGGTCGGGTACCCTCCATCTTAGTTCAGTTTCTTGAGTTCAGTTCAGTTCAGTTCAGTTCAGCTCAGCTCAGTCTTTTTGATTCGCTTTACCCTTTGCTTTGCCTTTGGCTATTCAGTGCTATTCGTTCACGATTATCACAATTCGGCTCGGAACTTTTGGACGATTAACTGGTTGCATGTGTGCCGCGATTCTCAGCCGCTTCGCGCCATCCAGTCTTGCACGCAACTTGTCATCGCCCAGCCATTCAGCAGCCATCGTCCTCGTCCAGCGCCTGTCTCTATCTCTGCCTGTGCCGCTGCCACACTTCAAGCCAAAACGCTGTCTTGCGCAACGCAGCCAGCCAAGCGCAATGAGCTCGACCGGCCACTCTTTCCCTCCGAGCCAGCCAGTCGTCCTCCGCCGCCGCCGCGCATCCTCAACCGACGACGATCTGCATGATGCTCATGACGAACGCAATTCCGTCGGCTCTGAGCCTGGCAAGCGAGCGCGGATGGATGCAGACACACAATCCCAGCACGCAGCTCCCTTGCCGCGGTTGCCGTTGTCTGCGTACACGTCGTTCCGGAGATCCGATGCACCCATCCATGGAGCAGGAAGAGTGCATGCTAATGCGACATCCACAATGATGGCGTCGTCGTCGTCGTCATCGTCGTCGTCTTCAAGAAGGCACTTTTCATCCTCGGTCAATGTCCCAGCCGAGCAGCCCAAGTCGCCTCGCAAGACACCATCGCCAACAATCGTGATTTCAGATTCAAGCTCACAATCGGACGATTCGGATGGCGAAACGAGGAGATTACAGCCATCTCGCAAACCCAGCAGCAGTAGTGCCGCACCCGTTTCAAGCACTGCAGCTGCTGCTCAGACTGTCTCAGTGGCCCCCGTCGCGCCCAGTCCACCAAGCAAAGATGCCAATGCAGCTCAGACATTTGGCTTTCAGCTCACTCGCGCTGGAGGTATCAATGAATGGTTCAACCGAAACGCCTTCTCCTTGCGGCAGCTGCTGTCCGACATGGACTTGCAGAGCTCTGTCCAGTTTAACTACATGGTGGATCTCGATTGGCTCATGACCATCTTTCCGCGCGAGCTGCAAGCGCGACCTATGACGGTGGTGCATGGCTTGACCGAATCAGCCGACGTCCTGCAAGCGGCCGGCAAGAAATGGGGCAAGACAATCATTCGTCCACCCCTTCCGATTGCCTTTGGCACCCACCACACCAAAATGATGTTCTTGTTCTACTCTGACTCGATGCGGATTGTCATTCACACGGCCAACATCATCCCGTCCGATTGGTATGCCAAAACGGAAGGGTAAGGCTTTTTTGTTGTTGTTGTTGTTGTTGTTGTTGTTGTTGTTGTTGTTGTTGTTGTTGTTGTTGTTGTTGTTGTTGTTGTTGTTGTTGTTGTTGTTGTTGTTGTTGTTGTTGTTGTTGTTGTTGTTGTTGTTGTTGTTGTTGTTGTTGTTGTTGTTGTTGTTGTTGTTGTTTTCGTTGTTTTGGTCAAGCGTCGCGTGTGTGGAAGTGCTGTTTGTTGGAGGTGTTGTGACCCTCACATGTGCTTGATTACTCTGCACAAACAAAAACAGAGTGTGGTGCAGTCCAAAGTTCCCACTCAAAGCATCCACAGCGCAGCAAGCGTCTAGCAGCACAGGCCGCGCTTTTGAACAGACTTTGAACAAGTATCTGACTGCGTACGGCAGTTGCATTCGGCAGGTGCGTGAGCAGGCGATGAAGTACGATTTCTCGGCGGCCAACGTGGCCCTGATTGCTTCGGTGCCAGGTCGTCACGCCGGACTGGCCAAATCCGAATGGGGTCACATGCAGCTTCGCAAGGTATATTTTCTTTGCGATGCGTGGTAGCTCCTGATCGTCTCCAAGGCGCGCCAACCCTGAAAGACGAAGTGCTCACTCCAATCATGCACATGCGCCTTGTCAGATTTTGCACGAGCTGCCCTTGCCAGCGAACGTTGCTTCTCAGCCGGTGAACACGCACCAATTGATCGGGCAATTCAGTAGCATCGGTAGCTTGGGTGCGTCTCCCGAAACGTGGCTGACTTCTGAATTTTCCGTCAGCTTGTCAGCACACAAGGCGCAGGTACGTCCCTCTCACCCCTTTTGGTAAAATTGTTTTGTTGCGCATGCAGACATCTCATTGCTGTTTTTTTTGCTTTGACTTTTTTTTGTTTCGATGCCTGGTCAGGGATTGTCACCACCCATCGCCCATCCTCGCGCTCTTCGGTTGATTTTCCCAAGCGTGGAGAACGTGCGCCTATCGCTTGAAGGCTACCTCGCGGGCGGCGCGCTTCCATACCGCCTTGCGACGCACTCCAAGCAAGCATGGCTCGACCAATTTTTCTGCACCTGGAATGCGACGCGAAGTGGCCGACAGCATGCCATGCCTCACATCAAATCATATGCTCGCATTGCCGTTTCGCCAAAGACTGCGGACAGCGCGCAACAAGCAGAGGCGACCGATTCAACCAACGTTGCCCTCGGCTGGTTTTTGCTGACCAGCGCCAATCTTTCGAAGGCCGCCTGGGGCACTCTGCAGAAAAAGGGAACCGCCGCCGAACAGCTCGAGATTCGTTCGTACGAGCTTGGTGTGCTATTTCATCCGAGCTTAATGTTCCAGGTATTGCTGCTGCTGCTGCTGCTGCTGCTGCTGCTTGAGCCCGAAGAATGTTGTGGCCGTGATGATCTGTTCCAATTGTTCTAACCATAGTCTGCCGCTTCTTGTAGAACCCCGCGAGTGGCCACTTTGTTTTGGGAGAACGCGCCACGACTCCAGCCAACTTTAACATGCCGGTGCCATACGATCTCCCGCCAAAGTCGTACATTCCTTCTGTTGGTATGTCACGCATTCCATTGAGAATGCACCGTTCGAGGTCCATACGAAACTCATTCATAATTCGGCTGCTCCTTTAGATTCTGCATGGGTCGGCGACGTGCGTTACCGCAAACCTGACTCGCACAACGATGTCTGGCCTCCTGCCGAGTCCGAGGGCTCTTAATTGTTTCGCGCGGATGGGCCTGTCAGACTGACTGGAGTTGTTTTTGTATTTATTGTACATTATGTTCATTTTCACGCACTACTTTGCTCGCAATGCTGCACCTGCACAACATCACTCTGTGCTGGACGATGCTCCGCCAGCTACCGGCACGCCTTGCATCTTGTCGCGCACCATGGACACGAGCATGTTCGAATACTGGTCGAGCAACGCCATGGTCTTATCTTGGCGAGGATTGAGCAGATCATCCAGCACTTTTTGCGTGTCGGCAAACACACTTTCAGCGTGGGTGCAAGTGTCGTGCCATCGGCCATAAACCGCAGGCCTGGCCTCCTCTTCGGGTTGGCGCTCAACGGTGTGCCGATAGAGCAAGAACGCATAGTCGAACTGAGCCTTCAGCTGCTCGATGGCCGCCTCCGTGTGATCAAAAAGCTCTGCATCTGTCAGCTCGGATGGATCCTGGATTTGCTCGGTGTCAATCGGGTCCATGAGGGCGTCGTCGCCACGGTATCGTCCTTCTGACGAAGGCTGCGACGACGGTGGCGTATCCAACGACATGCTGGAAGGAGGTGTTGAAGGTATGGTTCGACTTGGCGAAGCTCGCTGGTTCCGGGGCGATGCCCGTGTATTGCGTGAGCGGCTGGGAGACGGCGTTGCCACAGAATTTGTCAGTCCGTTTCGCTTGAGCGTCGGGGTGACTGGTTCGCTTGCTACAAGGTGCATCGAAACAACAAAAAACATTAGTATTTTGGACTTGACTTTCGCCGGCCATGCATGACCTGAATGCTTACAAGAGCTGGACTTGCCTCCTTTCGTGGGTTGCTGCAAACGGGTGGCCGCGCTGTTCGCGCTGGCATTTTCTACGTTGACATTCTCTGTCGAATTCAGAACAGGCAAGCATGAGCACCCAGTCTGAACAAACCAACGAAAAATAAGTTGTAAATGCCACCACAACTCACTTTCACCACTCGCTGCGATTGCACTCCCGGTGGATGTGGCCGCCGACGGCTTCAAGGTGATACCCAGAGCCAACAATCGTTGACGTGTCTTTTCCACCTCGTCCGCGAGTCTGCTGCTCTTGGATTTTGCTGCGGCAGGTGCAGGCACAGCAATCGCTGTTGCTACGCTTGTACCAATGATGTGAGGGTTGGTGGGCTCCAATTGTAATGTGGCTGGTGTTGTAAGCGGTTGAGATGCTGCACCGTCAGAGCTCGATTCCGTTGGCTGTGCTGCCAACGCAAAGCGGGCGTCCACGGCAGCATCAATCTCTTCAAAGCTGCCCATATTCGCCTTTGTTCCAGGCAACAGAATGAGGCGAGACTGCATCAAATCTTGCATCCACTTGCTCTTGTCCAGCAACGCTTCCACCTCAGTGTCGGTCAGCGTCCACTGCGGCGAAACAGCAAATGAAGGTGCTGGAGCCGCGGCCACCTGCGCGGAAGCTTCTGTAGTTGGCACAGGGGTCGTCGTCGTGGTCGTCGTCGTCGTCTCGACAATAGATTTTGAGTCTGCAATCACGGGAACGACAGGAAGCCCTTTGATCCGCCAAAGGACAACACATCCATCGCTTGAGCTTGTCAACAGCAGCCATTCCTTTCGAGCGCACACCCAGTGAACGGCAGAAACGCCCTCGGAATGCCCACAAAGCTCAAACCACTGAACTTGGTTGGCCAAGTCTACGACACGCACCACCTTGTCGGAACACACAAGGGCTGCAATCGAAGGGTTGCCAGGATGCAGTTGCATCCCGACGATGGACGCAGCAATCGGCGATTGGTCTGGCTGAGACGTAATATTGACCGTTTGTTCGAGCTTGCCAGTCAAAAACGAGTACACTCGAACGCTTGGACTCGAACCTCCACCAACAATCGCCACTTCGCCGGGGCTTTGGGGTAGCAAGCACAAGTCCGTGATGCTGCTCTTTTGCACAATGACTCGTTCCCGATCGAACGACGATGTGGTCTACAACAAAAGGGGGGAAATTGCGAGTCAGTCCGTCGGGTTTCAGCAGAGAATGAATGCTGTGCCAGTCGCTTACCTCGTTGAACGATCGCACTAGAACACTCTTGTCGGAGGAAGCGCTCAACAGGAACAGAGCTGATGAGCTTCCTGACACGGGTGCGGTGGCGAATCGAAGGCTGGAAATGGAGCTGCTGTGCTCGGTCAGGGTGGCCAGGAGGCTGGCCTCTCCATCGCCGTTGACAGTGTGAACCAAGACACTGCGATCTCGGCTTCCGGACGCAAGAAGGTATTGGGACTCTGTCAGAGGCACGCGTCGGTGAGAACTGTTGAAAAAAACAAACCAAGTCGGTGAAGGTGAAAAAAAGTATCGTCTCACCTTTCAAAGGAGACAAGGCAAACTCGATGCAGGTGACTTCATTGGTGTGCGCCGGGACGTCGCTTATCATTTTGGTCAACTGTTGATCAAACAGACTGAAAAAAACCGACATGTGGTGAGCAATTTCGCGACTTGCTGCCGTTACATCAACCCAAGTAAAGCGCACCGAATTCGGCCACTCTGAAGTCCAGCGGCAACAAATCGACCGTCACTGCTGTTTGACATGCACGTGATTCCATGAGGACTGTTGACGGCTACAAACGGTGCCATTTGATCTACAATGAACAGACCTTGCAATGTGAGTTGCTGTTCTCATTCATATCGCACTGACTCGCTGTCCGAAAGACTGACCAAGTTCAGACATTGGCGTCACCAAGGACGACTTTGCGAGTGCAGTGGAAATGGAGCCTTCCATCTTGAAGTCCGTTTGTCCACCGAGTTCTCTTGCGCTCCAGAGTTTAAGGGAGCAGTCCGAGCCACCGGCGTAAAACTGCGGCTGATTGCTGTCCGCCAGCGACGCCTGGAAGAGTGATGGACGAGATTCAGTGTGGTTGCAATCGGAAAGCAAACAATCAAACGCTGGTCCAGCCGAAGTTGACGCTTACCGACAATGCCCGGACCGCTGAAGCATGGAACGTCTCGTGTGCAAGAAGCGATGGCACGCCTTCAAGGTTCCAAACACAGAGTGATCGATCTGCAAATCGGACAGCCAGCCGAGAGCTGCTTGCATCGACGGCAACCGAAACGGCATGCAATGGCAGCTCTGCGTTTGAGGTGCTACCAGAATAATCAAGGACAAAAACCAGACATTCCATGTGAGATCTGTGCGCGCCCTCGCTCTCTCTCTCTCTCTCTCTCTCTCTCTCTCTCTCTCTCTCTCTCTCTCTCTCTCTCTCTTTCTCTCTCTCTCCCCCTTCAACAGCCCGTTGTGTACCAAACGAGGACATACTTCTGGTTCAAACACGGATGTGACAGCGACGTGATGTGCTGGAGCGTGGTTGGCTCAAATGCTCGAATGATACCCGATGCTCCGCCAATGATAAGGTGAGTGGCATTCACGGCCAGTGCAAAGCAGCGTTCCGCCTATACAACAACAGCGTGTCAGTCGGAGCATTCGTTCCATCAAAACAGGCAAATCACAAAGCGAGCTGCCTCTACCTTCACGTCCATCCAGTTTTCGAGTTGTCTTTGAGAGTTGAAGGTGCACAAAATTCCGGTGGCTGTAATGGCAAAAATCCTGTCCTTTGCGGCACCAACTCCGCAGGCAACCGATGTGAATGTTTGGCTGGCTTGTTCGCCGAGCCCGAGCGGCTTTCCTTGCAGAATGCTGCTTGATTCGCTGGAAGGACTCTGCGCAAAAGCGGAGGATTGCATTGAGATGGTGCAGTTGTATGCAAGCGCCATGGAGCCCCCTAAAAACTGTAACGGATTGCAAAGAGAAGGCGGAAAACTCACCGATGGTTGGGTCGGCCGTTCAATCGTCCAGATCTTGGCGCTTCGAACTCCACATGTGACGAACGAGCCACCATCTTCGGTGAATGCGACGTGATATGTCTGTGTGGATTGCGCGGTTGTCGGTGTTGGTTTAGTGTGCCGGTCAACGGAAGATCGTTTCAAAAACTCGTCGACTAACCTTTGACGTGAGTCTGTTGCTCGCAAGCTCGATTTCGGTGCGCCAGTTCCACACACAGACCATTCCATCGTGCTGAACGCCCACAGACACCAGGAGCTTGCTATCCGGCGAGAACGCCACACATGCGACCGCGTGCGAATGGCGTTTCAGTCTTGCGACAACAGCCTCTTGCTGCAAGTCCCAGACCACGACTTCCGGCTGCTGTCCCGACTAAAAGCAAATACCATGAATGATCCAATCGTAGCTTCAAAAGTGAGTCGCATATCGGGTTGACTGCAATGGGACTTGCTTTGTGAACCGTTTCAGAGACTCACCTGAGCGGCAGCCAAGAAGCGTCCGTTGGGCGCAATCGCAATCGCTGTGATTGCATTCGCACCAGTCGATGCACTGGACTCGGTTCGCTTGCTGGTGCCAAAGTGAACCACGCGCCGCTCCTTGGTCGTTGGGTGGAAGAGGACGACGAGCGGTCTATTTGGTTCAAGGCGCGACAAAGAGCCGAGGCCAGCCAAGTCAGTCAGTCAGGCAAGTCAGGTCAGGTCATCATCAGTTCAATAGAGAGAGTGTGTGCGTGAGAGAGAGAGAGAGAGAGAGAGAGAGAGAGAGAGAGAGAGAGAGAGAGAGAGAGAGAGAGAGAGAGAGAGAGAGAGAGAGAGAGAGAGAGAGAGAGAGAGAGAGAGAGAGAGAGAGAGAGAGAGAGAGAGAGAGAAAGAGACAGAGACAGAGCGCGAAAATGGGCCGCCAAACTGAAACTAGAAAAAAAGCGCGCCAAAATGCAACTTTGAAACAGTTTCAAAAATGCAAATCCTTCGTTCAATGCTGCCGACAAGAACGGCAGTCGAGCTGATAAATGGGTTGGGCTTACCCGGCTGGATAGGCAACATGGCCGGTGGTGGGGTGGATGCAGAGGGCTGAGCTGCAGGTGTCTGGCGTCACCGTGGCGCCAAGCACGGCGGCGATGGAAGCCATTGCAAACAAGAATGACAGCTTCCAATTTGGGAATCCTAGCGGATTTGCGTTGGGGGTTTTATTTTTTCAGGATTATTTTGTGCTTTGTGTTGGAAGCGTCCGTAACAATGAAATGAATATCACGCAGGTCGATTTGTTTGGCGAAAAAGTACAACCAAAGCGTCAAAAACCAAAAATCATCATTCGTGCAGGCTGCGAAGCTGGTTGAAAATGTCTCGAACGCGCTCATCCACATCATCCGTAAAGACGAGCATTCGCAACCGCTCTGCAAAGGCGGAGATTTCCTCGTGATACTACGCAGGACAAGGCACAAAGTCAGACACGGAGAGACAACGACACGACGCCAAAAATACAACAAAAAATTCACATACCTTGCGTCCAACATCTAACAGACGTGCCACAGTGTGGTGAAACCACGGTGTGTTGTACGCAGTGTCATTCTGACGCGCGTTGCTCAGGTGATCTGAAATAACGACTTGGAAGCGCTGTTCAACCCAATTCGCCTCTCCTAGAATGAGAAAGAGTGTCTTGCCGAGCACCAACTCGCAACACGCGCATGACCTCAAGAACGGCAAAAAGCAACAACGAAAAAAAAACTCTCTCTCCCTCACCGTGAACAACTGAAGGAAGACGGCACGGAAATCTGTTTGGACAGTATCCAGATGAGACTCGAGCGCTTGAAGTCGCTCATCTTCTTGAGATTCTTCGGACATGATTCCTCGCAAGCGAGTTTGCAGCTTGCTGACCACCATGGTGGCGGAATCGGAGAGGGTGCTGCCCATTCCGGTGAGCTCCTGAAGCTGCTCGTTGAGCAGAGCCCGCTCTTCGTTCCGCTTGCGCATGGTGTCATCGAGGTCGAGCCGTGCCTTGTTGTAAGCTTGGCGAGCCTGTTGGCTCTTGAACTGCAGCTTGCTCAGCGAGTTGATGACAATCTCCCAGTAGTAAAACCGGTGGAAGTTGACCACATTCTCGGACAAAAACAGCCATTCCACGACCGTGGAGGGCGTGAGCAGACGCAGGGTGATGAGTTTGTCAATCAGAATGATGAGCATTTGCTCGTTATCCTTCCAAAACTCGGTCAGAATCTTGATTGTGTCAAAACGCAACGATTCAGCTGCGCTGTCGTCGCCGCCGTACATTTGCGTAAAGTCATCAAATGCTTCGATATAACGCTCAAGTAGCGTGGAAATGTGACTCAGAGACTTGGAGCCCGCCTGAAGCAGCGAGAACAAGAAGAGTCGGAACCTGGCCTGCGCCAAAGTGAGCTCCGGATTGGATGACTCTTCGACCATGTTCAGCACGTTCAGCACGTTGGCTTTGGACTCTTTGTTCAAGTAAGAAGTGACCAGGGCCTTCGCAACGCTGGCATCTTGAGTAGCTGTCGAAGTTGAAAGATCAAAATCACCAGACAAAAAAAAACGTGAGCCTTTCAATCCAGGAGGCGTGAAACCAAGCCTAGTTGCCCAGCCACACACCTTCAGTCTCCTCGAACGGGTAGGACGGCAATGGCGGTGCCGGAAGAAGCGAGTGAAAGTCTTCAGGTAGCATCTTGATCAGACGCTCGTGGAAGCTCAACCGCCGCACGCGCAAGAGCGTCTCGTTGAAGAAGATGACTTTAGGATGAAGCGGATCCAGGGTAAGGATTTCCGACCTGGACAGACATGTGGTGCATGGGATTTGATGCAGAAAAAGTCAGTGACGACAGTCGGGCGCTCGCTGCAAAAGCACTCGACCATGACATGCACGTACCAGCGATTCCAGTCCCACTGGAAGCCGCCATTGTTGAGATACATGGCAAACCATTCGCAGAATCGGTTTACACAAGCAACATCCATAAACTCGAGTCGCTCGTAAATGCGCTGGATTGCTTGTTGCAGCTGGCAATGCAGACAGCAGATGCACAGACTCAGCCAAATGCTTCAAAAGGCGGGGTGGGGGGGGGGCGACGTCGACAACCAGCGCAAGCTCAACATACCACTTCGTCCAAAGTGCGAGAATCGCGAGTATACTCAATAAGAAGCGTAGAATAGTAGACCTCGCGATGCGGAGGGTTGGGGAGGGCGAACAAATCGGCAAAGAGCGACTGCATCCAATAAACAATCGCACCAATAAACAATCGCAAAAAACAAAAAAAAAAAAAAAAAAAAAAAAAGGTGAGAAAAGGCCCCGTTCGCTTCAAGCGCTTCAAGCCCCACGACTCCAACAAAGCCGCGCACCTCAATAATCATATGATCCACGGGGTATTGGCCGGCAGGGATTTGTGACAGTGACCGGAGACACTCTTTGCGGTTGGGCTCGTAGAAGAAAACCAAATCCTGAATCATGTCGCCGAATGTGAAACGGTCGATAGAGTCGGCCGCCGGCAAGACAGGAGGCTATCCCGACAGAAACAAAACAACAGTACAAAGTTAAAGCTCAGAGGCCCGTAAGAAAGCCTGCGCGTTGTTCAAGCTCCAACTACCCACCTCTGGTGTATCTTCGGCGGTGAACAGGCGGAAGATGACTTGTGGAAGCGGGTAGGACGAGGCCAGTGAATGAGCTGGCACAGTGATGGGAGTCAGGGGGCTCTGTGGTTGATCAAATCCCCATGAGAAATTAGAATCAAAGAGTTGGCAAGGCAGCAAAACACTCCAATGCAACCAAAGACATGCCGCTGTACGTACCGGAACACAATGATCAAGCTGCTCGCTGAACGTCATGTACGGGCGCAGAATCACACTCTCGTCCCAGTTTGTGGCACGGAGATTGACAATCTGGTTCCACAAGCTGATGAGATATTCTTCCTGGGGCAAGCCGTCCACGGACGTCCACACTCGGATGGCGTCCACAAACAGTTCGCTTTCCCTTCTCCGCCTAGACAGAAGGTAGATCAGAAAATCACAGTGAGACGCGTCGGAACGTGACGATCGAGAAAATGCCTGATCTTGCCAACTGCACAAACTTACTGGATGAAGGTTTCGCAAAAGGCAATCAGGCGCGCAAATTCGTTGGGTCGCGACACATTCAGGAAAGGCCCGGCCCAGGGAAGGGCAGAGAGTACCAAAAACACGTAGTAATCGGCACGACGCTGGGTGACTTGCGGCTCGTTGGTCACGGCCAAGAATGAATCGAGCAGTACCAGCAATGAGCTGGGTTGCACGACACGCACATTCACCAAATCCGCCAAAAAGCGGACGGTGAGCTTGGCGTGCCGGTGCAGACTGTGCTCGAGGCAGAATTGCAGGCGCTCGCAGCAACGCTCAATCAGCTCGGGAATCAAGGTAATGTCCAAGCTGCACAACAGACCCGCCAAAGTCGAGTAAATGGTTGTCTTTTCCGGCAGCTCGGAAATGCACGAGATGAGAGTGCGCACAATGTGCTCGCGGAGTTCGCGCACGCTCAAGTCGGACGCCAGCAGCAAGGTGATGCGATGGAGGTTGTATTCAATCGACCTTGAGGACTTTTTTTGTTTGTTTGTTGGTTTGTTTTGTTGTTGTTGTTGTTGTTGTTGTTGTTGTTTTTGCCCCAAAACGGAAAACCCAAGAGAGTGAGAACACGGTGAGAACCAAATGTCTCAGATGTCTGAAAAAGTGACACAAAACAAAAAATCTCTCAGAATCTTCTTTCTCTCACCTTTTCGCCAATGCGCACAATGATTGACCGCAGTTGCGCCTTGTTCTCGGCGGCATTTGCAAGCGGCCGTGCCGAGCCCGCCTTTGCTGGTGCAAGCTGCTCAAACACAAAGCCACCGTTGGGAGCAGGTGGAGCAGTATTGCTGCGATCTCCGCTACTGCTGCCACTGTGATTGTGGCGATCTCTGCTTTCACGGTCGCCTCGCCCGTCGCGGTCGTCGCGGCTGCCCCGAGAGTCGCGGCTGTCTCGGGAGCTGCCGCCACGGCGGTCGCCAGCGGAGGATCGGCCCGCCCGCCCCGAGGACGAGCCCGAGCCCGAGCTCCCGTCGCCAGAGAGCGCCCGTTCACGCTCTGCCGAGGCCTCCTCGCGCTCGCGGGCCTCCCGCTCCAGCTCTGCTCGTGCGCGATCGCGTTCACGCAATGCAAGGTCGCGCTCGCGTTCGCGGGAGTTGAGCGAGCCGCCCATCATGGACGACGAGCCGCCACTGCTGCTGCTGCCTCCACGACGGCCATACCGGCGATCGTCGTCGTCGTCCGATCCACTGTCATAGCGCGGCATCCCGAACCTTTTTGCTTTCTGTGTTTCTGATGGGAGTTTTTTTGGATGTCGGGGGAAGAAAAAGATTGAGACGACCGATGAACGAAAAAAAAGTGTTCAGTATGGAACAAAAGAACATACAACGGTCGAAGGGACTGAGCCTGAGCCTTATCACTTAGGAGGAGAGGAAAATCAACAAACAATACCTTCAATCGAGCAATAAGATTTAATCGTCCAACCATCCAACAAGAAACTTTCACTCCATGCAACCAAACCACGCTCAACCAAAGTAGCGCTGTTGAATCTCGTACACGGATAGCGCAATGCCAAACAGCGGCGAGATGATGAGCATGCGGGGTACTGCACCCTTGAAGAACGCAGAAAAGCCCTCGTTGCGCACGATTTGGCGAACGCAGTCGGGGACGCCGTGGTAGACGGGGTCGCCGGGCTTGGGTACTGTCTGGATACGGGTCTTGATAACATCCAATGGGGTCACGGAGCCGGCAGCAACCATGCCGGCAATCAAGCCAGCGAGCAAGACGCGGGGGAAGGGGGCGTTTGCTTGGCCTTCGGGAGTGAATGCACGCTTGAGCTGCTGGTTGAGGGGGAAGAAGATGAACGAGAATGGCACATCGCGGAGCAAGGTGGCGCCAGTGCCCTTGTACATGCCTTTGAAGCCGAGAGACTTGATGATTTGCCACGCGGACACGTTGCCACCAGCAATCTGCATTTGGATCTTGAGCCGCTCCATCGGCGCCGTGGCAACAACCTGGCAAAGACCAGCGCCTGCGCCCGCAGCCATCTCCTTCCAGAGTGGAATGGTGGGCGAGTTGCCCTGGAAGAGCTCACGCAAGTAGTCGTTCACGGCCAGCTTGATGGCCTTCTCGGGCACAACGCCAACGAGGTTTGGGATCAAGCCACGGTACAACCCGGGCACGCCGCCTTCCGTGCGGATGATCTTCCTGAAGCAATCGCCGACGCTCTTGTACGGCAGCTCGGTCATGCCAGGAAGCATCTTTTGGTTTTGGAGGCGGGTCTTGACCAAGTCCAACGGGAAGATGACCGAGACACCTGCGGAAACCACACGACGAAGCGAGCGACGAGAGACAGCAAGTAGTACAAAGTAAGTATGCAGGGCACACACAAGAGTTTGGTCTCCAACGCTGGTCTTAAGCTTTGATGATGCTGCTGCAGAGAGACGACTGTATTGAGATGGGTGTTGAGTCACTGGCTCTGGGGTATGAGGACATTTGGGCATCAGGATGACTCCGTCTGCGCGCGGGATTTACCTCCGCTTGCCCGCTTTGCAGTCACGAGCAGCGAGAAGGGGGTGCTTCACCCCGGAAAACTCATACAAACACACACACAAAGATATGGCGATGGATAGCAGTCTCAACAAATAGACCAGCACGCTTGGAAAGCATAACGAGTGAGATGAGGGAAGGATGAAACCGACCGAAGCGTGACAGACTGTGCACCAAAAACCAACGAACGAACTCGCCGGTTGACCCACAGCAGTCCCCCATCAACATGCAATGAATGGAACTGGAGGCATGGCAGGCCGAGAGCGAGTCAAACGAAAGAGAAAGAGACAGAGCGAGAGAGAGAGAGACAGGGCAGAGCGACAGAGCAAGAGAGAGTGGTCGGCGAAGCGTGACTGAGGAGGATTCAAGGCTTTTACCGACAATGCCAGCAATACCGCCAGCGATGAGCTTGTTGACAATCTTGGGGCGGTGCGGCTGCTGGAGATGCGGCTGGTGCTGGCCAATCTGCTGGCCGAGGCTGACGGCCGCATTCAGCGCAGGCGACGCTGCAGTGGGGAGCGCAGGGGATGAGGACATTCTGCAATGGAAAATGACTGAGCGAAAGAAAAAAAAGAAGGGCAAGCAAATCCAATTTTGAATCGGTCAACTTGGCTGAAATGGCTGACAAGGGCGTGGGGGTTGGGGTTGGGACTGGGAGACCGGGAATGGATGGACGCACGTAGTTGTTGCAGGAGCGGTGAGCTTGTGGACGCTTGCGGTAAACCCAAACCATGATGATGAACGCTGGGCTACGAAACTGAGATTGCAAGCGTCTCAAGTGTGCAAGTAAATGTCACAGAATTGCATGCTTTGTTTGTACTATTAAAGTACAGTAACTGCATTGGATGATGAAGCTTGGATCACGGCAGCAATTGAAAAGGAAGCCGGCAGTCCCAATGCAGACTCAATGAAACAGGATGCCCGCCCACCCTCATGCTCCACTGAGGGTCAGGTGTGCTGCCAAAATCAATGGCATGCTGTAACAACGATTCAAGGGATATCAGCTTGGGTCTCTGGGAACACGGCCTTGACGAAATCAGCAACCGAGCATTGAAAAGCACAAGAAAGAAAAAAAAAACTTACCAAAAAATCAAAATCCAAATTTGAGCGCTCTCTTGCTCGCTCTCTCTTCATCTTCAGCCATGGGTAAGCTTCCGTCCCCAGGCACTCTCGTCGGCCCTGAATCCGTTGGGGGACCGTGTGTCCTAATGGATTGATCGCTCGGAGGACCGTCAGCAGCAGCGGATGCGCTTGTGGGAAGGCGGCAAGTGGAGGTGTTGGATGGTGGCCCGTTTGGAGTTTTGGTCGACGGTCGGCAGTGTTAGAAGGCCCCCCCCTGCAGCTGCAGCTCGCACGGCCGTTTCGCGGCCTCGCCATTGTAGTCTCGTCCTCTGACTACCAGCTTTCCTGGGGAGTGAGAGGGGGGACTGGTGCTAGAAAGACCAGAGGAACAAGAAGAGCAGAGCTTTTTTCGCTTCTGCTTTTTTTTGTTTTTTCCTGCTTTTTCTTCTCTCGACCCTCTCGGCCAGCGCTTTCCCCCGGCTGTGTGCCTCGATCATCTTCAGGCCAGTGCTTTTGCTCGAAAGCCCAGCGCCGGTCGTGGTGGTGGTGGTGCGACAAGACCGATCGCTTGGTCTCGTTCTTCAGCAACACGCTTTTTTTTTTTCCTTGATTTTTTTTTTCCCCTCTTCCACTCTCTTGTATCCCTCCTTTTTCCTGCCATTCATACCATTGGCTCACATCCTGCGCGTCTGTCCCATCCATTCAGGCATCACTCGTGACAACTGGCACAAGCGCCGCGCAACCGGTGGCAAGGTCGTTGCCATGCGCAAGAAGCGCAAGTTCATGCTTGGCCGCCCCGCTGCCAACACCAAGATCGGTGCCAAGCGCATCAACGTCGTCCGCACCCGCGGTGGCAACCAGAAGTTCCGCGCTCTCCGTCTCGACGCCGGCAACTTTGCTTGGGGCTCTGAGTCTGTTGCCCGCAAGACCCGCATCATCAACGTCGCCTACAACGCGTCGAACAACGAACTCGTCCGCACTAACACACTAGTGAAGTCCTCGATCATCCAGATCGACGCGACTCCTTTCCGCCAGTGGTTTGAGGCTCACTACGGTGTTGCCCTCGGCCGCAAGAAGGGTGCTGCCAAGTCCAAGAAGGAGGGTGAGGCTGAGGAGGAGGACGTCCTCTCCAAGAAGCGCTCCCACCACGCTCAACGCAAGATCGATGCCCGCAAGCCCTTGGCAAAGATCGACGCTGCCCTCGAGGAGCAGTTCTCGACTGGTCGCCTCTACGCTGCCATCTCTTCCCGCCCCGGCCAGTCTGGTCGCTGCGACGGCTACATTCTTGAAGGCAAGGAGCTCGAGTTCTACGTCAAGAAGATCAAGGCCAAGAAGACCTCCAAGTAAAACCCCCTTTTGGTTCTTGTCCCGGCCTTCTCATGGATGTTGCTTGTTTGCAATCTCTTTGATGCTTGTGTTGTCCCTAAAAAACATGATCAACCCAGTTTTATACGTTGTTCCAAGGGTTCAATCTTCTTTTGGAAGTGCAAGGAAGGATGAGAGTGAATTGTCAATCCATGAACAAAACGGTTTTAATGTTGTTGTTGCAAGAAGCAAAGGAAAAAAAAAATTGTGAAAACGAGTCTCATCAACCAGGACGAGAACAACCTAGCAACCGGATTCGAAAAACCAACCCATTCAACAAAGAACGGGGGCAGGTGAAAGGGGGGAAGGGAAAACAAAACTGAGACAGAAACTGGGAAAGGACAAAATCAAAAGGAAAAACACAAAACCAAAACAACCAACAAACAAAAAAAAAAACAAATGGAGAATCAGGAGCATTTTAAGAGGCGGGATGGAACTCTGCCTCGAAGCGCTCAAACAATGCCTTGAACTGGGCAACGCCGCCTGTCAAACATGGGGGGGGGGGAAATGAGACTCAAAACGCTCAAGTTGCAATCATTGGAAGACCAACGGCCAGCCGAAGCATCTCCTTCATCAAAACTCACCATTCGTCAACGTAAAAGTCACAGACTTGTTGTCGCCGTGGTCGCCCAGCTTGATTGAGAATTTCAGAGTCTTCTGGAAACGCTGACCTTCAAACTTGCACTTGAACAGCAGCTCCTTATCGTCAAAGCTGGAACATTTGATGTCGCATGCCTGCGCAACAAAACAAACAAAAAAAAAGAGAGCAACAGAACAAAGCAGAACACAAAGTTGGCCATCTCACCCACAAACCAGATACACAATGCACAAGGACACTTGCCTGCATGCACTTTTCTGTTTCAGTCTTGACGACATCCATGGATGATTGTGAGAGGATGAGATGCTGATCGTCCTTCTCCAGCGGGCTGAAGAATCCACCAAACCACGATCGCTTGGGCGAGGATGAAATGGATGGCGATGGCGGGGAGGACTCGCGCTCAATGGACATGTTGCGACGTCGCGTGAAGATGGACGTGCCCAGTTTGTTCTTGAACGAGCCGCCCAAGCCTGAAAACCTCTTGAGTACTCGGCCAGAGCCCGACGAGTCGCTGTCGAACGAGGGCGATGAGGACGAGCCAGCATCGAGATCGTCGCCGCGCAAGTCGGTTCGCAAGCGGTGACGTCCATTGTCCGACTTTGAGCGTTCCATCTTGCGGTTGCGTTGCGGGAACTCCTCGGATGGGACGATGATGGGTCCTTTTTCTGGCTTGAGCACGCTGCAGGGGGAGGGGAAAGCAGAGGGGAAATCAGACATGCCCAATAGCAATTTACAAACATCTTTTTAAAAAAAAAAAAAGCCCTCTACTATCCCGATCATTAAATTTCGACCCCCCCTCTTTTTTTCACTTTTTCGCCCTCCCTGGGACCTGTGTTGCTTTCCGTCTCGCCCGCGGAATGTTCATTCATGGTACGGTGTACCGAACGTCTGATGAACACCGGGAGCGGGGGTTGTGAGTCATATCAGAGCAGCAGCGAGCAAAATAAAAAATATAAGGAAACTCAAAAAATTCACTTTTCCCGCCCAAATTTTGGTTTGGGTTCAGTCTTTTTGTGCGCATGACTCGCACACGCAGTCAGTCCACGTCCCGCGTGGCTCCCAGACAGCCCCCGGTATGGCTGCGTCCAACTTCACCAAAAAGACCGCTGCCCGTGCTGGACAAGATGCCCAGGGAGGTCGTCCGCGGTCAAGTGCTCGCGTTGCGAAATGCTGGCCTCTCCTACAACAAGATCGCCACCCAGCTTCACCTCCCACGTTCTACAGTGATCAGCATCACCCAACGTTTCTCGGGAAGGGCGACGACGAGCGACAGCCCCCGCCCCGGTCGCCCCAGCAAGCTCAAGTCATTTCACCGCAACAACATTGTAGCACAGATCCTCCTCGATGAGTCCGACACCGCACCCGAAGTGGCCGCCACTATGCGCACATTGTCCAAAGTTCGTGTCTCTCCATGCACGATAAGAAGGGTGCTGCATGGTGCAGGACTTGTCAACGGAGCGAAGGTCAAAAAAGCCCTCTTGAAAGAGACACACAAAGAGCGACGCTTGGCCTTTGCACTCGCTCATCAGCATTGGACCGTCGATGACTGGCTGAGGGTCGTCTTCTCCGACGAGACTGCTCTCTATCTCTACAGGAACAACAACGGTGGTCGTGTATGGCGTCTGGTTGGCGAAACGTTGACCGATCGATGCGTGCAGGGCACGGTCAAGTTCGGCGGTGGCCATATCAATGTTTGGGGCGCCATCTCTCGTTTCGGAATTTCGCTTTTCTGCGAGGTCGGCGACGTCATGAACGGCGACACCTACCTCTCAGTTTTGGAGAGCGAGTTGCTAGCAAGCATTCGCGTGTGGAACAACAAAAACGAGATGATTTTCATGCATGACAATGCCCCTTGTCACAAAAGAAAAGATGTGGCGAAGTGGTTCGAAACCAATCAGATCACCGTCCTGGACTGGCCTGCGAACTCTCCCGACCTCAACCCCATCGAAAATGCGTGGAACATGGTCAAGAACAAGATCTACCAGGAGAGGGAGATCAAGAGCAAGGCCGCGTTGTGGGAACGCTTCCAAGCGGTCTACGAAGAAGTGCTCACGCCAGAGGTCTGCCGCGATCTCATTTCATCGATGCCGCGCCGCATTCAAGCTGTGATAGATGCCAATGGTGGTTATACCAAGTACTGAAGTGGAGCGAAGGCGCTGCGACACGTTGTTTGTGTGCCATGTAATGCTTTGTGAAAATTGGGCAAAAAAGCCGCTCTTTTTCTGTTTTTTTGAGTTTTCATTTTTGTCTGTTCTCGCTTCGAATCTTAACTCCCAGCCCGCTGCTTCACTTCTAAAATGTGTCTGGTACACTGTACCATGAATGAACATTCCGCGGGCGAGACGGAAAGCAACACAGGTCCCAGGGAGGGCGAAAAAGTGAAAAAAAGAGGGGGGGTCGAAATTTAATGATCGGGATAGTACTTACTGAATTTTGCCTTCCGAGGCGACGCGCGTCAACTGAGGAGCGCCCTCGTTGGACGGATTTGGTGGAGTGCTGCTTCCGCTCGAGTCCCGTTGAGGTCCTTGAGTCGAGTAGGCTCGCGGCGAGGTGGGTGGGTGGATGGTGGCGCCGGTGTGGGCAGTGCCTGGCGGACGGTTGACTGGACGAGGAACCACGACACCGCTGTTGGAATTTGGCGCGCTGTGAATGGCGGGAGCCGGTGTGGGCGCCGAGGACGATAGCTGTGGACCGGGACCAATGTAAGTGATTTCGCCACGAACTGGAGGAACCGGGACCGCAATGCGAATGGGAGCACTTGGTGCTGGTCCCGAAGGAGGCTGCATGGGTGCATGGGTGTGGTTTGCTGCTGCCGACGCTGCCGATGCCGATGCCGATGCCGATGCTGCTGCTGCTGCTGCGGCGGCTGCGGCTGCCGTGGCCGCGGCCGCGGCTGCTGCTGGAGAGAGGGCCGCCATGGCAGCAGCCGGTGCTGGTGGCAACATGCCCAGCACAGGACTGTTGGGGGAAGACAAGGAAATTTCGCGGTCGGATTGATCCGAGCTGATGGAATCCGTCCGTCGACGGGGAATGTCGAGGTTGTCTCCGCGCACAGAGTTCCAGTCGTTCACGTCGGGGTAGCTGTTGCTCTCGCTGCTCAAGCCAGCATAGCGCTTCTTGCGGTCGAGCAGCAACGTGTAAATGACCTTCTCAATGTTGTGGCTCTCGCTCATGAGCTCCATCGTCAAGGTTGCCTCGTCCTCAAAGCAGCCGAGTGATCGCAGAGAGTACATGACGTCCTCGTCGAGAGAGTCGATGGAAGGCAGAGCGGTGGGCGGGAGCGGCGAGTGGACCACCTCGGGCATTGGCACTGCAGCCGTCAGGTAGAGGGGGTGGATCATAATCTCTTCCATTTTAATACGCTTTTCGGGGTCGACAGTCAACATGCGGCTGAGAAGATCCTTGCATTCGGGCCGCAAGTGGGCAGGCATGATAAACTCGCCAGTCTTGACTTTGTTCAAGAGACGGTGAATGTTCTCGTCGTCGAAGGGCAAGTTACCAGTGAGCAGTGCAAAAAGAATGATGCCGCAGCTCCAGATATCGGCGCCACGGCCGTCGTACTTGACACCGCGAATAACCTCGGGGGAGGCATAATGCGGTGAGCCGCAACTAGTCTCGAGCATTTTTTCGCCCACTTGCAGTGAGGCCATGCCAAAATCGGCAATCTTAATGTTGCGGTCCGCGTCCAGCAGCAAGTTTTCGGGCTTCAGGTCGCGATGGCACACGCAGTGCTTGTGGCAGAAATCCATGGCCGAGATGATTTGGCGGAAGAATTTGATGCCTTCCTCGATGGGTAGCCGGCCTCGCTTGACAAGATAGTCAAACAGCTCGCCGCCCTCAACATGCTCGAGGATGAGGAAGAGGTGGTGCGAGTTTTCGTAGACGTCGTACAACGACATGACGTTCGGGTGGTCGATCAGCTTCATGATGGCAATTTCGCGCTCAATCTTGCGCAACAAGTCCGGCGTGGATGCCAAGGACGCCTTGTTGATAATTTTGACAGCCACAGTCTTGCCCGATGCAATGTGCGTGCCGAGTTTAACACGCCCTAATGCCCATTACACGTTAAGAATGTGGGGTGTGAAAAAAAAAAAAAAAAAAAAACAGGAAGGTGAGCAGTTGTTTTTTTTTCGACGCTCGTCCCATGCAGAGGAGTGTTGTTTTCGGCAGTGAGTGACTACTGGGGAGGAGACTTTTGTTCAACATTTGTTATCGTCACTTGTTTGTTCGAGTATGTGGTGTTGTTGTTTTTTTTCTGTGGGTTTTGTGGGTGAAATGCAATGTATTTGTGGGAACAAACAGGCGTGTCCAAAACATTTTGTTTCGCCAGTGTTGTTGTTCAGCCCCACAATTCCTCACTCTCCACCGTTACTCAACCGAGTCAGCTCACTCACGAGGGTGTCAGTTTGTTCGTTCGTTTCGTAGCACCACTCACTGACTGCAGCACCCTCCACACCCTCGGGATCGATGGAACAAGAATTCCGCCAAACCCACGAGATCTGCGCTGCACGCGCCAAACCCAACAAAAAAAATCGCAACCGCAACTTCGTCCATGACCACAGGCAACGGCGGGTTTTTCGCCACTTCCCCCCGAGAGTCAGCCACCAGAAAACGCACAAAAAATTCAAGCACTCACTCAAACGCACAAACACCCCCCTCCCCCGGCAGCACTCACTCGTTCGCTTGTGGATGCTTTGGGGAAGGGGCGCAGTTTGAATTCGATGGGTTGTCGAAAGTGTGCGACTTTTTTTTTTTTTTTTTTTTTTTGGTTGTTATTTTGTTGTTTTTGTGAGCGTCTGTTGCGGTTGGTTCGGGACCTCGGTTTACAAAATCAGTGCTCAGTTCTGACTCAGTGCATCTGCTTCAATCACGATTTGCATGTGTGTGTGTTTTGGTTGCTGAAGAATGGCGAAAACCGACGTAGAAAACAAAAGTCACAAAATAAAAATAAAAAAGTAAACACAACAACCAAAGTTTTTTTTTTTTTTTTTGGTTGAACTCCACTTTTTCCTGCTTGCCGCTGCGTCGCTCGATGCGCGCACTCGCGTCTGGAAGCGTGTGGTCCAAGCACCGGGATGGCAACATTGCATCGCCACCGACGCTTGAAGGGGGAAAAAAAGCAAAATGGTCGATGGAACACCAAAAAAAAAAAAAAAAAAAAAAATACAGTCTCGGAGGTTGCTTTGCTCATCGAAAGGATCCCAGTCCGCCAGCAGCCGGTGAGCGTGGCCGAGGGGTGGGGCAGATTGGTACAAGAAGCAGCAAGGAGCCAGAAGAGGCGAACCCCCCCCCCCGGGGAAGCCGCAGAGGCAGACGCGGGAAACACAGAGCGCGAACAAGCACCGCATTAAAACAGCGGTGGCTGCTCGGTCTCCCTCGCGTCCGTCTCGCTCCTCCTCACTTCTCCGCTGCCCATGCACGGCACACTCGAGAGACGATTCAGGCAGATTCGTCAAAGTCGGCCATCCGCGCTCCAAAGGGTCGCGCGCAGCGTTAATGGTGCAAGCCCTTCCACTTTCCAGTGATGACCAAACCTGCTTTCCTCCGTTTGTCCCCTCGCCTCGCCTCCCTCTGTCTCTCTCTCTCTCGCTCTCTTGACTTTGCCATTTCCGTGTGTCTCAAGTGCGATTTGTGCTCGTGACGGCTGATGGGGGAGCGGGATGAGCGAGTGGATCCGTTGATTCGTCTTTTTTTTTTTTTTTTTTGTCTTTTTTTTGCCGCCAAGTCGAATATTTTGTTTTTCGATGGTTGTTACCTGTTGAGCCCACTCCAAGTGTGCGACCGAGGACGTACGGTCCGACGCGATTCTGTTGTTGTTGTTGCAGCAATTGCTGCTGCTGCTGTAGATAGAGCTGCTGCTGCGAGCCAGACAGCCCTGCAGACGCAAACGCAGGGTCCACTGTCGCCATGGCCTCGCTTTTTTTTTTTTTTTTCTGTTTTTCTTCTTGTTTTTCTTCTCTTTTTTATTTCCTCTTCTCGAAAAGAATAGAGAAACACAAAGCAAGAAAATCAAAAGTTGGACTGCAATGCAATGGTTTGGAGGGGAGTGGGTGTAGTATCTGTGATGCACTGGGTTGAGTTAAAGCGACAAACAACGAATCAAGTGATGCGAACGTGAGCGGGTGGTGCAGCAGAACAGCGATGAGAAACCATGCGCGCTTTTGATGCTGCGTGAACACCAGCGGTGCTGTTTCGATCGTGCAGCAGCAAGCAAGGTCGTCCTTTCGTGTCGTTGTATTACAGGTACTTGTTTTGTTTTTTTGGTTTTTTTTCCCCCGAGAAAGTCGCAGTTTGGGTTCTGAAGGGTGCCTTTCCACTCACAAACGCTTTCCCTCTCCATGTGGTTGCAATGGGGGCAGTGCATGCTCCAATCCGCCGAGTAACACCTCAGATCTATTCGCCATCCCATTTTCTTCACCCGTTGCGTCTCGACAGTCCTCTTTTGTTTCTTTTTTTCTGGTACGGTCGGAAGCGGGAGGAGGGGGTGTGACATGTAGATCTTGTCACGACCCTTTTTTTTGCTTTTTTTCTTCTTTTTTTTCGAGGGGGCGGTGGCTCGGCTTTGGTTTTTGTTGCCGGTTTCTGTCGCTTCCGCTTGGTGCTGCGGCTCTCCACGCTCGTGCTCAATCGCTCATGTGTGTAGCACTCATCGTTTTGAGTGTCGAATGCACCTCGCTGCAACAAACGCGAGCGCAAGAGAGGGGCGAACGCTGACGCGCTTCCGACGGGTATTTGTTGTGGCTTTTTTTTTTCTAGTTTTGTTTTTTGGACTTTTGCAGTGGCAAAACATTGCCTTGCTTCCTTCTCCAGACGGCGACCACTTGTGCGTGGTTGATGATCAGTGTCGGGTGCATGTGCGAATGGCGCTGGCTGTTCGGTCGTGTGCTTTGCTGCAATGGCGATACTTGTTTTTCTTTTTTGTTTTGTTTTTTTTTTGTTTTGTTTTTGTGTTGGTTTTTTTTTTTTTTTCGTCGCGTTTTTTTCCTTTTTTTGCTTTTACAATTTTTTTTTTTTTTATCTGCGTTACCGATATCTATCAAATTGAAATAGCGCAGCAATAGGATCTAGTGAAACACAAACCACACAGTCAGGGTATTATCAATCGATATTAATCGCGGGTTGACATCTACTCAGTATTACAGGCTATACGTATGTACATAAATTGATGTATACGAAGTCGCACGTGTGAGCAAACGACGAGCCCATGACTACCAGACGGGGAGAGAGCGAGGAGATAAGAAAACAGAACTAGGGAGATACTTAGACCATACCTAGCCTGCAGTACCATCGGCCCCTAGGCGGGGACGGGATTCGCT